ACAAAAACTCTGCAAAGGCAAAAATAGGGCATTACAGTACATGCATATTTTACCATCATGATGCACTAAGTTGAAAATTTAAATGAAAATTCATTTCAGGTTACTTTTCAATAATTCAATGACCAAATGAAAAACAAAAGAAATTCATCAAGATAACAACATACACGTGTGCTAAGAGGTCTTTATCTTCTTCGAGACACTTTGCAACAGTTCTTGCTAATAATGTCTTTCCAGAACCCTAATAGCAGAAATGGGAAGGGGAAAAAACAATATCAAGTATTTGAAAAACAAACAAAACACTGTGTTGATAGATAAAAACCACAAAATATGTCATTTAACTTCAAAAATTGCATCACCCAATGGAAAAACCAAATTTCAAAAGATGATGCACTCACAGGAGGTCCATATATCAGAACATGTCCAGGGAGAGGAAGATCGTGTGAACTGAACCATGCCCCAGAAGCAGGAGTTAACAACACCAACATTCCTACATTTGAAAACAGCATGTATTAGGGAACAGCAAGGAATCATTTAAAGTGAGAGGGGAAATATACTTAAAAACTAGTAGGATGTCAATTTCAGAGGATATGAAAAAGACTGGTTTTTTATTTGCAAGTTAAGAAAATCAAAAGTTTCCTTTTTCTTTGTAACTCCTAACTGTCCACCCTGAGATATTGCCATATTTTAACTGAAAATGACAACAAGACAAAATACATGCCTCTAACTCAACCATTTCAGTCTTCTCGGTCTTGTATGTGTGCATTATGGTAGTTAAACTCCAATCCTCCTTTACTACTCAACCAATACTTTCAATAGTAAACCAATACTTTTGTAAGACAACCAGTAGATTACTGATTGCTTATTCAAAAATCAAAAGTAAAATTGTTCTATTTTTTCTTATCCATAGTCTAGTTTAAATATCAGAATCATTCATCAAATTATTCTTCTCCCAGAACAGCCAGAGCATCCACCTTGAGATAAAGACAGCAATGAATGAAAACAAAACATAGCAGTTTTCTAAAATCTCAAACACAACTCATTCATGTCCTTATTGTTCAGTGTCTGTTTATTTGTGTATTCCCTTGTGTTTCCATCCACAGCTACACTAAAAACAACATAGGCTACCAGAGTGTACTTCCCATAGACCATCAAAATTATATGTAAATAAGAGTTCGTTAGGTGTCAGAAGTGGAAACAGATTCACGAGGAACTACAAATACCTACTATTTAAAACGTCAGAAGCAATTGTCCCCATCCAGCTCAAGGATGATACATCAGCAGGGACATCTTTTTCAGACATTCTCTCTCTTACTGAATAAAAAGACACAGGATCGCCCTCCTTCAGCTTTACAATTGTCTCTAGACCTCCAAGATTATTGTTGTCTTTGTTTCTTTCATCAAATACAAGCTCATGTGCATTTCCAGCATGTTGAGATTCCTTAGAAAATGTCAATACATATAAGATTTCAACTGGTAGTTCAGCATTCTTATTTTTGTTTTCGAGGCAGCCACTTGATGATTCATGTACCTTCTCCTCAATCCCAGATTTCTGTCCTTTCACTTCAAAGTGAAGTATAGTTTCATTTCCCAAAACCAAGGAATTAATTTCTTCTCCTGCATTGGAAGCAATAGCATCAAGTTGTGCAAGGATCCATGCTTTAACAAGACTTTCTACTCCCTTTCCCTCCTCAGACTTCTGACTAGCCCCTTCATCCTCTTTGCAAGAAGATTCATATGAAAAAGCATCAACAACTTTGTCATGGGTTGACCAATCAGTAACATCTATGTAGGTGCTTGAGCCGGTCATTAGAAGCATGTTTTTCTTCTTACGAATTTTATGCCTATCGAGAACTTCTATACCATTTCTTTCAACAGCTTTGTCTTTCCCAAATATCTTAAAGTGGCAAGGAGAAAGTGACAGAAGGGGAACGTCAGTCTTCAAAATACCAATGCATCCCTTTAAATAAACCCCTGCAGGCATGAGAGCAATCTCATTAAAACAACCAGCTTCTTCAATGAAAGGTTATAAATGATGTCATTGTGAAACATAAGACTATTAACAGTAGGATAACTTGTGTTTCTCTGTCCTTATTCAGCAGATGCCATAGCCAATTTAAAGAGGGAGTCATGGAAAATCCACAAGAATTCACCCAACTCTTGTGATTGATTGTGGAAGAAACAGTGTCATAAGGCACATGAATGTATAATTAGAAAATTAAATTTGCGTCTAAAGGAGCAAGAACAATCCAAACTCTAGATGGCGTTCCAAGAGAATATTTCATTTTTAAAATAAGATCCAGATGTAAATTCCAGTGAACATCTTTTGAGTCTATATTTCTAAATGCATTATAGCTAAATTGTACTCTACTCAACACTGGGTAGAACTTACGCACATGAATGCAGACGAGCTCTCAAATAAAGACGAAGAGACTGGGCAACCATTACATGCCCTTTAGCCACTGAATCAGAAATCAACAGCCGAACAATTGTTTCACGATTATCCTTCTTGTCATTTGAAATTCCATTGTTGGATTCTTTTGGAGTTGAACTGCTTCTTGTTCTCAAACCATCATTTTCCGAATTTTTCATGCTCTCTTTTGGTGATAATCTTGGCACAACAGCTACTAACTGAAGAGAGCTTAAGGAGAACATTTTTGCTGTTTCTGGGTGAATCATAGCAACAGAAGTGAGAACAACTCCAAGCTCAACACCTTTGACATAACCACTTTTGTGAACTAGTCTCCTGTCTGGATCTTGAATGCGCAGTAGTGCCTTTGAAATATGGCGCTCTCCATTAGAAGCAAGAGTGGATGAATCTCCATGTGAGTTGACAGTCTTGCGTCTCTTTGGAGCAACTGCAACTTCAGTCCCTGGAACCAGTTGCACTGGTAATAACCCACAAGTCAAAACATAATTCTTGTAGACTAAGATATCATCATAGAGCACAAGTTATAAATCCCAGCTCATCGAGTTCTAAATTCTAACACTGAAAATTAATTGAATAACTGAATCAGGACGGAGAATACAGCTTCTTACCCACCGATTTCTTGGGGAAGGTTGAAACAACAAGAAATGTAATGGTAGTGCGGCCGTGCAACCACAGAGGAAATCTCATTGCTTCATGGACAATCCTCACCTGCATTTATCAAAGTTACGATACACTGATACACTGATGCACATATACAGATAGATTATATACAACCACAAAGACCTTGAATTGACAACACTTGGAGTACCTGATTCAACATAGCAGCCTCTGCAAGCTCAGAATTAAGTTCCAAAACCTCCCAATCATCCTCAGTAGAAGGCTCAATTGTGACCAGAGTAGCCTTCGTCACATTCGAAAGAGCACGAACTTGAACCCTAGCATGATCTGGCAACGAAATGCAATCCCCAAATTGCTGAGCAACCTGCAATGCCTCCACACAATCAATCACTGAAAAATTTCATAGCTTTCCTCAGCTGAAGCAGAAAAATTGAAAATTGAGCTTACCTCGACAGCTTGAGAAGTGGAAGTGGCGCCGGACCAAGCGACATTCCAGCGGCTGTCGTTTGAGGAGGAGCGAAGCTCCAGAGCGAGAACATGAGGGAGGGAGGACGACGAGGACTGGAGGGTTTGGATTAGGGCCAGAGGAAGAGAGACGTAACAGTTCTCTATGCCCCCAACTAACCTAACCTCAAACTCCATTGCCGAAGAGACTCAGAGTCAGAGAGAGATAAGAGGCTAGTTTTAGAAAGAAGATAAAGAAGCAAGCTTGACTGGGTGAGCGCAGCGCCGCAAAACGTCGTCTCTCCCGAGCCGTTCTCGAATTTAGTAACGCTTACGTCATCCTCCCTTCAAATTATCCCAACTTGCGTTTAGTCCTTCTGTGGCGCATCGGGTGCACCGGTACAGCCCATCACATGAGGTTTTCTTAAAAACAAGGGAAACCTGCTGACCTGGTCAACAGGTAAAAAATTTGACGCGCTGCTGATGTGAACAGGGGAACGATTTCACGTTCACGCTCACTCAACATTCTTCTTCCTCAAACTGATAATCTTTTCTGCAACTTCAAACTTCAAACTGATAATCTTTTCTTCAACTCCTTCTGCAGAAAGTTTCTTCCTCCTTTCTGCAACCTCTCTCTCTTCTTTGTCATCATTGTCAAAAACCCCCTATTCTAGGGTTTGGATTTTGGGGAAAATTTTAGGGTTAGTATTTCGGGTTGATATAGGAATTGGAAATCAGTTTTTCCAGTCACTGCGTTGGCACTCCTCTCATCTACAATCGAGCCCTTCTGAAAGCATTTGGTAATAGTTCCTTGTGAAGGTAAGTCAACACTATGTTTTATTTTATTGTTAATTGAAATTCTGTGGTGATGACTTGGGGCAAGAGGGGAAGTAGGTTTCTCACATTGATGAGATGAAGTGGGTTTCTCATTCTGAAAGTGTCGTGAGGTGAAGTGGGTATCTCACATTCATGGTTGTAATGTTCATGCAATTGCATATCTGTATATGCAATTACTAATCTCCTGTATGCAAATCCAAGTCACTGAATGCAATTACAGTACCTAGTTTAGTTTTCAAATTATGCAAGTGAGGTGATTTCGTGGTAGGTAGGTAGGTTTGGCTGTGTTTTTGAATATTTGTTATGGGGAGTAAAGTGTTCCAAAAGTGTAATGTTAGGATTGGTTAAGATTTGGATTGGGATTTGAAAAGAGTAAGAATCCCGGCCCAATAGAGAAATGCATGGGTGGGTTGTGTGCGTTATCTGTGCAATGTTATAATCGAGGGCTGATGCACTTGCAAGTAGTGTCGTGCAATTGCATATCAGTATATGCAATTACTAAGCAACTGTGTGCAAATCCAGGTCCCCGTATTTTTATAATTAAGCAATGTGTGATGTTGTTGTGTTTACGGGGTTTAGGGGTTTAGGGTGTATTAGGCTTTGGATTAGTATTCAAAATCTCGGCGCTAGAGACAATTGCATGACAGTGTTTTGTACTTGATTTGTGCAAGTTATGGAAGCTCAAAAAAGGGGATCAGCGAAAGGAAAGCGCAAGGCCGAGAGTAATGTGCAACAATCAAGAGTTGGTCGAGATGCATTTTTTAATTTCATGTAAGTTACACGTACATCTAAAAATTGGAAATGTGGTTGCTTAATATTATGATGGTTTTTTTATTAAAAATAAATGATTTACAGGAAAAAAGAACAACTTGAAATGGGGAAAGGGGCCAATGCAAAGTTGGACAGTAAGGTGAGAGATGGCTATTGATTGGGTCAATTTATTATTTATTGTATTAAAAAGGATCTTTTAACGAGAATTTTGTTTTTCATGTACAAGAATAGATTGCTAACAAGTGGAGGAAATTGAACCCTACAGAGAAGGCAACATATGGTGCTGCCTTGGAAGGTTCGAGTGGAAAAGTACAAGGTTCGACTGGGCAAGTAGACGACTCAGTGAATGAGATGGGTTTTATCACTAGATGCAGCCCGGACCGATTCCATCGTACGGTGGAAAAATTGTCGAATGAGAAGCGGTTAGCAATTAATGCTATTGGGTTCGGTAATATGGCATCATTGTCCTGCACTCGTTTACATCGCCAACTATGCCAATTTTTGATTCAAAGGTTCAATCTTGATACGTCCTCTATAGAACTGCACGACAATGTGTTTGGAATAGGTGCCGTTGAGTTTGGGCGTGTTATGGGGCTTAAGAACACCGGCGAGGATGTTCAACTGGACTGTGCTGTAGAAGATGAAAAGGTGAAACAGTTAGTGAAGAGTTTCGGTGGAAATGGCAAGAGAGTATTAGTAAAGGGTTTAGCAGAACAATTGGAAAAGTGCGAACATGTGGATGAGGACTTTAAAGTTCGATTCGTGATGTTTGCACTTGGCACTGTACTTTGCCCTACATCTTCACCATCAGTGATCGGGAACTATTTAACTTTCTTGACGATCCCAGGGAAGATAGAGACCAAGAACTGGGCCGACCATGGATTCAACTTCTTATGTGAAGGTGTTAGGTCGTTCCAAGCGAAGAAAGTTTCATATGTAAATGGGTCATTGCTTTTTCTCCAACTATTCTATTTCGATTCAATTCTCCATGGTGGAGTATATGTTGATAAGTCTTTGGATCCCATTGTGTCATGGGACAATAAGTCGGTGTGGAAAATGATTAAATGGGTTAGAAAACAAGGTGGGTTTGATAGTCATACCGTTCGGGTTGTTTCAAAGCACCGTCCAACGAATGAAGTGTCCGGAGTCAACATTGAAAGAATTGTTGAACAAGTTGCTATCAGATTGGCGCCGATAATACATGCGGAGGTGAAGCGATCAGTATTGGAACTCACCGACAAGGTAATGAGTGAAATGAGATCCTTCATGAAAGACGCAAGACAACATCTTCATCCGGCACATGAAGATGTAAATGAAACTGAGGACGGGGCATTGAAAATACGAGATCAAGGTGTTGAGAATGTTGTGAAGAAGAAGGGTGAAGAATGTAGCCAATTAAAGGAGAAAGGTGCAGTTGATGAAAAAAATCCTTGGACGCCATTACCGGATGGACAGAGTTTCAGTGAACCCAAGGTATGATGAGCGATTAGGAGTTTCAAGATCGAGTGTCTTGTTATCTTTTACATTTATTAAGTATGCATTTATTTACATAGTTGTAAAATACTTAAAAAAAAATTTATTCCTAAATGTAATATTTGAATTCCCTTTTCCACAGTTGAAAATTGGTGTGGAAAAGAGGAAGTTCACAAAATCAGCCCGTGGTGATCATAGTGGCATTAAAACACGTCGAACAGCCGAAAGGCGTCCAGGGCTTCATTGTAGAGAGCCATGGGTTGACCCTTCAAACGCAAAAGGAAAGGCTGTGTAGGAGACGGCGTCTAAGATTAAAATTGGGGCTTTCAAATTAAAACCCGGGGACTTACAAGACTCCAAAGGGGCCAAGATAAGGGTAGCAAACATCTCTCCTCAGCCATGGTCAGCGCGAATACCATACTGGGCCGCTGAAAATGAAAGTAAACTTGTGCGGATACCCCGTGGGCAAGATAGCCCAGATCTACCATTACTTGATGGTGTCACGCATGTAAGTAGCTTTTATTGCATAATTTATTAATACATGAGGGCTTCCGGTGGTCATTGTTGTAATTACATGTGCCGTAATGTAGGTCACTCCTGAAGCTGCAACCGAGCTTTTAGACCTAATTGCTGGGTTGAATGTTGTACTATTTTCAACTGCATTGGAAGCAAGTGTAGAGATCAGGCGCCTACGGCAAGAGATTGTGAGTCAGTTCAACTTCATTTCATACTCATTTCATAAAATTAACAAACATCACGAATGTTATAATCAGATAACAAAACATGGTATTGAACATGAACGATGTTATCTTGTAATAGGAGAAATTGAAGAACACCTCGGGAACAACCATTGCGAGTTCGGGTCTTGTTCAACACGTCGTAGATGATGATGTAGAACATGTAAGTTTGTTACTTCCAACCTCCATTGTAAAGTTCGATGTATAAGATGTTCAATTTTGCAAATTTAAATAATATGTTACATTCTGCAATGCAAACCAACATCACTTGTGTGCACAACAAATGTGAACAAAATTGTTTATTTATATATGTCAATGTTTCTCTTTATGTAGGAGTTTCGCACAAAATTTAAACATGACATAGGTAGAAAGGGAAAGACCAAACTTGTGATACAAGAAGAGCATGAAGAAGATGAGGAAGAGGAAAAGGAGGAAGAAGAAGAGGAAGAAGAGGAAGATGAAGATGAAGAGGGAGATGACGAGGAAGTTTGGATTGAAGACGGGGCTGAGGATGAGGATGAGGATGCGGATGCGGATGAGGACGGGGCCGCAGCTAAGGGTAATCCGGATGCAAAACAACACTCCACAGACCAAAAACGCAAATGTGAGAAAAGTCTTCGTTCACGTACCCCAAAGAGAAAGAAAACCATGTAAATTATGGATACAGTGACATTTTTCAGATTATGGTATCTTCGTTTTGTAAAAGAATATGTTCAGTTTATTGGCCCTTACCGTTTCTCATGTAGTATATTTCGGTTCATTTTGCGGCCTTCAATTGATCCATTTTTCCTCTGTAGTGGTTTGCGCACAGTCACTCTCGCATTGCATCAACGTCGTGCAATTGCATGTTTACAATGCAAATGCTGACCGGGTGTGTGCAAACTAAAGCTAGCTTCAAAACGCTAACCTAATTAATGGATAGTGCAAAGACAAAGAAAAGGAAGTTCCGAATTTTATTAGGACCCTATGTGTATTATTTTTGTATTAGGGTTAATCACATTTTGGTTTACGAAATTGAGGATATTTTGAAAAGTCATTTCTGCTACATGACAATGTGTATTAGTATGTAATTTCGATAATTGGTCGATTTGTAATAGAATATGTTCGGCTTATAGCCCAACCCTTAGCATTTATTTGAATGCTCTGTATTTCTGTTGATTTCACCCTTCGATTTATAGTTACAGAAATAGGTCTACTTATGCCTGTACCAAAAAAAAATGATCAATTTTTGGTTATTATGGGTTTGCGCACAGTCAGTCTTGCATTGCATCACCGTCATGCAATTGCATGTGTGAAATGCAAATGCAGACCGACTGTGTGCAAACTAAACATAGCTTTAAAACGCAAACTTATTTAATGTATAGCGCAAACACAACGAAATCCAAACAAATACGTTGTTACGACCCTATGTCTATTATTGAAATTAGGGTTAATCACATTGTGTTTTACGAAATTCGGGATCTTTTGGGAAGTCATTTCTGCTAAATGGCAATGTCTATTAGTACGTAATTTCGATCATTGGCCGTTTTGTAATATAATATGTTCGGCTTATTACCCCTTACCATTTATTTACATGCTCTGTATTTCGGTTCATTTTGCCCTTCGATTTATAGTTCAAAAAAAAGGTCAAATTATGCCTGTAAAAAAAAAATATGATCCATTTTTCCTTATTATTGGTTTGCGCACAGTCACTCTTGCATTGCATCGCCGTCATGCAATTGCACGTGTGGAATGCAAATGTCGACCGGCTGTGGGCAAACTAAACATACCTTAAAAACGCAAACCTAATTAATGTCTAGTGCAACGCTAAAGATAACCAAGCAAATACTTTTGTTCTGAACAATACATACATAAAACAATAATACGACAGTCATATGAAAGCACATTGTCCATCACTAAATCTACATTTAATATTAATTGTTACATGTAAACCAAGTTCCAAAACTACAATTGTTTTGGGTTGAACCAGTACCTAGGGAATTAGGTTCACCATTGTCGAATGAGAAACCATCGTCACTGTTCGGAGTAGAACCGGTTGGGTCTGCAGTAGAAAAACCAATTGTGCCTCTGCATTGAGAAACCATTTGACTAGGATAACTGTAGCTAATGTTCGAGGACGGCCCTTTATCAGAACTATACTGATAGCTTTCACTACCTGATGGGATATTGACACATGCATTTCTACTTGGATGCAAGTTTCTTTGAGAGCAATTACGCTTTGTATGTCCATATCCGCGACACAAATGACATTTCGACACTTGCGCGTTCCACCTTGCCTTGCTTGAGTGCCTTTTGTCTTAACAATATTTAGATCTTTCACAATATTTGTAGGACATTGGTCAGCAGTACCCAATTTCAGACTTGTCTTTTCTTCCTTTTGCCGTAAGCCTTCACAAAATCCCTCCCATCTACTAAACTCATTCATCAACATGGCATAACCCTCTGCACTCTTCGATGCATAAAAACAAACTTTGTTTGACATAGCATTTAAACTTCTATACCTCACAATTTCTACAACTTCGTTGGTAGTGTCTTTACCTTTGCCGATAAATTCCATACATGTATCAGTTTCGGCACTCTTTGTCCATCTCTTCATTATGAGTGCTGGAGAAATTTTCGTAAGGTGCTCGCACTTCATTACATAAAACAGGTGGCAACATGGGATCCCTTCACTTTCATATTCCCGGCATCCACACTCTATCCGCATATTTTCCCCACTGTGGTAAATACAAGTCCAATTATTATGCGGTTCACCATATTTGGACAATACGTATACATGACCTCCAAAATTATGCATCACATTATCATGGGTGAGTGCTGAACAAGATTCGATCTCATGACGTACCAATACAAAGCACCTATGCGTGTAAATCAGAGAAGCTTGTTGCTCTAGTTTTGTCAATGCAGTTTTAAGGACTAGTGTTGAGTACTTTGCGTTGAAACCATCCTTCGCCGTGTTATTCCTAAGACGTAACATAGCCCTATCGATTGCTGGAATACATTCAAACAACTTCACGTCTTTCCTCAAGTAATCTTTCACATACTTGTTCATGGACTCCACACGTTGAGTGGTGCACATACCACCGAAAAATTTTCCTCTCATACATGATTCAGCCCATGAGTCTCTTTTTTCATACATCATTTCCAACCATTCTTTTTGTTTCGGAGTACTCGCTCTTTCCCTCAAAACCTCCCATTTCTTCTCAAACTCGTCCAATGCAAATGGTTCCCAAACCTGAAAATTTCTTAGCAATTCATCATCCTTCAAGTTATTCTGTGCATTCCTTGACATATGCCATGAGCACAATCGATGGTTAGACATGGGAAACACATTATCAATGGCTTTACGCATCGCCTCATCGCCATCCGTCAATATTGATATTGGCTTCTTATCTTTCATGGATGCCGTGAATGTTTCCAATAACCACTTGTAAGTTTCAAATATCTCGTCCTGCAATAATGCGCAACCAAACATTACAGTAGACCGATAGTTGTTCGAACCGACAAACAACACTAGGGGCTTGTCATAAACATTTGTTTTGTATGTGCTGTCGAATATGAGGACGCCGCCATAGGCAATGTAATCCAAAAGTGAAGTGGAGTCCATCCAAAACAAATTACCAAGCCTATTTTCCTCGTCAACACTGAACTTACAAAAGAATTCTGGATCCATTGCTCCTTTCGCTTTCAAGTAACAGAGTGCGGCTTCTGTGTCACCGTCGAGTAAAATTTCCCTGTATGATGCATCCAACTTATTGTACAGATCCTTTATTTGAAAACCAACATTTAAATACCCGCCACATTAGTCCACCATATACTCATATGTTTGACATGTTCTAAACAATGCTCTTCGCATTCCCACTGCTTGTGCTAAATCGGATTTTCTAACGACACGGTTACATCGGAGATATGACGATTCAAGTGGAGTAACTAGTTGATGATTGTGATGTGGTTCAAAATTCCTAACGACGTAAACATCACGTTTCTTCTCATAACCCACCCAAAAATGGGCAGAACAATTCTCTCTTGTAATTACCTTCGGTGGTCGAATTCTATCTGATCGATCATTAAACTTCTCATTTCTCAAACCTTCTTTAGAACAACACCACCGTCTCCTACATACTTTCCTTTCCGAATTTCGAACCAATTTATCTTTTCTCACGCTAAATCCAATGCCCTTTGCATAATTCATATAATATTCTTCCGCTAATTCTATCGTTTTAAACTCTTTCCCCATAACATCTTCTTTCCTTGGTGCAATCATGTCAACACCATTATCATCACTACTTTGACTAACCATATGTTCGACCAACATATGCCCACTCTCTGTTGCCGGTGCCCTGTGATTCGACCTTTCACAACCACCCAGATACCCTGAATCACTACAACCACCCTTTGATGTCTCTACACCCCTGTCCATCTTACCACACCCCTCTATGCCTGAGAAACATAATTTCAAACTGAAATTACATTATACTCTATGTGTTAACATACTTTCTCTTAACAAAACACAAATGAATAATCTCATGCAATTGCATATAGGCAGGTCAATAATTGCACCACGTATAACTATTTCGCAACAAAAAACATGCAATTGGATCAACTCATTACCCAAAATACATTCAAGTCCTAAACCAGAAAAGAGGTTTCTTTGAAATCTTACTTGATGTTTCCATACTTTCAAAGCCTCCTCCTTGCACTTCCTTTTGCCACCAACTCAAATGTCGTCGTTAACAACCAAGGATCTTCAAAATCTTTACAACCACGTTGTTATTACAAATCCATTCCCCTACGAAATTGAAATTCTATATCAGACAATGCAAACAGAAGAAACTGAATTAATTCAATAACTTCAATTTGATGACCATTTCATCATGGAGGTTGGACCCACCATCAATTCCGTATCTGCATATGAGTTTTGGGCAACCAGAGAGAAGAGTTGAGGACCTCAATTCAATGAGCATTACCTTCTTGCATATGCGTTTTGCCCAAGCACAAATAAGAGTTGGACTCGCTTAGGATGGATTTAGGCAACTGAGAGAGATGACTTCCTGGTGAAGCAGATCCAAGAGTTCTTCAGCAAGCAGAGACAGTGGGCAAGTAGAGAAAAGAGTTCCTGGAGGAGCTAGGGATTGGATTTGGGCAAGCAAAGAGAAGAGTTCCTGGAGGAGCTAGGGATTGGATTTGGGCAAGCAAATAGAAGAGTTCCTGGAGGAGCTAGGGATTGGATTTGGGCAAGCAAAGAGAAGAGTTCCTGGAGGCGCTAAGGATTGGATGGACTCTTAGAATTTTCGATTTTTCCAACTACAGGGGAGAGCGCGCGTCTTCTTCTCCAAACCTGCGCGTCTTCTTCATCTTGCCTCTCTCTGCGCGTCTTCTTCATCCTCCCAACCTCCCTTTCTCTTTCCTCACATGCCACTCACATGTTGAATAACTAGGGCTCAACAGGTTATTAAGTCATTCAATCTCAACCATGCTTTTTTAACATGGAATCTCAGTCGTTGGATCATCGGCTGTATCGGTACAGCCGATGCACCACAGAATTTTCGCAATTGGCAACGTTATTGTATAAAATAAGATAACAAAATAAAATAGTATATTTAAATATTATAGCCGCGCGGCTATACTTGTTTAATATATTTGAATATTTGAATTTTTATAAATAGTACAGCCGCACGGCTATACTTTCTCAGTGTATTTGAATATTTAATTAGTACAGCCGATCGGCTATACGTTTTTTATTCTTTTTTAAATTATTATAGCCGCACGGCTATACTATTTTTTAAATTATTATAAAACACATATTATTAAGACTTAGACCATCTCTGGAATTTCATCAAAGTTACTGTGAGCCTCTTTAAATATTCGAATTATGTCTTGTTGCTTCAATCGCAGTTGTTTCCCCTATAATACAAAATAAAGTGAAAAGGGAAACAAACTAAGCAGCAAAATAAGAATATAATACGAGTCATCCACATAGAAACCAGGTAACTGAGTTGATGACTTTGCTCCAAACTTGTAAGAGAGTGCATTTTCTCATAAACATGCAGATAAAACAATAGAACAATAATGATAAAACCATGTTTCTTTTCTTCAAAATTTCAAATGAGTAAACATGATTTCCAACATAATGCTGGAAAAGAAAGAAACCATCATGTATGTACCATGGTGGATATAGAAACGCAGGGAAATAACAGCATGATTATTATACTCCAAAATCCTAAAGTTTGAGAGTTCAAGCTATCTGTATAATTCTTATACAGAATGCTAGATGACAACATGTTGATAAACTGTCCCAGCACATCTATAAAAACCTTAATGATAGGCACAATGGAAAATCTTCATCTCATTTAAAAGCGTATAGCCGTGCGGCTACTTTGGTTTTTATTACTGAAATGCGAGCTAGGCGCTAGGCGCTAGGCGTTAGGCGTGTCCCTTAATTTTTTTTTTAAAAGTATAGCTCCCGCACGGCTATACTCGGATTCTTACATAATAAAACGGTATAGCCGGTCGGCTATACGACAGTTTTTATTATTAAAAAATGGTATAGCCGGACGGCTATACCTTTTTGACACGTGGCGACGCAGTCAGTCTCCAGCGGTGGTCCTTTTATTTTTATTTTTATTATATATAGCCGTGCGGCTATACTGGGTGTTTAAAAATAAAACGAGTTTTTAATTTAAAAATAGTATCGCCGCACGGCGATACTATTTTTGACACATGATGAAATGGCGCTAGTGCCAACGGGGCATTATAAATAGTATAGTCACGAGGCTATAATCGGATTATTATATAATAAAAATAGTGTAGCCGCGCGGCTATACGGGTTTGACACGTGGCGAGGCGGCGCTAGCGCCTGGGCGGGTACTTTTTATTTATTTTATAAATAGTATAGCCGGTCGGCTAAACTCGGTGTTTTGGTTTTATAAAAGAGTATAGCCGGTCGGCTAAACTATGGGTTTTTATTATTGAAAGATGTGTATAGCCGATCGGCTATACTCGGGATTTTTTTTTGGTTAAAAAGAGTACAGCCAGTTTCTGCTTGAGCGTATCATCTTTTGATACAATACAATACATATATTCAAAATATATTATAAATAAGCAATAAATAACTGCATAAGAGAAACAAGCAAACCTTCACGAACGGTTTCCAGGGAACAATACACCACTTATATTTTCTGCTTTCTGTCTAGAAACAACAGCATTGATGTAATCTCCGGTATTATAAGCTTCCTGCATGTGCGGATCATTGCATATAAAAATTAGTCTCACCTAAAATTTATAGGAGGCAAGAGATGGATTCTATTGAAACATGAACAATTGGGAAGAGAAATACTGTAGCTACTCTTTCATTTGGGATTTCCGTGGGATATTGATTAAAAATGCATTTCTTGAAATGCATAATGTTTAATGTCAGTAAAAGACACAGAAAAATATTTCAAACAAATTAAGCACAACTTTGTATTAACTGTTTCTAAAAGAAAATATGATGTGTGAGAAACAGGCAAATTATCTACTCACAGGGGTGAACCACAACTCCCGGATTCCACACAGAATGAATAATTTTGGATACAGTATCAACAACGTCAGGAGAAGTGCTTCTGGGGAAGGTAAATAGAAGCAAACCACTCTTTGCCAGCTAAACGAGCTAAAGAAGAGGACTTGTGTCTCCTTCCCCATCCACCTTCGCAGGAGACAAAGGAGGACCCTTTGGAAGATCATCTGTCATTGCCATTATGATTACTAACAAGTGATGTCACAAAACAGAAGCTCAGCATCTAATTGCATACGAAGTAAAAGTAAAAGCGATACCATTAGTGTCCCCAGAGTTAGCAGTAGCCTCCTCGCCATCTGTATTCTCTTTGGAAAGCTCCCTTCTTTTAGAAACGGCTTCTTCTTCTGAACTGCAACTATTAAGGCACTGAACATACCGAAAACATAGACATAGAAACAAGTTGTTCTAAAAGACTACTGATTTCAGCTAGCTAGTATAAAGTTATAAACTCTTTCTTTTATATACATATAGCAAAAGCATTAATAATGAAACATAGATTTCTCAAAGACCCAGATACGAGAACAGTAGGATAAGATGTTAACAACAGGAGTCACTTTTAATTTAAGGAAATGGGTTCCAAAACAGAAGAGAAAGCAACCAGAGATTGGGAACCAAAATAGGAAGCACAGGACATCACCCGCCTCAAGGCGTTTTCTTCTCGTCATCTTCCTAAAATTCTCTCTCCTTTGCTCATCACCTCACTGAGCTTCCTCTGTTCCTTTTGCAAGAATCAATGGCGGTGGCAGGTGATAAGGGCATTTGGACCTCCAAGAAGTCTCAGGTGATAACTACCATGGTTTGTTCATAAAGAAAAAGTACCATTACATAAGAAAAAACATTCAATCCCAGTAACTCATTTATATCAATAAAGAAAAAACATATTTTCTTATGCGGAAAGTACAATGTTTGAAAAATCACTAGGTCTTAAGACTCTTAGACGGGCGGCAGGCACGGGCCTAGCCCCTAGAGGAGTAATCGGGACCTAGGCAGGCGCCTAAGCTCATAGCTATAGCGAAATTGAATGAATATATGTACAGTTTTGTATCTATACATATGAGATGCTTACAAGATAAAGGCAGCATACAGTCAGAAACAGCAGATATACAGGGGTGAAGCAATATGAAGGACAAACTAGTCCTACACTAAAATGGTGTTAGTGCCGGACGTCCATTGAAAACCACAAGAGCAATTTCTGGTGCAACTGTGGAATTTCCAAATCCAATGCTCTTGACTTTAGATATAGATTGCCTCAAGAAGCCATATGCTTCCTCAGTTTTAATGGCATTATTAGCTCGTTTTGTGTCAAAGTAGTCTCGAGGATCCTTGATACATAATAATTGAGCAACAGGACGATGATGGTGAAGAGGTTCTTGAAGATCCTCCATCTCAGTCATCCGAGCAATCCGATCAAGTCTCTCCCGCACACCACTCTCATCAGCCTCCTCCTCTTTTGACCGCACTATATTAAATGCCTCTGCAACACTTGTTGGATCTTCTAAATCTACTTCGACTACACTTCTTCCTTGAAGAACAACCACGCCTTGCCGGTTAAGGTCTTGTGCTAAAGTCCTCCACCTGTTGTACACCTCATCCCGAAAGAATATCCCGTGATCAAGAAGATGCGTATAATCGTCTCCTTGGTCAGCTTCCATGTCCAAAGTTGGATCAACCCGTCGAAGCTTTCTACGAGCTTCCCTCGCCAATACCTCATCCTGCTTCAAAAACATTGCCAGCAACTCATCCTCGGCTGCTTCTGCTTCAGCTGCAGCAGCATACCCTGCGCTTTGGAGGTATTCAGCTCTAAAATACTTCGTCCAGAAGTCTTTTTCTGTCGTCTTGCTGGGGACCAGAGCAAGAAACGCCTGGTGAACAGATGGTTTCAGGGCAAAAATCTGATACTTTATCTCTGGAGTCAAACTAAAAGTAACCTTGTTCGTCCTGCCATCCGTCATGGGTTTGGTGTCCATTATCATTGAGCTTTTAAAACCACCCGTTGCTTCGGCTTTGGGTTGCTATCTCCATAATCGCAAAACTTCTTCCTAGCTGCCCAGAACTCAGCTTCTGTCAAGACACCACTAATTACATACTGCACATGAAGCCTCTGCAATTCACTGTCTTCTTGTAATAGCTTCATAAGGTGCATTATTTCTGTTGTACTGATTTGTTCATCAGAAGAAGTAGGTTTTGCAGCTTGTCGACACTTAGCAAGGGCATTGGCTACAAACTCTCGGCATTCATGAAGATCGCAAAAACTCGCAAACTCGAAGATGTAAGTTTTGTCCTTTTCACTGAGATGAAGCCAAGGTGGTATATCTCCTCCCTCCTCAGTGTTTTTGATACCTATAATTTGTTTCAACTCCACATCGAGCGCTGGTTTCGCGGCGGACGTGTGACCATTTGGCCTGAACGCAAACTTGTTGTCCGTCATAATTAAAACACCAGGAGTCCCAGGCTCTCTCACTTTAGCCTTGTAATTAACACGCTTCACCACCTGCCTACACGACATTTTCTTCCCAAATTTCTCAAAAAAGCAAAAGAAATGCACATCAATCAAAGTTGAAAAAAAAATCTCAGAGATGGCGTTTAGGGTATTTGAGGCAATGAGGTGGGGGTTTTGTGTAGGTGAGAGGTGCTTTTTGTAGACCGAGGGATTATTTTCCTATTCCTAGTAGGATTGGGATTGGGATTCGCATTAACTATTACTTTCTTATTTCTCACGAAATCAGATCCTGATAAAGACCTATATTTTTTTTTGGACGAAAAGATAAAGACCTATATATTCCCGGCGTATCCCTCCCTCTTTTTTTTTTTTTTTTTTTTTTTTTTTTTTTTTTTTTTTTTGGGTGTATTTGCTATTAGGTTTAGGGTTATGGGGTGGGGGGGGTTCTGAGTCTGTTTTCTGAGGAGGAGGAGGAGGAACAAAGATATGAGAAATATATATGAGTGTTGCTAAACAAACCCGAATATTACTAATGACCAAAAAGGATCAATATATTGAATTGTGAAACACCATCGACAATTCCTCCACCGAACATAGCAACGCCTCCTTCATAACATCATTTCCTCCACCATCACACTAACACCGTCGTCATACCATCCACTTCTCCATCATTACAGTAACACCGCCGACGTACCATTATACTGGCACCGTGGTCATCTAGTATTGGTAAATCTCATTTTAATTTTGTTATCAAATCATACTGTCTTGATTTGTTCTTCAAGGGCTAAAATATTTTGTAACCTTCCTCTAGAAATTGGATTTAATTTGTTCTTCAAAGGGAGAAGTTTATGGGTCGTTTAATATTGATTATCTGAAGAGATCCATGACCATGTGGGTATGCTGTAGTCTTGCTGCAAACATCGGAAATGCCTTCATAGCTTCTCTGATTTAGAATCAAATAATATGTTAAGGGCCCATGAAAATCCCTGCATATAACTTGTGAAACCAAATAATAAGTTGAATATTTGTGTCTGTAGTTCAATTCAATACATTTATAAATATGAAAAGAGGGCATGAATTAATGTAAAAAGAGAAACTTGGTTTAGGATATGGGTATTAGAGTGTTGTGTAATAGAGTGTATTAGGGTGTAACATGGGTATTTTGGTATTTAAATAGGGTGTACTTAGTTAATTTTATATTTTAATTAAAATATTAGGGTGTACTTAGATCATAGGGTGTACTTGTTTTCAATTTATCGACTGGTGAGTGTAAAGTGGGGTGTTCTTGGCATGAATGACTCAGGTTTTAAAGTTTTAACAGTTGGAAGTGATTGCCAATGGAGACACCTGAAGCTCCCCAACCAAAATAAAACCAATAGGACGCATCGTTTACAACCAAACCAAACTGAAGGGGCTGCTCATTGGGTGGACACTGTTATTAGAGATCGACAAGATTCGTTCCATCTCTTGATCTTTGGACTGAATGCTTCTTCACTACTAGATTGCCCCAGGGAGTTTTCGGAGACTTGAAAAAAGTTTTTGTTTTCCATTGGAACCACCGTCTGGCTGTTGGTGAGATAATAGAGGAAGCCCTTAATGTATTGGTGTTAGAAGACTTCAAGGAGCATAAATAAGATCGTAGTTCCCTTGAAATTTTTAAAGGACAATCCAAGTTTGAAGAATCAAATTTTGTCAGTCAGGGTTATTTTTGTTAAACTTGAGTTGCGGGGAGCGGAAAGTCTTCTTTTAAATGATATGAAAACGGAGACAATTACATGGATCGCAAATGGGCTCGGGAATGAACCCAATTTACTGATTGGCAAGCAACATTTTGCTCCTCTTAATCACTTGATCTACAAGCCCTTTGTATTGTTGCGAGTTGTCCCACGACAGTAGTTGATATCCACAAGATACAAGATAAGTACTTATCTTGGTATCCACGGTAGACTGCTCTCAAACTCTATTTCAAAAAACAAGACCCATTCCTTCTCATGGGTATTGTAGAATGTTGTGTTGTATGTTGACATTGGTTAATAGAAGCAAAAGATATCAACAATGAAAATACTGATTCCCAAAATTCAAAAATTTATTGGCGAGACACAACAAGCAAATCATGATCCATACAATATCAACCGCATAAGAGGATTCAATTCAACCAAACAGAAAGTGTCCGTTCCACCATCATGAACAAGTGTAAGTGATCAATAGATTGTGATTGTTGATCAACTTCCTTTTTTCTTTTCTTTTTTTGGTCTCAAATTTTAATTTATCAACATTCGTTTATTTTAATTTATGTCCTTATAAAAAAAAATTTAATTTATGTCAAAAATTTAATGGGTTTACCTTCTTCTATCCCATGTAGGATTATTTTCGGATTATAGTTTCATATTCCAAGTAGGATTTTGATTACTCTGCTACTTCTCACAAAATTAGATCTGTATACATACCTCCTCCTCTCCATCCCAGTGTATTTGCTCTATGTTTTCTAGGTTATGGATTCTTTTGAGGAAGAAAATCGATCAACGATGGCCAGTGAGCAATATTATATGTCGTTACATCCCGAAGTTCAATTTCAACCCAAAGATGAAGAACTGATTACACATTTCTTGAAGAGAAAAATCTCCGGCTATCCTCTCCCAATTAACATAATCATTGACGAATTGTCCTTCTATGAATACAGTCCTATCCAACTCTCACGTAAAATTTCTTTCGTTTCTTTCCTTGGTTGTTTTTTTTTGGTAGACTTTAAATTATGAGATAGCTTTTTTGTTTTTTGTTCACAGAGATGTATGCGTTTGCAAACCAGAAAGAGATGTATTTCTTCACTCCAGTCGAACGGAAATTTACAGACTCTACTTTGCCACGACGCAAAGCTCGTAATGGGTATTGGATACCAACTAGTAAATATGAAAACATTGAACAAGGTACTGAGATAATTGGAGTGAAAAAGTCATTACGATTTTATGCTGGGCGTCATAGGAACGCTTCAACAAAAACCAACTGGACTATGTTAGAGTATATAGCTGGGGGAACGGCAGCAGTATCACAAAGCCCTTATTTTGTGAGTAACTTTTTTCCACACTGTTAGTCCTAAACTATTTACAAAAGCACTTCTGCTGATAAGCGTTTTTACTAGAAGCGCCATTGCACTCCTAATGTTCATTATGATGTCACACGTGTTTTACGATATTTCTCCTCACTTCACTTCAATATGCATGTATGATTAACTATATGCTTTTAATTCTACTGTGCAGTTGTATGATTGGGTTTTGTGCAAGGTTTATGAAGAAGAATTGAGTGTCATGAAAGTACCAGAGTCGAACAATCAAGGCAACGCTGCCGCTGAAGAAGTTACTGGAGAGCAACTCCATCCCCATGTAGGTTTCTTTAATGATGGAAGTCAATGCGGGAACCAGTGTCCTTCAACAATTGCACTCTTTTCTAAATCATTATCATAAATAATTCATTTTTGTATATTATGTTCTTTGATCTGCAGATAAGAACTTCCCCCCTAGAAGATCTATTTGGAGCAAAAAAGAGGCGATGCTTGTCCAAGAATTCAGGCCAATTGCCCCTAACAATATGTACAAGCTCATATCGAAGGCCTTGCTTACCGGAGCTTCCCTTTGAAGTCATCATTGAGATTTTGAGCCGGTTGCCTGTAGAGTCTGTACTAAGGTTCAAGTGTGTGTGCAGGCAATGGTGTTCCACGTTTCAAGAAGAAGATTTCATTGCAAAACATTGGGTTCGGGCCACTCCTCTACGACTTCCTTATCGATACATATGGGACTATAACAATTCGGTCAGTTTTTATGAAGAAAATTTCAAGCTTATCGGTAATTCTTGTGGCTTGTTTTTGGAGAAAAATTATTCTTCGCAAGTTTTCCGTATTAGGAATTTTGCGATGCACCAAGTACTCTACTTGCCTCATGCGCGCAATGCATACATCAACACAATGTGTTTTGTTTTGAATTTATCGACTGGTGAGTGTAAAGTGGCATATTTTTATATCAAGGGGAATTTGGACGCTGAAGTAGGACTTAAAGTTTTAACAGTTGGAATTGATTGTCAATGGAGACCCCTGAAGCTCTCCAACCAAACTATATGGGGGCAACATGAAAAATATTTGCTGAAACGACATATTCTAAAGCCAAATCAGATTGAAGGGGCTGCTCATTATGTGGAAATCATAAGAGCTGGACAAGATTTATGCCTAGAAGTTCAGTCTTTTGATCTTTTGACTGAATGTTTCGTCACTACTAGACTGCCCGAGCGGGTGTTTGGAAACTTGGAAAAAGTTTTTGTGTTCAGTTGGAACCACCATTTGGCTGTTGGTGAGATTGTAGAGGAAGCCCTTAATATATTGGTGCTGGAAGACTTCAAGGACCATAAATGGAGTGAAAATAAGATCGTAGTTCCATATAAATTTTTAAAGGACAATCCAAGTTTGAAGAATCAAATTTGGGCGCCAGTCAGAGTTATTTATGGTAAACTTGAGTTGCAGGGAGTGAAAAGTTTTCTTACTTATGATATGGAAAGGGAGATAATTACAAGGATCGAGGCCGGTAACGATCCTGACAAGGAACATTTTGCTTCACATAAACCCAGCCTCTTGACTTTTAAGGGGATGAGACCGAAAAGAGTTAGGTGTGATTATTAGAGTGAAGTATGATTTCACTCACTTACATAGTGCCCAAGCCTCCTCAAGTTGGTGTTCAATCTTTTTATGGATTTTTTATGTGTTTCTGTCTTTTGGAAATTTTATTGTTGTCATCATTTTTTGCATATTGTTTCTTTTTTCCATTGACTAATTTGAATTAAACAGCCTATCCTTCCTCGTATTATTTCGAATCTTACTGTATATATCGTGCAAGCTTGAAATTAATTAATTAATTAAAAGGTTAAGTATAACAGTTCAAAGCAGGAAAAGAAAGAAAGTCCAACAAAAATAAAGAGAGAAAGATGAAATGCCATTTCAGGGCTAAGTGTGACCTCAATCCTATTGGCAGTTGGTTGATTCACTCATCTTACGTTAGTATACTGCAGATGCAGGAAGTTGTGCTTTCTTTCTGTGTTGACATTGGTTAATCGAAGTATTAGGTATCAACTATCAACTTTCTTTCTTTGTCTCAGTTATTTTTTTGATACAAACGATATTCTATACTTTAATCTAATATAAACTACGGAGAAGGGGATTTGAATTCGGGTGCAAAGTGGAGAGCACATCCAATCTAGCCAACTTGGCTAAAGCCCATGTCTCCTTTTTTGTCTCAAATTTTAATTTATTATAATCTACATATGTCAGAAGAAAAAAATTGTGGAAATATTATTGTCATCCTTGAATTTGTTATTTGGTTTTCTGTGTGTAATTGGTTTCCAGTTTTTATTATTTTCCCATTCAGTTTTCTATTCCTAGTAGAATTGGGAAATATTATTTTCCTATTTCTAGTAAGATTGCCATTTTTCTCCGTACTTCTCACAAAATTAGACCTCCTCCTATCCCCAGTGTATTTGCTATTTTTTAGGGCTATGGATTCTTTTGAGGAAGAAAATCAATCAATGATGAGTGTAAAGTGACATGTTTTTATCGACTGGTGAATGTAAAGTGGCATGTTTTTATTGCAAGAGTGCAGACCTGAACGGTGAAGCAGGTTTTAAAGAAGTGATCACGAATGGCGACCCCTGAAGCACCCCAACAAAACCGACATATCGCCGCTGAGGCAGCATGTGCCGGAACAACAGTGTTTAGGGCCAAATCAGATTGCAGGGGCTGCTCATACGGTGGAAGTTATTAGAGATGGACAAGATTTGTTCCTTGAAGTTCAGTCTCTTGATCTTTCGACTGAATGCTACTTCACTACCAGAGTGCCCCAGGGAGTGTTTGGAAACTTGGAAAAAGTTTGTGCTTTCCTTTGGAACCAACGTCTGGCTGTTGCTGATATAGCAGGGGAAGCCCTAAATGTGTTGGTTTTGGAAGATGCGGGAGCTATGAGCCAGGCGCCGGGCGGGTGGCCCTTTTTTTAAATTTGTATTTTTTAAATTATAAATCGTATAGCCGCGCGGCTATACGCGGGGTTTTTTTAATAAATAAAACGAGCATAGCTGGGCGGCTATACTAAAGTTTTGATTCATAAAAATTCGTATCGCCGCGCGGCTATACTATTTTTGACGAGAGCCGAGATGAGATCAGGCGCCAGCGGGTCCTTTCTTTGTATTGTAAATAGTATAGCCGCGCGGCTATACTCGTATTTTATTTAAAAAAGAGGACAGTCGCGGCTATACTACGGTTTTTAATAAAAATAGGTATAGCCGGTCGGCTGTACTATTTTTGACACGTTTTTTATTATAAATAGTATAGCCCCTTTTTTTAAAAAATAGTACACCCGCGCGGCTATACCGGGGGCTTTTAAAAAAATAAAAATAGTATAGCCGCGGGGCTATACTAAGCAAAGACGTCACCGAAGAGCGCGCACCTCAAAAAGAGTCGTGCAGTTATGGGCATCGCCGCATAAAGCAGGGAAAAAAAATATTAAAAAAAAGGCCAGGGTCCCCACGTCGTCGTTTAAGAAGATCTGCGTGGCTCCACCAGCGTAAAGTCAAAAACTCTGTACAAATTCATTCACCGCTCCCGAGAAGTCACGGCGCCACACTTCTCTCTCTCTCTCTCTCCCTCTTCTCCTTCTGCTGGTATCTCTCTCTCTCTCTCTCTCTCTCTCTCTCTCTCTCTCTGTAGGTTTGGATTGTATTCATATATATTCTGCTATTTTCTCGCTAACTTTTTTTCCTAGTTCTTTTTCTTAAATTCAAATTTTCAATCCTGCTTGTTATCGCTTTCTGTTTCAGTTCATTGCCTTTTTTTTTCCTGGTCCAGATCTCTCTTTGCGCTTGTGTTTGCTTTACGTTCTGTTTGATATAAATTATTTCCCGATAAAGTTTGTGTAATTTGCTGTGTATGTGTGTATATACGTGTATAATATATATGTGTGTGTGTGTGTCAGAAGAAATAAAATTGTGGAATTATTATTTGTCAGAAAAAATGGCATCTTAGTGATGAGAAATAGTACCTAACTGTACCTCCTTCAATCTTTTATTTCTGGAAAAAGTTATGATATTAATTTTCTGAAGATTCTTAGTTTTTCGAGGTATGCAAGTTGAGGAAATTTTGTGCTTGATAGACTAGGTTTATTGAAAGAGGAGGAGAAAGAGAGAATGTGCATGCATTTTCGATTGGAATGAAAATGGTATAGAAGCAAACTGATTATATTAATGTTTGGAATATTTTCGGTGTCATATCTTTATTGCAGTAGTTTTGCTCAGTCCTGGTGTACAACGGGGCTGTACACAAAATATGTTTGATTATGGAAAACATTTGGATTAAACACCTCACTGTCAGGACTTGTGCTAAACCTTTTCAATTTTGTACTTAACCCGGTTTTGAATTTCTAAATTACCTGAGTAAGCAATAGTTATGGTTCCCATGATTAGTGAATTTGACAGCCTTTTGCTAAGAACAATTATGGAGTCAGACGAGGAGCAGGATACGTTTCATGGAGTTTATCCCAAATTCGGTGCAATTTTCATGTCAAGCAGTGTAACGAAAAATGAGTGCTTTAGACGAAGACTGTTTGGCCTTCCATCTGCAAAAGGCCACTTTGTTGAGCAGGTTAAAAGAGGAATGATTTTGTTTCTGTTTGAATATGAGAGGAGAGAACTTCACGGTGTTTTTCAGGCATGCTCTGATGGGACAATGAACATTTCCCCTCGTGCATATAAGTCATCAGGAAATCAGTTTCCTGCACAGGTACCGTATGACTAATGTATGGTCATATCCTGTCATCATATATGCCCTTAAATATTTTAGCTGAGAGAAGGCTTTTGTGCTTTTGTTTACCTTCAGTTATCCAGTGTTTCCTTTATGTTTTGGTTTATGACAATCTGATTGATTCTTGTTATTCATTTATCCAGGTAAAAGTCAAACAAATATGGTGTTGTCGTCCACTTCACGAATCTGAATTCAGTGATGCAATCAAAGAAAACTATTTTTCTAAATGGAAGTTCAATTTTGGTCTCTCCAAAGCTCAGGTATTCTTCTTTTCATTCAGACCCTTATGGGATTAAGAATCACCTTCTTGAAGTATTGTATCATGGATATTTGTAGGTTCGAAGGCTTCTAACATTGTTCAGTCCACGAAAGGTAGAAGATCAATGGCCTCCAAGAGAATTAGCGAGAAGTAAAGAATCAAGCCCAGTGTATGCTACTGCTAAAGTCAGGGAAGTCGATGAAGGCAGGTCTGTATTCAATGATAAGGTAAACAATGAGCTTGATGCTGACAACAATACAGAGCCAATGATGACTCAGTATATGGGGACCTCCTTTGAGAATGTTGGAAGAGAAGATGCTGGCAGGCTGGAAAGTGATAAAGTAGACAATAAGGGTGGGGAGATCGTGCAGAGTGCAAATTTTGGGCGCTTTCTGGATAAAGTTGGAATGTACGAGAGGGCACAGAATGAACTTAATGTGGATATTGAACATGTGGCATCCATGTCAACAGAGTATCCAAAGTTGTGTAAATCTGGATTAGGTGTTGGTGCCATGGTAATGCAGGGAACGGCAGCAAACGTCAATTACTTGGATGTTGAGATTGGGCCAGCTACATCAACAGAAAATCTTGGCTATCCTTTTGAAAATGTTAGAATTGATGATGATTCCAGATTTTTAACGAGTGGTAAGTTGCAAATTGGAAATAGTGTAGGTAATGGTTTTGGGCCAGCTATTTCATCTGAGTACCCTGCTTTCTTTCAGTCTAGTCTGGATACACCTGTCTGTCCTGGCATGCCTGTTCAAGAAGCAGGTTCTTTGATTCAAGATCAAACTAGATCAACCTCCACTGTTAGCCATCAAATGGAGCTGCAAATCACTAGCCATTCTTATACAGCATCCTACGGAGATGCGATTGTCACCAGCACTCTTCCCTATAATCCTGATGCTCTTACTCTGAACCATCCATGCTCACCATCGACGGGGATCAATCACGGTTCAAATTCTGTTCAAGATTTTTATGACCAAGCTGGCATTCCTTCCTTGAGGAATCAGGCATATCCTTTGTATACTGAGCCAAACACAACAAATCGAAGCTTAGGTGACACTTCTAAGTTTGATGTTCGTGTCCCATTCACAGCACCTGACCATTATGAGCGCTCATGTCACGGGAACATCATGCCTTTTCCAAGGACGGCATACTCTGAAGAAATGGCTTTAGAATCCACTGGAAAAAATAGTTATGGAGAACCATTTTTGAAGCTTTCTTTAGCACCTGAAACTTTATCAGAAATTGGAAGTATTCAGAGGGAAATCAAGAGCCCTTCATCTTATCCTTCCTTTGTGATTGATCATGGACATTCTGTTGCATCACAAGACAAAACTGACCATGAAATAGCACATAAGGTGAAATTCGAACCATTCACTTCTAGTGTAACTTCACCAGAGGAGCTTGAGTGCCAGTTACAACGCCGTGTTCATCCTGGTGATCGGGGCAGTGTGAATAACAGAAGTGTGTTTTCTCGTTTGGGTTTGAATTCAGATAAGCATGTCAAAAAGAATAGTAAAGATGCTGCATATGAGGAAAATGATAAGGATTCATCAGTGGATGAGGTCATGTCAATGCTGAGCAAGAGTCTCTACGACTGGGTGAAGTCAAAAAAATCTAAACCACCTACTAGACGACATGATGTAGAGAAGTTTAAGAATAAAAAGCAGACCACAGTCCACTCTGAGTTGGATAGTAATTACTTGGAAATGATTTCAGATAAGTCAAACATGATTTCTGCTACACCCACTGAAGATAAAGATGATCAAAGGAGTGAAGAGATACCATTTGTGGATTTTAGGCGGCGGAGCAAATTGCGGAAATTTAATGGTGATGACAAAGCTAGAGCGAATGATGAAAGTGCAGGAAATGATGGAGTCTTGGGTGGGCAGCACAAGAGAAGGAAGTTGATCAGGCCGAACTTCAGTGACAACGAGCCACTTGATGATAAAAGGAAAATTGCAAACACTTCTCTGATTGTACAAGTATTGTCAAAAGAGCCTCTTCATGATGTTGGCAGCCCAATTGCTAGCCTTGCAAATAATCCTAACATTCAGAATGACCTTGAGTATAAGGATCCTATTTTAAACAGATCGCCTCAAGATTGTTATGAGAACAGTCAGTTCACTGTGAAGGAGTCAGCCCTGCAAATACCTAAACCAAATTCTGGAACAGCAAATGAATTTTCTGTATTTGAATGTGACAGAGGCAATGAACTGGAGTTGCTTCCAAGAGTCGAACTTTGTCTAAACAATGCTGATCTTAGTATCGGTAATGTAGGCAGCTCAAGGAATCTGCACTCTGAGTTGGAAAGAGTAGCCAAAGAAGTTGCAATTTGTGTAGATGCTGGTATAGGTAATAACCACCACGGATCCAATGATATACAGTCTGAGGCATCTCTTAACACTGATGGTTGCTTCGACAAACAAGAACCATCTCAAGAGCACAGATCCAGTAAACTGTCTGAGGCATCTTTTGGCACTGCCGGTCGCCTCAACAAGCCAAAACCTTCTCAGGAAGTTCGGGACCTGAATGTCCAATTTGGAGAGAGACTTTTTATACTTAGTAATGGTCTCAAAAACTTTGAACGTGATGCTTCTAAGCATGTGGGTGAAAAGGGGGATGTTCTTCCAATCAGCAGGGGTATTGTTTGCAAAAGTTCTGACATTGGTACTTCTGAGAATGTGGAAGAGAGGAAGGATGTTCTTCCAAGCAGTCGTAGAGTCAGAAAAGGCAAACTCAGGAGAGCCTACGACCGCTCTGAAACTGATACTTCTAAGCATGTGGTCGATAGAAAGGATGTTCTTCCAATCAGCGGCTGTAGCAAAAGCTCTGACACTGATACCTTTGAGCCTGTGGAAGATAGGAAGGATGTTATTCAAAGCAGTGACGGAGTCAGAAAATGTGAAATCAAGACAACCTACGACCGCTCTGAAATTGATACTTCTAAGCATGTGAGCAGTCAGAAAGATGCTATTCCAATGAACGGTGGTAATGTTTGCAAAAGCTCTGACATTGGTACAGCTTTGAATGTGGAAGACAGGGAGGGTGCTCTTCAAAGCAATGGCGGAATTAGAAACTCTGAACTTAAGACGGCCCACAACCAAAATACAAGATTAACTCGTGATTTTGAGTTTGATGATGCTTCTGCAAGTGTTGACAGTGAAAGAGAAAACAAGAGGCTGTGGAGTATTTTAACCTCCAGGTTGAATAATCTGAAGAATGCTCAACAACAGTGACAAGCTCCTGGATTTTGGTCGATGCCATTTTTGCGTAGGCTCTCTGATCCTGGTTATGAATTCAAGTACCTTTTTTTGGATATGTTGACTGGAATTTTAACTTTCAAGTAGTCGTCGGGTGTGTCTGGTGGTTTTGTGGGTGATGATGACTTCAAAATGAACGTTGTCAATCTGCTAGTTTTGAGGGCTCACCTCAATCTTGCGCTTTGGCAGGAACAACGAAATTCAATCTCGATGTTATTAATGAATATATATCTAATGCTTATGGTGCCGTACATTGTTTGTACTAATATGACTGCTCTTATACCCACAGTTTCAATTTTGAGAACAGTCCGTCTCCATGTATGTTTTTACTTGTTGCATAAGTTTTCAAGCGTAGGAAGACTTTAAACTGGTTGAAGAAAAAAAGAAAGGAATGCTCAGAAATTGGGTATGTGAGGGGTGCGCACAAAACCACCATGATTGTTCAAACTGGTCAAATGAAATCAATCCAAGCGATTTAGGTTCGATTTTTACATTAAAAAAATGTAATCTAAGATTGAACCAAATCAGAATGCAATTAGATTAGTGTGGTTTGGTTTGAGACATGGCTTTTCTCTTGGTTACTATGTTTCATCTACAATGTTGATATCTATTTCTTCATCTTCAATAGTAAAGAGTTTTGTCAATTATTGTTAAATTTGCATTATTAAATGTTTGCATAATTGTTTGGGTAGGGAAATGACGTGACCAAATCGGCGACATTAATTTGATTCGATTTTGCTACTAGTTTGAGGTAAAATAAAATTTAAAAAAAAAAAAAAAAAAAAAAAAAAAAAAAAAAAAAAAAAAAACCACAAAAAAGAAAAAAAAAAAAAGGAGAGTGTTTTTATTTTGGCGGAAAAGAGTAGGAACATCAAAAAGTGAGATTTTTGAACAATTTCCTTGATTGTATTACTGAAAAAGACTGCAATTGTGAAAGCGGGCAGTTATTTGCTCTCCCTGTCTCTCACCTGAATCTCTCTCTCTCTCTCTCTCTCTCTCTCTCTCTCCTCTGCCCTCTTCCGATGACACCCAAACCTCGCAACCCCAAAACGGACCCAAAATGCTGAGAAGCATTCGGTCGCGACGGCCCCACCGAACCCGTTACGGTGTTTACATCTGCGCCGTCATCTCTGCCCTCCTCCTCCTCCTCTCCGTCTCTCTCCTCTACACTCGCCTCTCCCACTCCGAATCTCACCACTTCCACTACCGCCACCAGAACCCCAATGCTCAATACGGCGACGTTTCTCTCACCAACCCCCTCATCTCTGACGAGCTGAACGACGGCGTTTCCATCGCCACTGAGGACAAGATCGACGAGCTCGATGACGTCGTAGAAGAGACACCTAAAGACGAGGAAGTGGAGGACGAGGAGGATCCGCAATCCGACATTTCTCAGTCGAAGGTTTCTGGGTATGTATTTGATCATGTAACTGGGGTTATTAGGAGGGGTTTCAATAAGCGTAAAATTGAGGATTGGGACGAGGATTACAATGGGTTTACTGCGGGACTGGGTGCACTGGATAAGAGTAAGGTCGCGTTTGGATCTGATGATGTGCCTGTGGATATGGAGGTGCGGAGGAGGATGAGTGAGGTTGCGAGCATTGAGGACGCGCTTTTGTTGAAGGTGGGAAGGAAGGTTTCGCCGTTGAGAGAAGGCTGGGGAGAGTGGTTTGATAAAAAAGGCGACTTTTTGAGGAGGGATAGGATGTTTAAGTCCAATCTGGAGATGTTGAACCCTTTGCACAATCCAATGCTGCAAGACCCTGATGCGGTTGGCGTTACTGGGTTGACTAGGGGTGATAAGGTGTTGCAGAAATGGTGGTTGAATCACTTTAAGAAGGTCCCATTTACCGGGAAGAAGCAGTTGGGAATTTCAGGGAGGGCCCGAGTTTATGAAAATGGCGGTGAGGGTGGGAAAAAGGGGAGTAGTAGTGGAGATGGTGTTGTGAATGTAAGTGGAATAGGTGTAGGAACAGAGCTTGATGAAAATGAGAATGATAGGAAGGCCGGTAAGGATTTGAATTCTGGTGCAAATGGAAAATCTAACACAGATAGAAATTTATCCTATATGAGTAATGCGACTGATAAGGAGATTGGGAACACTGTTGAACAAATTAGTGATTCTGATCAAGTGGGTGGCTTCAAGGATGAGTTTTCAGGTGTTATATATGCAGATGGCAAGAGATGGGGTTACTATCCCGGTTTGAGACCCTTTTTATCATTCTCGGATTTTGTAGATACATTTTTCAGGAAGGGGAAATGTAATATGAGGGTGTTTATGGTGTGGAATTCTCCGCCTTGGATGTATAGTGTTCGACAGCAGCGGGGACTTGAGAGTTTACTCTCCCATCATCGAGATGCCTGTGTTCTAGTGTTGTCTGAGACGATTGAGCTTGATTTCTTTAAAGATAACTTTGTAAAGGACGGGTAATTTCTCGAAATTTGATTATTTTAATACATTTATTTGTTGATATGCTAATCTACATTTTGTACTGAGGTAATTCTTTTTCAATAGTTACAAAGTTGCTGTTGCAATGCCAAACCTTGATGAATTACTAAAGGATACTCCGACCCACGTATTTGCTTCTGCCTGGTTTGAATGGAGAAAGACAAAGTATTATGCTACTCATTACAGTGAGCTTGTCCGCCTTGCTGCTCTCTACAAGTAAGCTTGTTTAGTTGCATAGACATCTTTATACGGAGTAGTGAGTTTTTTGACACCACTTGTGACTGTTGTGAACTTTTTTATTTGGTACAGTATTGGTAAACATGCACAAAAATATATCTATAGTCATATATCTAGAACTTATGTGGGCATTACTGATCATATTTCTGAAGAGAATGCATGAGTAATCAAAGTTTTAAAATTTTTTATTTTAACAAAGCTGTATACTAAAAATATAGTCGCGCAAGGGAAATTAACTGATTTCTTCCCCCTGTTTTGGAGTGTGGAGGGAAAATATGAAATGTTTTGTCTGCAAGATATCATCCCTCCAAATTATTCGGAAAATTTCATTCCCCTTGCTCCATTCCACTTCCATAAATTTTTTTTTGACAAATAAATTTTAAGTCAGTTACAGAGATGTCATATTGTATTTGCTTAGGTGGTTGAGTTTTATAAGACTGCAACTTTTGTTAAGATGAGAAGTTCAATTTTAACGCAACACAAGATGAGTTAATTTGCCTGCTGAACATCTCTTGGAATACTTGATGTGTGTGTTAAATTTTTATTTTCTATGAATTGAGTGTGGCCATTACCTTCCTTTCTGATATTATCAAGTAAGCATGTGTAGGCTACCTTGAATAGGATAGTACACTATACATAACTTCAACATTTTTCTGTTGAGGGTAAATATCAGTCTAACTTCAGTTATTCGTTTTCGGTTGCATTTCTAGATATGGCGGAATATATCTTGATTCTGATATCATAGTCCTGAAGCCATTATCTTCACTTCGCAATTCTGTTGGTAAAGAGGATCAACTTGCTGCAAGTTCTTTGAATGGTGCTGTTATGGCATTTGAGAGGAACAGGTATTAAAATACTATATCGGGCAAAATCATTTTGAATTGGACTAATTATATTAAATATTTTTATGGTGAGGTTCTTTTGCATTCTTGAGTTAAGTAAGTAGCTTTTATGGGTACATTGTCTAGAGTTCACTCGTAATGCTTTCCCTTCACCTCATCTATCCTGTTGGTTTAGGAATTCATAAGCAGGAGCCATGGCTTTCTAGAATTTCTTTTTCACATTGCGCACTGAGCCAATAAATTTTTCTATTAATGTTCTGGGGGAAGACATTATAGGTTTTGGTGGATATTAAGTAGCATTGTTTAATACAGTTACATTTGTGTGTGTGCACTGGGCTATATGTACATGTGTATTTAGTTACTATTCATCTTATGCATCTCAAAATTGTTGATGAACTGCAAAACCTTTATTGAAAAAACTCTGGAGAAACAGAGTCCAGGGTTAGAAGATATTTGCATTTAAAATTAGGAAATTGAGTTATACTTCGCAATTTTTTATGGCATTTATGTCTCCATTTATTAACTTTTTTGTTTATATAATTTTGAGTGGCACTGTTGGGGAGGATTTTGAACTACTATATCGAATTGTGTGAAAAAAGTTTGGATTTGAGATTTTTTTCACGTTTGCATGCAGTCCCTTCATAATGGAGTGCTTGAAAGAGTTTTATATGACATATGATGATACTCGTTTGAGATGGAATGGGGCTGATCTGTTGTCAAGAGTTGCAAGAAGGTTTTTGGGCGTTCGTAATAAATCAGTTAGACAGCTGCAGTTGAAAGTGCAATCTTCTTTCATCTTTTTCCCAATTACTCCTCAGAATATCTCAAGGTAATCTTCTGGTTAATTTTCTCCAAAGCTGGATGAGTGTTGCAGGGTGTGCTGTGAGAGTGAACCGATCTGTGAAAATTCACTGTAGATCACCAATCACATCCCACAGCAGTCCTGCAACATTCATCCATCATTGGAGAATGCCCCTGACGTTCTGATTTCTTACTCCTTTTGTGCCTTCTATGGATGCATGTGGTGTGGGTGCATTTTGCTCGTATAATTTTTTGAGTTGTGTGTGTTTGAGTTCTTATGGTGTCATTTTTACTCAAATACCACTATTAGGAAGCTTCTTTTTCGTTAGAGCAAAAACTATTAACAAGGGTGTTTCTTTAAAGAAGATCAAGTACAGTAAATCATGCAGTGCTACTATTCTGAAACTAATAAAGCTACCTCAGAAGGCATGCTGTCCACCCATATTGTCTTTGAATTAACAGTTCCTTTCTTAGCTTGATCTCCTATTTAGCTGACAAGCGAATTATACGGTCATGAATGGTCAAGAACTTCATTGCTTTTTCATAGAAGATAGGCCAAAGTCAGAAGTTCTAAGATTAGTTAGTTTATTTTTATCAATGGTTAATGCTCAATAGTTTATAGAAGGCAGGTAACAGGTGTTATGATTATGGTACTGTTAGCTTTGACCAAAAGCAAGTTTGATTTGTCTTTTCACTCACTGATAGCATGCAAGTTTGGGCAAAGCATGCACATGGATCAAGGATGACTGTTTTTGTTCACGCACTTGATAAATTGCCTTGGTTAGTTATCTGGGAAACTCAATTTCTTCAAGCATTTTTGTAACTTCCTACATGCCGGATGGGCAAAGGCTATGTGAGCTAAAGAGTTCTGTAATCATTGGAAAAATCAAATACTCTTCAACATTTTTTGCTTTTATTTAGCAGTTTGTCATTTCTGGTTTACAAATCTCCCATGGCACTTTCCTCCTTTATGAATTAACCCAATTGAATTCAAACAGATATTTCACTGCACCGACAACAGAGACTGAAAAAGCTGAACAAGATGCTCTGTTCAGAAAGATTCTAAATGAATCGTTGACATTCCATTTTTGGAACAGCTTGACATCTTCTCTCATTCCAGAGCCAGAGAGCCTTGCTACCAGGCTTATTGACCATCCTTGTATCCGATGCACTGATGTTTTATGAATTCACTTGATTCCTCTATTTGGTCAATACTGGAGGTCTAGATAACATTCAAGCTATTACACTTCTGACTGATGATTAAAAGATGGGTGTTGACCTGCATTGGTGATCTGACTGTAGTTTGGGGACATGAAAGCTCAAGCCCGTTGTTGTGGTTCTTGGATCGTGTATCTTCTTTGTATGCTCATGATAAAAAAATAAAAAAAGAAGGGGTTTTTTCCTTTAAATTAAAAAGAAAATATAGTTGGATTTGCTTAGGTGGCTTTTTGTTGTTAAATCATTAGTCTATGCCGTTCTTCTTCGTAGTGTAGAGTATCTCTGATCAAAGGTTTAAAATGCTATATTTGTTTATGATAGTGGTTCGGCAAATCATTCACCTGTATTAAAAGAGACAATTTGTTACTTGTCCACATGGAAATATAGAAAGATGCCTTATTCTTTATTTATTTTCCCATGATTCTCTCTCTCTCTCTCTCTCTCTCTCTCTCTCTCTCTCTCTCTCTCTGCACAGTGATGCAATGTGTTCTTGCTGATGCTTTCATGTTTAAAAGTTGTCCAGGGTCAGATTTTTCAAGCATGGATTCCTTGAAATTGTCCAAGCTTGCAAGATACAAACTGCGTGTGCGCTCAGCATACTTGATGGTTCCTGCCAGAAACAGGAGGATTGTTTTGTTGGTGGGAAATGATTGAATGAAGACATTATGCATGGCAGCTATTACTTGGAATATGAGGCAAAGAAAATGCCTTAGCCACAGCGTGCTATCTTCAAGAGCAAACGCAGTAATGGTGTAACAAGAGAATTGGAGGCCAAAATGCCAAAAGATCCTCATTGTTATTGCCTGGACCTCGCCCATCGCCTTGGTCTGGGCGGTTTTTTATTTCAGATTTTTTTTTCCTGACTTGAAAGAAAACTAACCTCACTCTGTCGCCTCCTTCACCAAATTCAAGAAAATCAAGCTCTTTAATTACCAGAATGTCTCGCTTGGATAAGAACCGATCCAGGTAGTTAGTGGCAAGGTATGGTATGAAAGGGTGAAGGAAGGTTGCAAGAATATTGAGCCTGATAAATTAGACTAGTTTAGACCAATATGCAAGAACAGAGATAAATTAACTGAAGAAACAGAGCTCACAAGTATTCTTTTCTTCTTCTTCTTATTCTATTTCATTTTTTTACCTGTAAAAACAGAGAAATGGCTTCGAGGCGAAATGCATAGTAGAAATCTGAGTCTTTTGAGCAGCTTTGATTGAGACTCTGTCTGCGTTTTTCCACACCATTCTCATCACATGGGATGCAAATGAGTTTAGGACACTTGACTATCTCCAAGTAGGTCAGGCCTGGAAACAACTTCAATCCATCTGCAACTTTTCCAACAACTTCAAGCGCACTATTTTCACAACCCATTTGCATTGTTTCCCGTGACACAGATTTGAGAGGCTTCCACCCCTGATATAGAGCTTCTTTACAGCCAATCAGGAATCTTAGAACCAGGGAAGTAATGGAGGTTAAGTTTCTCCATAGGAACAGGAACTGGAGCCATCATCGATGGAGGCTTTTTGGCAGTGTCATAAAGTCTTGACCATGATATAGATAAAGATGAGCCCAAAACAGCCCTTTTACAGAAATGTACATAAACTTATTTATTCATGCTGCTGCAATTGCTAAATACTGCCTGCATTTACATGGGTACTGTATTCTACAACATCAACAATATAATGCACACAGAAAAAAGTAGCTATAGATTGAACAAACAAAGCATGATAAAAGCCCTTTAGTCTCCATGAAAACCGCATTAATTCCCAACAAATCAAGCAATTCCAATCCCTTTAACATTACATGGGCCCAACCTTGATTCATTTGATTACATGTTTCTCCTTCCTCTAACTGAACCTCTCTGCCTTTTCTCTTTAGAAACATAAAGAGCAAGGAGGTGGTGGAAAGAGATCATAAGCAATTATGCCTAAGCATTGATTAGTTAAGCACAGTGTTCCTAGTCCATGGCATTGGGACCAAAGCATCTTCTTTTCACAGGGTTCCATACCCATTGCACCAAGAACTTCCTTCCTTTCACCCCATTCACATTAAACCCATTTCCCCATTTGTCCTTTGACACTACACCAACATACCCTCCACCCCCGCCAGTCCCGTAAACACCCATACACAAATCTGCAATTTCTGTTGGTGCAGTTGGGTCATCACCTGCATACCATGCATTCACAAGTGGGTTACTTGAAACCTCTGCTAGCTCATGAGCTAGCACGCTGATCATCCCGTCAGCACCGGCATCCCCATTCGGTGCACGCATAATGTTGTTGCCGGCATTTGTGCTTGGCGGTGGCTTGCCTGAATACTTAGGCCAGGCAAAAGGGTAAGCACACACCCCTGGACACTGAGTGCCACTATTGCCAACCCAAGCATAAGGAACAGTGACACCAACAATGGTTGGAAATGTGAAGTAGTGAAAACCACAAACTGCCCTGCAGAAATCTTGAACTCTAACATCAGGAGAGGACAGAACTAAGTAGAGACCATTGTGAGGATTGAGAGGTAAAGCTCTTGGATATGGTGAAGTGACAGCATATTTTATGATGGATTGCATTGATAAACGGCTGAGATAGTTGCCATGGGAGTAGGCAGAGTCATAGAACTCTCCAGAGAGAGCAATGCTTCTGGTGATGTTTGATCCAGTTTGATCAGTGTAGAGCCTCACAGTGCTCCACCAATCAGCAACAGCAGGGTAAGGGGCAGGAGAAGAAAGAGAGTAGATGAAATCTCTAATTGTGGATTGGTGTGCTGGGTTCCATTTGCCATACCAAATTATGTAAAGGTTGATGGGAGAAGTAAGGACAGGACCCATGTGGTACTGAAGATCCACCAGATCAGAAGACCCCTCATAGTTCTTGGCCTGGTTGAATTCCCTGTTTTGGCTCCATGAATGAGCCAGAGTAGCAGAGAAAACAAAGCAAGCAAGAAAGAAGAAATTGCAATGCAGCTTTTGCATCTTGATTTTCTTTTTGAATGGTCTTGTGTGTTTGTGGGTGGTGGTGACAGACAGAGGGAGCTTCTTATAGAGAGAAACCAATGAAAGTAAATGGGGTGGGTGAGATTCTTCTTTATAATTTGCTTGTGGTTTGCATCTTTACATGATAATTTCAAGTCCTTGTCTACTTTTTAATGATAACTATGTTGTGTTTCCCCCTTTCTTTTTTCTGTTTCTTTTATGAAAAACAGAACTCTTTAATATTCTTATTATCATCATATTAGAATAAAGGTGTTATGCTAACCAACCTTTCAATGTATAATTGTTCCATCCTACTCCTAGGGTAGGAGATTGGGATCATACAAGACAAGCAACTGTTTTCTTTATCCCCAAAACAGTTATGGCACAAGTTTTTATATAATTTATGATTCTCTCTTTTTCTTAGATTTTTCTTCTCTTTTCCTCTGCCACCTCTCTTGAATTGCTCAAGTTTTAAATGCCTAGATGCTAATGAAATGCTAGTTTATTGTTCTTCCATGTAATATAATACTCTGTATGCTGAAAACTTGGTTATTCTCAAACTTCAACTCATTTTAATACTCAATTTATATTTCAGCAGTTTGCAATATATATTCTCTTCTGTGGACTTCCGAATATTATTACCGTGCGAACACTTTATATATATATATATAGATTATGTTTTCTGCTCATAAACTTATAGTAAGCAATCAGATTAACTTCCAACTTAAATAATTCTGCTATCATCAATGATTAATCATATTATTTGAAGAATAAACCTCCCAAATAACATTTTCTTATGTTTAAACTATTCAAGATTTTCATGCATGGCCAATCATCCTGAAAGAAGAGTCCCACACGGTTTGCCCTAAACATAGTTGTGATATTGTAAAATATTCCCTTTATTAAAAGCTAAAACACTCACCAACCTGTGATTAGGATTAAAGGTCTTTACAAGAAAGAAGAAGAAGAAGAAGAAAATGATCAGGGTCAAAACCAAGTGTTAAAAAGTAAATGATGGGTGTGCCCTGTGGTAAAAGCAAGCATGTGATGCCTTTCCATAATTTTCCCCCTTTGGACTACACCCCCATTGCTTTTCAAGATCATTGACTAAATCTATGTATTTTGGCATTACTTAAATTGTTGATGCGTCAAATGCATTACATAGCGTTGCTTGGCCAATTTACTCCCAAAAATTCCATGGTGGAAGAGTCAAGTGGCAACATGTGCAACCATAAAATAATATATCTATCCAAGCGATATAGATACACACACTACCAAAATATCGTAAGAGTTCGAATTTGAAACCACTAGTCTCTAAGTTAAATCCTCTTCCACTTAACTAGACCTCATAAAAAGGTAACTTGAACTGATGGTAAAGAAAGATGCGGACCAAAGCAGGTTTGTGTTCATTAATTTATAAGTGGATTGACAATTTGACATGACCTCTCAAAATATCAAAAGTTCATGTCACTGTTGGTTCTTGTATAGGTTTTTTATGCGCAGTAAAAAATATCTCGCAATCAATTAAAGGTGGCGGGGGGAGGGGGGGTTCCATGTGATGGGTTTGATGAGCGCATATTCAACTCTCATCAGCCCATGAAAATAGGGATGGATTGGATTTTTAAAGGCAAAGCTTAAAAGAAGGAACTGTGTTGCTGGCTTGCTGCTACCTAATCATCATAAAGGTCTTCCAATTGAGTGCCAAATGGCCAATGCTTTTTTCAGTTACCGCAGTTAGAGGCATCAACTGGTTGCTCAGTTCATGCCTTAACACTTTTTCAATGGCCTGTTGGAATAGAAGGTTGAAAGAAGGGCATCACAGAGGATTGTAGTGAAATATGATAAGTGAAATAACAGAGAAAACTTAAGTGCACCCAAAGAGAATCATTACAATGGACTTGTGCTGAGTTTAGGTTCGAATTGTCATCCCTTTTCTTCCACAAGAATCTAACTTGCACTTGCTGGGTATACATAACAATAAACCTCTTTTATATAAGTGAGAATCTAAACTACTTTAATCACAAGAAAAGATGACTGAACTTGAGTGTAAGAAGACAAATAGACTACCTTGACCAACTGTGACAAATTAGATTAGGATTCAGTATCTCTCGCAAATTAGTCAAATGGATATTTTATCTTCAACTTAGATCAATACCCTATTTGCCACCTGGCCAAGCACTAACTCTAACTCTAAGGTAGGGGCAATAACTTAACTCTAATTTCAAAAATACATATTGACCTCAAATGAAAAATCCCATAGACTTGATAGCTTGTATGGTTCATCGCATTCGCATTCATACCTCTTTTGTATGAAGATGTATGGAAACCTACTACTTGCAGTAGTGGTAATGTCTCTACATGTTCACACTTCATCTTATATGAATAAAAATATGAGAACTCTAGTATTTTACAAGATGTCACGTGATATGTATTAGTGTCTAACGCAATGCGTTTAACTTATTAAATGTAAATTTCATATTATATAACAATTAGAGTAATGATCTAACTTCTAAGCACAGTGAATGGTACAACAATACTACACTAATAACATGAGATTCATAAAATCCTAACAATCAATTGCAGCCATAAAATAAAAGAAAGTTTAATTGCTAGAAATATGTTCATAAAACGTGCTGCCAAAACCCCTTATGTGCTGCGGATTCTGTAACCCAAGAAACGAAAAAAGCCCTATATTCATAATTTGGCCTGGGCCGGCCCATTTTACTCTAAAACATTAAACAACCCATATATAAATCCGAAAAAGAAAGTTCTTGAAGCCGAGGTACGACACAGTGGAGACCAGTCGAGCTGACTGAGAAGCCTCTGTGAGCCTCTTTTACTTTCATGGTTTCTCTTCGAATTCTCAGAAGAACTCATGAACTCCAACAGAAGCTATTATCGCCTACTTCAAACCCCATTTCTCTCTTCTACACCCTCTTCTCTCTCAGAACAGTCTCTTCCTACACTCACTATGATGACCCATACTCCACAACTACCATCACCACCACCACCTCCAGCTCCAGCTCTTCCCAATCTCAGTCTCTTGTCAGAACAATCTGTGCATTGGTATGTCAGTCCTATTCCCCACAAACCAATCTGAGACCATCACCTCCCAAGCTCAACCTTGACTTAAATGCTGATTCTTTGACGCATGAACAGGCTATTTCTGTTGTTGCTTCACTGGCTGAAGAGGCTGGTTCCATGGTAGCCTTGAGTTTCTTCTATTGGGCAATTGGGTTTCCCAAATTTCGGTATTTTATGCGGCTTTATATATTTTGTGCAATGTCGTTATTTGGGAATGGTAATTTGGAGAGAGCCCATGAAGTGGTTCATTGTATGGTGAGGAATTTTGCTGAGATTGAGAGATTGAAGGAGGCTGCCGATATGGTCTTTGAGATGCAAAACCAAGGCCTTATGTTGAGTACTCGGACGTTGAATTGTGTTCTTGGGATTGCCTGTGACTTGGGTTTGGTTGAGTATGCAGAGAATTTGTTTGAGGAAATGTGCGTGAGAGGGGTATCGCCTGATTCTTTGAGCTATAAGTCTATGGTTGTTGGGTATTGTAGGAACAGCAGAGTTTTGGAGGTGGATAGGTGGTTGAGTAAGATGCTTGAGAGAGGCTTTGTTTTGGATAATGCTACGTTTACTTTGATTATAAGTCTGTTCTGCGAAAAGAGTCTTGTAAGTCGAGCGTCTTGGTGCTTTGATAAGATGATTCGGATGGGTGTGAAGCCAAATTTGATTAATTTCACATCTTTGATTCATGGGTTGTGCCAGAGGGGCAGCATTAAACAAGCATTTGAAATGTTGGAGGAAATGGTTAGGAAAGGTTGGAAGCCTAATGTGTATACACATACAGCTTTGATTGATGGGCTCTGCAAGAAAGGTTGGACTGAAAGGGCATTCAGGCTGTTTCTTAAGCTTGTCCGGAGCGATAATTACAAGCCAAATGTACATACATATACTGCCATGATCCGTGGATATTGCGAAGAAGACAAAATGAGCCGTGCAGAGATGTTATTGAGCAGAATGAAAGAACAAGGATTAGTTCCTAACACCAATACGTATACTACTCTCGTTTCTGGGCATTGCAAAGCTGGGAATTTTGATAGAGCATATGAATTGATGGATATAATGGGAAAAGAAGGATTCGCTCCTAATATCTGTACATACAATGCAGTTTTTGACAGCCTCTGTAAAAAGGGGAGGGTTCAAGAGGCATATAAGTTGATTAAGAAGGGCTTTCGCCGAGGATTGGAAGCTGACAGGGTCACGTATACCATTTTCATATCTGAGCACTGCAAAAGGAGTGATATTAACGGGGCCTTGGTGTTTTTTAACAAGATGCTCAAGGTTGGGTTGCAGCCTGATATGCATTCATATACCACTTTGATTGCTGCCTTCTGTAGGCAAAAGAAAATGAAAGAAAGCGAGAAATTTTTTGAGTTATCTTTAAGGCTTGGCTTGATTCCCACCAAGGAAACCTATACTTCAATGATATGCGGCTACTGTCGGGATGAAAATATTGCCTTGGCTGTTAAATTTTTCCATAGGATGGGTGACCATGGTTGTGCCCCAGATAGTTTTACGTACGGTGCTCTAATAAGCGGGCTCTGCAAGGAGGAGAAATTGGAAGAGGCTCGTAGGTTATATGATACCATGATGGACAAAGGGCTGTCGCCCTGTGAAGTTACTAGGTTGACATTAGCTTACAAGTACTGCAAAAAAGATGACTCTGCAGCTGCTATGGTTTTATTGGAAAGGCTAGAGAAGAAGCTCTGGATCCGCACAGTGAATACATTGGTGAGGAAGCTTTGTAGCGAGAAGAAAGTGGGCATCGCGGCATTGTTCTTTCATAAATTAGTGGACAAGGATAAGAATGTGGATCGTGTGACATTGGCGGCGTTTAAGACTGCATGCTATGAGAGCAACAAGTATGCTCTTGTTTTGGATTTGACTGAGAGGATCTCTAAAGGAATTGGCTAGCAGCTGAAATATACTGAAAAATGGCTCACATAATTTGCTGGTCTTGAACTTGTGCAGCAGGTGCCATGACTGTCTTCAAAAGGGCTCGAGTCTTTATGTCCCTTTCATTGGTGAGCAACCAGCATGCTAAGCCAGTGATTCTTTTTGTGCTTTGAGGAGCTTTTTGTTGTAACTCAAAACTGCAATTTCATAACAGTTAATATTCCAACTGTAATTGAAGTGGGGGGATATTTCTGCCATGCAATCTTGTTGGATATCTCTTGATGAGTTAAGTTGGAGGAGGGTTATATTTTCTTTACTCTATATCCCTTGTAATCAAATAAATTGCTTGAAGGAATTCCGCATGTGGCGGAGGCCCACGTGCAATGCACGTGTGATCCTACCATTTACAATAAAAAAGAACAGGATGAGTGTCAAAATGACGTAATTGATTATCTCTCTGTTTAGACTATTTGTACCACTTTCAATATTTAAAAAGAAAAAAAGAAGAAGAAGAAAAGAGTATTTGTATCCCTGGGTCGGACCTCCACAACATCTCATTTACTCTCTTCCCCCAGTGTCTCTCTCAGATCCCCTTGAAGGTAAACTTATTTTTATTAGTTTTCGCTGTTCCGCATTTTTCCAATTCTGAATTGCAAGAAAGCTACTGAATTTCGTTTGAAAATTTTCATTTTGTTATTGTGTTGCTTTTGCTTCAGCTGGATTTCTATTGTTATAATTGTTTGTCTGGTGCTTTTCTTAATTTGATTTATTTGGTTATTGTGAATTGTTGAACTATCTGTACAGTGGAAAACAATGAATTTGGTTGGTTGGAGAATTTTCAAAAACAATAATCCAGTGGGTAAGAAACTAAGAATTGTTAAATAGATTATCCGTTAAACTACCCAGATAACAAAGCCTGGCTTTAGACTCATCCAACGGTCCATTAGTCAGCTTGAAAATTTCCTTTCAGTTCTAAATTTTTAATCAAGATTTGATTTTCTAGTTATATTTAGTTCTAGCTGAATTGAAGAAAATGTTATAACTTTCATTAAATAGATTTCCTTTCAATCCATTCAACCGGCCTTTGATTGGGAATTTGATCCCCTGTTTGTTCAGTATTGGATGAAATATACATAAAGGGTGGAAATATTTTGTACTTTTTTAGTCTCTTAGAACCATTGGATGAAATATCCTTGAGGTCATATATAATTGATCAAATATAGGGAATAAAACTAATTGTTGCATGTGTTGATTCTTCAGCAGACTATCAAATGGCTCGATCTGCATTAGATGAGACCTCACTATCTGGTGCATTTGTGAGAACTGCTTCTGTATTCCGTAACTTCATTTCACGGGACCCAAATTCGCAGTTTCCAGCAGAACCTGGAAGATATCATCTGTATATATCATATGCTTGCCCTTGGGCTTCCAGGTGCCTTGCATATTTGAAAATTAAAGGACTTGAGAAAGCCATCAGCTTTACGGTAACTCTATTAAGTTGTTACACATATTAGATTCACCTTGTAAGAGCCAAACTGACTTTGTGTGTTTGTTGTTTTGCTCAGTCAGTCAAACCCATATGGGAAAGAACAAAAGAAAGTGATGAGCATATGGGGTGGGTTTTTCCTGCTTCTGATACAGAGCTAGCAGGAGCTGAACCTGACCCTTTGAATGGAGCAAAAAGTATTAGAGAACTTTATGAGCTTGCAAGCACCAACTATACCGGAAAGTACACAGTTCCAGTATGTTTACTGATATCAAGTGGCCTTTACATGTTTTATCTTTCTTTTCCTTTTGCTTTTGTTAAACCAAAGGACTGACCTTTTCGCTTTGGTAGGTTCTATGGGATAAAAGACTCAAAACAATTGTCAGTAACGAGAGTGCAGAGATTATTCGCATGTTCAATACTGAATTCAACAATATAGCAGAAAACGCAGCTTTGGACTTGTATCCTCCTCACTTGCAATCCCAAATTGATCAGAGTAATGAATGGATATATAACAAGATAAATAATGGCGTCTATAAATGTGGGTTTGCAAGGAAGCAAGAGCCTTATGATGAGGTATATTTTGCATGCTCTGATTAGTTTTGACTATGGAAGTTCTGGTGTTTATGTTCTCTTTAAGGACTATCTGTGCCTCATCAAACACGTTGGTTGATATTTTTTGCTTCAGGCTGTGAAACAATTGTACGAAGCTTTAGACAAATGCGAGGAGATACTGAGCAAGCAACGATACTTGTGTGGGAACACATTGTCTGAAGCAGATATTCGGTTGTTTGTCACTATTATAAGATTTGATGAGGTACTGATATTTCCCCTCAAGCAAGAATTTATATCTGTCAGAAAATTTGCCAATTTAATTGTTTTCAGTCTAATATGATTGTTCTGTTTGAAGAGAACCAAGAACCATGCTAGAAATGCAAGATTTTGTTTCTAACCAAATCCAAAGCGTATCAGATTTTTCAATAGGATATTACTTCTTCATTCTTCAAAAACTTTTCTTTTCCCTTGGATTGGGATTTTCTTTAGCTCATTGTGATTTCTTATTAATAACGGAACGACTCACTTATAGGTTGTATTTTATTTTGTCAAGATTCCGTAACGTGATATTTTTGCTTAGCTAACGTCTTGATTTTTCGGTTAGGCTTTATTTAGCACGAAACTTCTGTCACATCACATGGTTCCACTGTCTAAACAATTCAATTTTTTATGTTGTTTTTGTTATTGATTACAGGTTTATGCAGTGCACTTCAAGTGCAACAAGAAATTACTACGAGAGTACCCAAATTTGTTTAACTACACCAAAGAAATTTTCCAAGTTCCTGGGATGAGCAGCACCGTCAACATAGATCACATAAAACGACACTATTATGGAAGCCATCCCTCCATCAATCCATTTGGCATAATTCCCAGCGGACCAGATATCGACTTTTCTTCTCCTCACGACAGAGACAGGTTTTCTACCTGAGTTTTGTATAAACTATACAGATATCATTTTCATTTGTGGGCTGAGGTTGTGTGTTTTCATCTATTTGTAAAGCTCGTTTGTCGGACCATCTGTCTTGTGCCATTATGTTAAACTCTTGATTGCCAATCTTAAGGAGTGCGTTATCAGATTTTACGCAAAAGCGCTAATCGGTTAGAAAGTTAATATGGCATTAATTTTATGTTGTTGCCTACTCCAGTGTGCGATTTCACTCCGAAATCATTCAAAAGTAAAATTTAGGCCAAATAAAAATTCATTTAACCACTTGATTATTACAAGGCAATGAACATTTACTTGTAACCTTGTTTATTCAAAACGTTGTATTAACACAAACTTTGATATACTGTGTGAGCTTAATCCAATGAACCAACCACAAAATGAAAATAAAAGCGTCATCCATCAAAATTACATTTTTGTATTATGCATCCTAATTATTAACAAAATAAAAAGTTTTTTTTTTATAAAAAAATATCTTCTATTCTGCATTTGGGTTGTTGAGCTGGTGTTGGTGAGAGGAGAGGCAGACTGAGAGCGAGAGCTGAGCCTCTTGGCACTGCGACCGCTTCAGACCCGTTCCTCCACTACCGCACAGGCTCCGAACCGCTTCCCACTCCTCCGGGCACGCCACAGACACCAGGCACTCCGCCAGACCCCGGTTCAAGTGCCGGCACGCCGCCTCGCGAGCCAGACCCGGCCCAATCCGCCTGTGGCAATCCATCAAAGCGCTTTGCAGCCGATCGCATTTCGTCATCGCCGGTTGCTTCTCTTCAGACATCGTCCGTTTTTTCGTTCGTCTTCTCCTCTGCTCTGCAGCGTTTTGAGCTGCGGTTTGCGGTGCGAAAATCGCGCTTTGATGTGTGAATTTTGTTGTGGGCTTAGCTCGTCACTAGGCCTAGTGGGCTATCTTATGGGCCGCCATTATCATATATAGTACCAATGTTCACCCAAAAGGAAAATCAGACCCAAACTGCATATCAAAGCATGTTATTGATTTTCCCCAACAAAAAATAATAATAATTAAAATTTGATATAAATTAGGTTTTAGGCATGTAAGTTGGAGGATGGTAGAGATGTAAAGCTTTTCTACTTGGCGGGATTTATAGCTTCACTGGTAGAGCATTTACCCTTACATTCGCAATGTGAGTCTCGTTCTCGACGTTCTTTTTACTTTAGGCCTCTTTTGAACAAAGACAAAAAAAAGAAGAAGTAGGCTTTTCAGGAAGCTTTACTCACAAATTATGTCCCATGCAAACGCCTAATGCCAAGAGAAGAAATAGAATTGTCAGAGCACCTTTTCTTATCTCTCGTGGGATCTGCTTCTTCAATCCACTCGGGCAAAATTTGAAGCTGCAGCCTGTTTTTATTTTTGTTTTGTCTTTTTTCTATTTAGTTTTTTTTTAAGAGTTGAGTCACTTTTTGAAACAGGAAATGGGCCTATTATGCAAAAACAAAAGACAAAAAAAAAAAGTTGGGGGGAAGAAAAAAGAAAAATTTAGAGTGAAGGACTCAAGGACACTTGGGTGAGTGCTCCTACAAAATCAAAATTCCTTTTCAAAAGAACAAGATCATTGTGGTGGAACCCATATTGTGGACAGTGATCCAATAATTGCATTGTTGAAATTTCCTTGTTGGAGTCTTTTGATTCCTCTCTCATAAACGGTCTCATGCTTGAGCTAGCTGGGCAAATTTATCCTTGTCAATTGTAGACTACAAATATATACATGACAAAAAAGCTTACATATCCAAAGTTGCAATCTTCCAATTATAAAGGGTCCCAAGCAAATAGTCTTGGCAGGCTAAAAGTGATTGCTGCCTTGTTAGCTTGTTCATCTATAAGTCTGAAATGTTATAGAATTAATACATCAGTTTGTATCACTATCACTTATATTGGAAGTACTATTGTTTAGTATATGCAATCTCAATTTGTGTGGATAGTTTAATGAGAGGAGACTGATAATTATTATCATTGAATGATAATTAGAAGATGAATGAAGAAGATAATGTCTGAGCTAAAAGTTGAAGATAATGCAAGGGATATCTGATTGGATGGAGAGAGAGAGAGAGAGAGAGAGAGAGAGAGTTTAACTTCTAGAAAGACAATTTTCTTTAGCAAGGTCTACTAGATAGCCTTTGCAAAGAAGAATAATGGCAGTACCACATGATGTAAGAGAGAGAGAGAGCTCTGAGAAATTTCACTATTAAGATAAAACCCATTAAGGCAGAGAAGCTATAATCATATTAGAGGGACACAAGTGTTTGTCTCCAACTCTCTCCCTCATACCCCACATCTAATCATTCTCTAGTGTATGTCTAATTTTCTATCAAACATTTGATTAACTATAGCTTAAAAATATTTAAACCAAAATGAATTAAGCAAGGATCTATATTACAATTCCTGGAGAGAATGCAAGAAGACCACCAAAATGAAAAAAGAAAATTTGGTCACTCTAACCCTCTAGCTAGATGGGAATTGAATTATTAGGATGAAGAGTGTGCTACTTTTGGGGAGCAAATATGGATGGGACCCTATTCCCCACCACCAAATTAAAATATCAATGGCATCCAAGAAAATCAATTTGCTCTCTGCCAATCTCTCCTCCATTAAAACTTCCCACCAAGAAATGTGATGAGATGCAAAAAGGGCAAAGAAAAAGAAAAAAAGAAAAAAAAAGGAAAAGGAAAAAAGGGCGGTATAAACAAATACTCCTAAATGGTTCTTTGTATTTTTATAAAACAAATACCAGATACTAGATATTATATGGTCTTTCTCTCCAAAGTAGCATGGAAAGTATAACCTTCTCATTCTCTAAACTTTAAAGCTCTCTTTCTAAATATAGATGTTCTTTTCCTCACTCTGTCACTTTTTCTCTTTGCACACATACAATACTAATCTTTGTGCCGGATGGTAATTAGATTCTATGATGAAGTGATTGTAGCACACAATCTTGATCTTTTAGATGATGGGTTTGCGGGAAAATCTTTACTAGGGCATGAAAGTCTTCAAGGGGCTTTGCTTTGAGCCCTCCACAGCTCCACCATTAGTGATCAGTGAGTTCTCTCTGAGTTATGCCTTTAACTTTGTTCATATTTTTGGTGTTCATAAATTCTATCTGGGTTCTGCGCAAAGTGTGAATTTGGGGTGTTGTGCTTTCCGGGTTCAGTCTCTTCCCTCATTATGAACAATCCTAACAATCTAGGACCATTTGCTCATTTTACGTCTACCTATTTCATGAATTTGGGGCGTTGTGCTTTCTGGGTTCAGTCTCATCTCTCATTTTCCCTTTTTTGCTTTAATTTTGTGTGTTATTTCTTGTCGTGCATCCATGAATTTTCTTGAAGTTCCAATCTTTACTGTGGGATTCATTTCCCCAGATACATTTTGAAGAGTTTGCAAGCCTTCGTGAGCTTAGTAACAGAGGAGCAGCTAATATTTATAAAATGCTTGTTTTTTAGTTTTCTGGATGCATTTTCAAACATGATAGAGGCGAAAAATTGAATTTCATAGCTCTTTCGGTATGCTTGGCATGATTAAATGTATCCAAAATGAAATTTTTGGTTAAATGACAGCTTATGTTAGTGTCTCCCCTGAGACAAGAAGTTAGAGAGCTCCTGTGCTCTCTATATACAATCTGTGCCAAAAGAGCTTGTACCATTGTCCTCTTGTTAATATTCAACATTCCACCTTTTAATTTTAATTTATTTTTGTCCATATTTTTTCTGCACCTCTTAGGAGTTCATTTCAGATTAGATTAATTTTATCTTTTCCTTGTTGCCCGTTCTTTATTTCTTTCTGCCCTTCTTGTCTACCTTTTTGGTTCTTTTGAGTAAGGGTTCAAATTTGTTCTGTAATGCAGTGCTTCTGTGTTTTTAAGTCTAAACTCCTTTAAGTTAAGTTATTTTTAAAGGCTGAACAAGAAGAAGAATGAATTTGTAGGTTATATTTTAGGATTTTGTACTTCTTAACCATAAATATGGATCTCCTGAGAGATGTATTTATATCACGTAGGAGAGCTGGAAGATGGACAGGACCAGATTAGATTTAAGGTTTCATCACTCTGGATCAGCACAGTCTGAGGAGTCTGCTTTAGACTTGGAAAGAAATTACTGCAGTCATCATCCTATTCTTCCTTCATCAAGTCCATTGGCCCTCCAGCCTTTTGCATCTAGTGGTCAGCTCTCTGAGAGCAATGCCGCCTACTTCTCGTGGCCCACTTTGAGTCGGTTAAATGATGCAGCAGAAGATAGAGCAAACTATTTTGGAAATCTTCAGAAGGATGTTCTCCCTGAAACTTTGGGCCGGTTGCCATCAGGGCAGCAGGCTACAACCTTACTTGAGCTGATGACCATTAGGGCATTCCATAGCAAGATCTTGCGCCGGTTTAGTCTTGGGACTGCAATTGGGTTTCGGATTCGAAAAGGCATCTTAACAGACATTCCGGCCATTCTTGTCTTTGTTGCCCGTAAAGCTCACAGGCAATGGCTAAGCCATGTGCAGTGTCTACCTGCTGCCCTTGAGGTGGAAAATTTTGGTGTCCTTTTTCTACATTCTGATTTTTAGATTTTATATTATCTGTGCCATTGTATATTATTATTGAGGTTTGTTTTAAGTTATTTTCTTTCAATCACGAGGCTGGTCAGAATGATGAGCTTTGTGTATTTTTCTGTTGGTTGAAATAATGCAATTTTGTAAAAGCCGTTGAGAATGTATAAACTACTGGCTTGTTAAAAACTTGTAAGTTATTTAAAATAAATAAAAAAATAAAAAAAAGCTAATTGGTTATTTTGATCTTTGACTAAGTTATTGTTTGGTTTGGTTTATGCATATAAAAAATGGTGCAGGGGCCAGGAGGTGTATGGTGTGATGTGGATGTTGTAGAATTTTCCTATTATGGTTCCCCGGCTCCAACTCCAAAAGAACAGCTGTATACAGAGCTCGCAGATGGCTTGCGGGGAAGTGATCCATGCATTGGTTCTGGTTCCCAGGTATTTTCTTAAGAAAATTGCTGTCCTGTTTGTTTTCTGTGGTGGTGGTAATTTGGTGTTTGATCTCCAAGTTCAGGCTGCGGATAAGTAATATAGATAGAAAATACCCATATGGAGACTGGAACGTAGCCTAGGTGCTACTGAGGTCTTTACCATTCCAATAAAAAACTATTCAAGGATAAGATAATGATAAAGTTATCATTGTTTCACTCGGGTTTGGTTCATATTCTTAATTACTTAATAGTATGAGTTGCTTTAGGGCTGGATCTTCTCATGGATAAGCTTGTCAACTAACAATAAGAATACAAGCTAAAAATATGCTTTGGTATGCTGGATTTGGTATTAAACAGAATCAGTTTTATTTAAAATTTGGATAGGTCTTGTTTGGCTAGTAAATTTGCTCATTGAACTTAACAAAATAAATAATAAACATGAATTTTAATCCGCCTTATATGCCTATCTACTTCAAGGAGCTGAATTGGGAACAATGCTGCAACCTCTCAATTTATGTTTATTTTTATGTGTTGATTTCTCTAGTGCTAGGGAGAAGCCCAACATGAGGGGGATTATTAGAGTATAGAAACATTACTCGGCCTACATGCCAACACTTTAGGCTTTTAGGAATAGTAGGAAACCCTAAACGTCAAATTTATTGATGGGATTTGTATATACGTTGATTTCTTTGTGTCTCAACTAGTTAAGTTTACCTAATTGTTTTTTGCTTGTTTAGGTTGCTAGCCAGGAGACTTATGGAACTCTGGGTGCTATTGTTAAAAGCCGAACAGGAAATCAACAGGTTGGTTTTCTCACAAATCGGCATGTGGCAGTTGATTTGGACTATCCAAACCAGAAAATGTTCCATCCTTTGCCACCAAGCCTTGGACCTGGGGTGTATCTTGGCGCTGTGGAGAGGGCGACATCTTTTATCACAGATGATCTTTGGTATGGCATATTTGCTGGAACAAACCCAGGTAATGCAGTTCCAAATTTCGGTTATCTGTTAAGCTTATGGACAGATATGGTTGCAAATAGTCAGCAGTATTTATTTATGAGCTTGAAAGTGTCTCTAGAGGATAGGGGCAAATACTTTAGTTTGTGTCTACATTGTCTAAGAATTAAAAACTTTCAACTGATGTATTCGGAAGGCAGAGACATACAATTACTATTAATTAAGAGTGGTGATTTCCCCACTCCAATTTTATCCACTTACACTCCATTTTATAACTAAAAAAGGAGTGTAAGTGAATAAAATTGGAGTGGGGAAATCATTACCCTTAATTAATTATGATAAGTTTTATAAATAAATGTGTAACTACAATACATTGACCTCATAATCGTCACTCCCTCATTGATTACAAAATACTAGAAGCAGACAACTAATAAGAGTTTAAGGAGGCACAAATAGGTTCAAACAATACAAGGCACATCATACTTCCAGCTGGATATAAACACTGAATTGGTTCGATGATGATGAATGCAGACCAACTTGAGGTGCTTGAGTTTAAAACTTTGGATAATGTGATGTATTGAAAATAGAAATAGAATATAAATTTGACTTTTCATCAAAATCGAACAAAAAATAAATCAAAATAGAAGGAAAGAAATCATTTCCCATAGCATTTAAGAAATTGAATATAAATTTAACTTTTCATAATAGGATGCATTGAAACTAAGCTTAACAATACATCATGTTGTTAATCTTATTTTCCAGTTAAGAAATATTCTTGATTTCGCTGGTTATTTTCTTCAAGAATTGAGTTTGATCTGTCGCGTAGTTTCTCATATTTGTGTTACTTCACACTTGTTCTAGTGGGTTTCTCATTATGTTATGACCCCCTACACATGCCCATTATGATTTGGTTCCCCTGCAGAAACATTTGTGCGAGCTGATGGTGCCTTTATTCCTTTTGCCGAAGATTTCAACATGAACAATGTAATTACGACTGTAAGAGGTGTAGGTGAGATTGGTGATGTCAACATCATAGACTTGCAGTCACCAATCGACAGTCTTATTGGAAGGCAAGTGATGAAAGTTGGGAGAAGTTCAGGCTTGACTACTGGAACCGTCATGGCGTATGCTCTAGAATACAATGATGAAAAAGGGATTTGTTTCTTTACTGATTTTCTTGTTGTTGGTGAGAATCGGCAGAGTTTTGATCTTGAAGGTGATAGTGGAAGTCTCATTCTATTGACTGGTCAGAATGGGGAGAAGCCACGACCTGTTGGGATCATTTGGGGTGGAACAGCTAACCGTGGTCGCTTGAAACTAAAAATTGGCCAGCCACCTGAAAATTGGACTAGTGGAGTTGATCTTGGGCGCCTTCTTGACCTCCTTGAACTTGATCTTATAACAACCAATGAAAGGTTTCAAGGTTTGTGCTTCTGAACCAACCAAATGTTTTTTCCCCTCTTTTTTGGTTCTGCTGTTTTTAGTCTACCACTGTGTTCATACTCTCAAAAGATGGATGAAGTCCTATGTTTTTGCTGACATTTGGCTTTGTTCAGCATATTTTCCTGACTCCTCTGCTGCTTCATTTTAACATAGCTGCAATCCAAGAGCAACGAAATGCTTCAGCTGCAGGGATTGGTTCCACAGTGGAGTCATCCACAGCCGTCCGGGCTCCATCCAAAGATAAGCTAGAAGATTACTTCGGACATCTGGGTTTCAATCTTCAGAAAATTCCTTTTGAAGGTGAGTCCTGTCAGGGACTGAGTCGGCCGTTCATTCATGGTGACTTTCACATAGAAAATGGTGTTAAAACTTCTCCGAATGTAGAACACCAATTCATTCCAAGGTCTACCTGCAGATCTCCAGTAAATCAAAGCAATCGAGAGGAAAACCCACTATCAAAAAACCTTTTGGCATTGCGGAATGGCTCTGATGAAGAGATTTCTGTTTCGTTGCAGTTAGGTGAGCCAGAACCAAAGAGAAGAAAAAACTGCAACGCTCTCTTTAGCACTAAAGGACCCAAATGAAGTAGGAATGAGTAAATTAACTCTCTTTTCTTGAAGTAACTTTCACACGAGGAGTTGCTTCACTTTGGCTTCAAATTCTCCGTTACACTTTATTCCGGAGTGTAATTGTTGGGTCATATCTTCTCCTGCATCAATTGCTATATGGAATCTTGGATATTTTGGTAAGGATAAAAAGTATAGGTCATATATGTGGAGCATACAATGTTTTATAGAGATGTTTAGGTCGTACCCCGCTTTCATTTTTACTTTTGATTTGTATCACTTTGGTGAAAATACTTATAGCATTAGCACTCCTGAAGTTGGGAGCATAAGCAGCTATTGGAATCCAACAGAATGTAAAATGTTACTTTTGGCTAGCAACGTTAGTTTGTTCAGAGCCTAATTGAGGGTTTCTTTTTTATGGTAGAAAAGGAGGGAGCAAGGTGGAGTAGACCATTTGTATCTTTTTAAGTCTAATAGTCTGTAAGTGAACTCACATTGTGGCTATATTTGTAAATGCGGCTTCAAATGAGACATTTTCTACTATTTCTTATTCGTTTTGCGTGTCATTTTCAAATGACGTATGCTCTTATGTCATCTTTTTTAAAGCTTCTTTTTGTGAGAAATTGTGGTTGTAGAACTCTTTCAAGTAGTGATCGCTTCATTGTGGTGAAATGGAGTGATCCTTGTCGCTGTCTCTCCTTTCTATACCCATATTGCAAAAGTAGCCATCTGATAATTCTAAGAACTGCAAATCCAAATGCTCACCAAAGAACTGTTGTAAATCTTAAACCCCATAAATAAATATGCGAATAAAGAAATAAAAGGATGTAAATAACTTTACTGGGCTTCACACCTAACCTTTTCACTGGAGAAAACAACAAGAAGAAGAAAAAAAATTGACATGGACTGGGGGTCAGTTTCAACTTTCAACTAAGAAAAATAGAACAAAAGTGGAATGAGAATAGGATGTTAAAGATGAAAATAGTGTAACAGGAGTTACTGTTTCCAGGAACATAATGCATCTTGGCATTGAGTACAAGCATTTAGAGAACTCCTTGCAGTCCATTTCTTGGTGCACGGTCCAAAGAAAAGAATTCCAGAAAGGGGAAAGAGAAAATTAAATGGTATTACAAATTTGGCAAAATAACATGTTACATCATGCACAGGGCAGTTTGGGTGAAGCTTTTGATCTCTTTCACTTTCTCTTTCTAGCTGTATATTGGCTTTACCAACACAACACCCATTGTATATGTGATGCTAACGTAGCATTGCATTAATTGTAAGACAACCAGAAGCAGAACGAGGCTCTATAAGCAACCTCAAACTTATATACTCCTCTGTTTCTAACGGTGGTGATGCTCTTAAGTTGAACAATAGTAAATTTTGTGGTGCTTTAAACAACTCAATGAGAGAGAGAGAAAGGGGTCACAAGTTAAGTTGTTGATTAAGGTACATTCTACTAGTATTATTGCTTCTGATCTGCACTGTGAGTGTGTAAGGGAACTAGGTACAATGTCGAGGACTTGCCGGCTCATTCTGTACATTTCGGTGGACAGTCTTGATGGAGTGACTCAAGTTGAGCCAGAAGATGGATGGGAGAACCCTTCCCTCTGTTACCACATCCAAGTTGATTGCAAAAATTGTAACAAAGAGCTGTTGGAAATTGGTTATCTTCCATTATACTTATGTGCAGGTAGGATGGAAGATGCCCAATATCATAAAGCCTTATCTGTAAGTACTAGTGTAGTGCTCGAGTTTTATTTGCATCAAATATAGCTGTCTATGATTTTGCTTAGCATAATGCGTGAGCGTGACATAATGGACACATATATTGATGTATGTATATGTGTAGTGCCCAAAGTGCATGGGGTGTGGTGGTTTGAGGATTCTGAAAAGGGGAGGGGAACCAATCACGGATGAGGGACAAGACATGCCTGTGATGGAGATAGAGGTTATTGGCTCTTTTCATGTGCACGAGAAACTCAAACTGTTCTATTTTAAGTGGATTTGCAGAAAGGTAGAATACATAACTTGATTTTCTGATATAACAGTTTATAATTTCCTTCTTTAATTTCTTAGTAAATGTGTACTAATCTTCAATTCCTATATGTGTCCCTTGCTTATGTGTCTATAAAAATTTCACACAGGATGATGGCAGTGGGGAATTTTTGGGGCCTTTTTCTGTGGACAAAGATGGGAGCTACGCGTTTAGTGATTCAGGTGATGAATCTGATGATGATGATGATGATGAACTTTTTCAAATCAAAGGGATCAAAGGATGTTTCCAAGTCACACCACGGGAAGAAGAGGTGGAGGGACTCTGGATTAAGGTGGCTTCCAAGTCATCCCAGGCCTGCGATTCAGATTCGAATTCAGAGGTTTCGGATGCTGATTCTGATGATTAATTCAGGTGCAAGTGCATGCTTTAGGGAGGCTAACATCAGTCCATGACTGATTACTGATTGCTATCTATGGTTTTCCAACTAAATATTCTATGTAAGACTGATCTTAGTTTAGTTTTATTGGATGGGAGATGGGAACAAGTTTTATTAGCTTTCATTTACTGAGGCTTAAGGCTCATAATTAACCATCATGATGTTATTTGATACATGTTAATTCATAGCATCTGGTAGTTAAAAGCAAGAGCTTGATTTGTTCTTTGTCAAGCTACTAGGGTGCTGAAGTAGATAGATGTTGATTAATTGTACCCAAATGATGTGAGTTTTAACTTATAATATAAACCCTGGGTCCAAAAGTAAATGGGGTCAAGGGTATTTATAAATATAAAATATAGGAGCACAGCACTTTTTCTAGGTAGCAGTTTTTGATTGGCTCATGTCTAAGTCCTAAAGTACTTTTTACTTTGATGGCTGAGGCTTCAAAGCTTTAGTTGTTGAGGTTAAACTTGAACCTATAAAACTTGTTTATTTGTTAAAGTAATAGCACAGTGACCTCTTTACATACTTTCCTGGATGGTAGTTCAGACATTAACATACATGAATTATGTCATGAAAGCTATATCCTACTGACAGAAATCACAAGGAAACAATCACTAAAATTCATATTAATTAGGTTTAGCGCCACCATCATCAGATTAACCTATAAACACAATCCCTTTTGTACATGCATGTTTTCTGAGTTTCCATATAAATCTGCAGCTACAGTTATTATTTCTCAAAGAACAAATTTTCCACCATATCTATATCTTAACTATATCATCTGAGAAACCAGTGAATTTGTGTAGCAGACCAAAATGTTTGGGTTTTATATATATGCCAAGGGATGTAACTTTCACAAAAGTAAAGAAAAAGAAAGACAAGGAGAATGGATGTTCCTTTGTCACTAGAAAGATACTGCTTGGATCAAATCAAATGGTAATAGTTTTGAAGTTTTTGCATTATCAAATTACATTTGTTACAACCTCTTAGAAACATGGTAAACTTGGAAATCTAATATATATATATAAACATGGTAAACTTGGAAATCTCCTATTAAAGCATAACAAAGCTAATACATGTTAGTACAATTGGAAAGAAAGGCCATTTGGTAGTGAAAGCTTCTCCCTGTTGAAGTAACAAAATAAAGACTAATGAACAAAATCTTTCACAATCTTGGTTAAGATTAGTATTTGATCATGGTTTGATGCTAATACTTAAATCATAGAATCAATCTAATCCAGTGAAGATAGACAAGGGCATAATCATGATTTCCACTTAATCATTTTAGGCAAAGAGATACATGTTCAGTTGTGCCAAAAGATAAAAAAAGCAGGCATATATATTTTAGATGGTACTCATAATTATGATTGAATATACACAATAATTAACAACTTTTACTGTCAACACCTAATGAAGGCTCGGATAATAAAACTCATCTAATAACAAATCATTGTGGTGAAATGAAACCAAGTACAATACTGATTATTGTCTGAGGCTAAAAAGCCAAGAGTAGTGATCTTTGTCACTAATCAAACACAAAATGAACATGAAAACATAAACATTGCTCATCAGATTTCTATTAACAATCCGGCCGGTAATAATTAAAACACATAAGAGCATACATTAGTGTACAACGAGAAATAATGTCTACCAATTCCATGTTGGTTGGGCTAATCAGAGCTTAATAGGTTAATAAAGTTATCTACACTCAAGAGCTTGAGTGATTTGTTTAGATACTTAAACATTGACAGAACCACGCACATATGTATGAACTCTCAGTCATCTAAAGAAGGGTTCATTTTCCCTAATTAAGTTATGAGCACTAATCTCACATTGAATATTGGGTTAAGTGCCTAATAGTATACATACATATACTTACACTTAGTAATTTAGCGTATCGATTAGGTAATTTTATAATATTTATTTACAAATACAGAATCTAATATTGATTCTGATTAATGATGCTTCTGAAACTAAGATAACATTGTAAATTCATCAGATTAATTAGTGGTCCATATTAACATAAGATATACAGTACACTTATTAGCTTTCCTTGACTACCAGTACCAGACTCGATTGATGTGATGAAAAGTTACACTAACAAGGTAGAATCATAATTAAGTACATCCCTATATACACCCTTAAAATTTCTTTCGGTTTATGTCTTCAAATATGAAAACTATTTTGTGAGTTAATGAATCGGGCGATGATGTAAACTGAATAAAGAAATTGCAGGCAAAATACGACCCATTAAGACTTGTCTCATTCAGAGCTTTTATTTCATCCGTCTTGCATACGCTGATTCTAGATTCTACCAGCATAGTCCAAAACCAACATGCAGGCATAACCAAACACAGAGAGAGAGAGAGAGAGAGAGAGAGAGAGAGAGTATAGCTAGCTGTTATCAAGTAATGAATTCATCAAGCTTTGAACTTTGACCTGAAGGTGTGTGCTTGCTGTAGAAGAGATGATGTATATACCTGAAATAAAGCTGTGCTTGGGAAGAGACCTTGTGTATATCCTTAGGTAAAGAAGTTTTTCTATTGTTGGTGTGAGTGATTGAAGCTGCAAGATGACCTGGTACAAGAACCTTACATATATCTAGCTAGTAATTAAACTAAATATATATGTAATTAGCAGGATGTCAGTTCTCTTGGTTAATTAATTGACTAAAAACCCTTCTCTTCAAAAACATGAAATTATCAAGATCTATAAGAAATGATGGCATCCACCAAAATTTGGTTCTGTATATCCAAAAATCAATCTCTACCTATTTGGCCATACATTTATATTTATAATTTGGTGCTGCAAGATCTAAAATATATACATATATATATATATATTACTAGTAGTGTGATGCTGATATAGCTATAGGTTAAGTATACCAGATCATGCTGGCAGCTTCAAGCTCTCAAACCAACAAAACCAGACAAGGGAAGAAAGAAGCAAGACGCTGCATAAAGGTTTGGCCTTTGATGGAAATTAAGGCTCTTTTTAAGCAACCAGCTGAAGCTCCTGGCACACAAACACTCGAGGCATGCATGTTTTAGGTAAGAGAAAGAGAAGCCTCGTGACAATTCTCCCCCTACAGCTCTCTCCAGCTATATCTTCCTCCCTCATCTGCATAAATGCTAGCTTTTATGCACCTCTAGCTCTCTCTCTCTCTCTCTCTCTCTCTCTCTCTCTCTCTCTCCTCTTCTGCTCTACTGTAGCATTAAGAGTCAGTATTTAATTGTGGGTTTTTTTGTCCTCCTTACAGCTATTGACCTGACCCATTGCCATCTCTCTCTCTCTCTCTCTCTCTCTCTGTCCACAGTAATTTACATATTAGTTATAGTAGCATATTATAAATGAATTTGAAGCTTAAAGAAGGGACCACCATGTTCTGTTCACAAATATAATATTAAATCCCAATAAATTACCCTTTTATTTTTCTTCTTCTTTTATTTTTTTTTTCCTTCTCCCAGATGATTTTTCAATCTCAGAGAAAACAAATTCCATTGTGTAGTCAAACCCAGAGAGTTGGTTTAGTTCTGCTAGCTAAGTCATACCTAAACATGTCAAATTTGTTCACCTAGTTGACTACATACAGGGATCAATTTAATCAAATTGTTTCATGGTGATTTTACAGAGTTTATTAATACAACCTGGGAGCCTGGGATATATATTATATTAGATGTTCTGTTTCAAACAAATTGGCCCAAAAGAGAAGCTTCAAAAGTTGAGCGTGCTTTTTTCTTGGTCTGAAAAGTTGAGCATGCTTTGCCTTGTTATTGTTACATTTGACGTGTCTTTTACTCAAAGTATGGTTCCTGTTTCTCCATAACTCTTTAGGATGGTGACAATTAATAGACCTCACCTTACTGTCATTTGATTTCTTTAACTTTAATCACTATCAAAACTGTAGCCTGCATGAAGTGTGCCTAAGTTTCCAGAAAGGCAGCTGACATGAAATTAGCGAAGTTGGCTAGAGCGGATGTGCTTATCATTCTGTACCCGAGTTCGAATTCCCCATGTATCAAAAAAAAGTTTCCAGAAAAGCAAGTCCATGCCAAACAGTAAGTTATAAGAAAACCCTTTAAATTTCAGTCCAAATTTCCATACAAAAATCTTGATCACAGCAATTTATTAAAGACTTTAATAAATTGGGATTAATTAGTCTTCATTTCTAGCAGCTAACAAGAGGCTTTGTGACCATGCATGTGCTTAGCGGCTGCCTGGTCCCTACAGGCTACAGCAACACAAATCAATACAATAAATATACTGTGCAATAAGATTATTTATATGAAGGGCATGAAATGAATTGGCCAGGTTGGTGGAATCAGTTGAGAGTGTCCTCCTTTTGTCTTTAGCTTTGGGTGGTTCCTCTGTCCTTGGTTGACAATTACAATGACATGCAGACAGGTCCTAATGGAAAGGCAAGGACCACCACAGACTTTTTATTAGTGTTTATTATGGATAGGTTCACATGATTTTTTTGTTTTTTAATTTTAGGTCCAAGTTTCAGCTTCATTTCATTAAGTTTCAGACCCCAAAAGAAATAATTAAGGTAGGTATGGTGATGGCAGTAAATAAAGAAATATTCCAAAATTAGGATTTTATTTGCAAACTCTATTGCCATTTTCATATATTTTTGGTTTAGTTGTTGCATGCAGATGGGTTTTGTTTGTTCTGTCTAAAATAAATTATTTATGATCAGCCTTCTGTTTAATTAGTAGTGGTGTAGAGTCATTTTGTAGATTACATTATAATCACATTTTTGTGTGATCATAGCTGATGATGTCTTGAAAGAGAAGTACTTGAAGGTCATGAGAATGCTTATCAAGTCTTTTGTTGTCATGATCATGCATGTTTTTTTTAATCTTGTCTATTCTCATCCATCATCATATCGTGTGTAAGAAATTTCTCCTCCAGTGTAGTTTATATTATCGCTTATACTAAAAAAAAATTATAAACTTATTCTTTCATAAAACTACTAACAATCAAACATTTTAAAAGTTGATGGCAATGCCAAATTTCATTTTCAAAGTTGGGTATGTGGACATAGTGGAAATATTTTCCATGAAGCCAAGATCAACACCACATGGGAATGGATGACACATATCAAACATGACAGGTTGTGCCACCAATATTGCTTCTTCAATATTTTGTCATCCTTTTTGACATTTCTATTCATCTTATTCATTGGAATAAGGATCTATTAGGTTGTCCTATCTGCTGAGGCTGATGTTTAGGACCATTCATCAAGGAATAATTTGTATTAAAAAGTTAATTAACAACTAAAAAGAGGATTGTAATGACTTGTTAACTAGTTAAGACTTAATCACTATAAGATTGTTTGTTTAGTGAGTGAGAGGGAGAGCTTAACCACCCCCCCATACGCCAAAGCTTTAGGAGAACCTAATTAAAATCTCAAACTCTTTAATTTTTCTTTAATTATATTGGCTCTTGGCAATTGGCTTTTCAACCTTGTTTTGTTTGAGCTGGTGCAACTACTACTAATTAATTAATGAATACCCTCACCCCACGTTGTTTTTTATCTCAAATAGTCTCCGTTGGTTGCAGATGTTTTCAACCCTAGGCTATCTCATCAGTCTTGGCTGGAAAAGAATGGCAAGGTCGACATTTTTGGACCATCTGTTTTGATGATGGTGGCTATAAACAAATATTATTGAAAGCTCATTATTAAGATTTTCACACAAATAATAAATCATAAGTTTAATTAAAAGCGGATATCAACTAAAAGCCACTTTTTTAAGTATAAGCGATTGGAGGAGGGGTTCACACAAATATTCATTGGGTGTGTCTGGGAGTTTCGAACTTCTGCTCATACGAGTGGAGATGAAAGTGATCAACCAAGTGAGGCGCAAAACTAAAACCCACTTAAAATTATATTGTTTTTAATCGTTGAAAGAAATTTCAAAGTTCAAACACTCCTTCCCACATTGATACAAACTAACCACTTGAATTAATTTATATTTTAAAAACCAGAATTTATTCTTCATTATGTCCTCTCACTTTTTTCTATCTCATTTTTTCTATTTCTTTTAAAACATGAACGTTTGGTAACGAGACAAGAACATGTTAGTGTAAGACATGGCCATTTAGGAAGTATTAGTGGGTTTTGGCAGTTGAGTGATTAGATTTATGATCAAGTATTTTTCAATATTAACAACTCATGTGGGGTAGGATATAATGTGATTATGTTTCCATGTTTGCTATGCTGATTGCATAAACATGTCATTATTAAGATAATGATGGTTTTGGGAGAGAGTATAAACCATGGCCAACATGTTTAGTTCAAACCAATGTAATGAGGTGATTTGATTATTAAGTGCATTAATCAAAAGGACATGATTTGAAATAATTTCTCTTGCATTGTCATCTAGGACTCGTGTCAAGACCAGAGCCTGAAAACTTCAACTTAGTTAGGCACATCCCATGTTCTCATTCCACTAGCAGCCCTAAATTCTCAATGAACTTCCTCCTCTTTTCACTTTTGTTTTTTCTTTTAGGTTTCCTTTTCCTTGTTGAATTAGTCCATTTCTGATGTATATTTTCCGTTGAAACGATATTTTTTTCACTAACTCTTAATTTAGTGATATTTTAATTCCCAATATTGCATGAGGTCTAGAGTTTGAATCCATCTCCAAGTTACAAGTTCGATTGAAAACATGTATATTTCAGGGTTGGGGCATCCTCCATCACCCAAACCAACCACAAAAATTCCAACCAGTCCACCCTTTCAATTACACTTGGCGTTTAGCCCAACCCAGTGCCTTTCCCTTTCCTGTCCTACAAAATTAGATTAGCCCAACCCATTTCTTAAAACAATGCAAGGAGCTGAAAGCATTATCTGTCAATGGCTACCACAAGGCACACAACCTTACCAACCAAACCTTGATGAAAATCTTGATGTTTGTTGCAATGCAAGCAAGAACCATTTTAATGTACTGATTGAATACATGCAACGAACAAAGAACCGTTTTACCAAAAACTTGATTCGGCAATGCAATTAATTGAAGAAGTCATTTTTCTTCAATTAAAATGTTTGGCCAGTTCTGATCAGCCTGTAACTTGACAAACTCAGCCAAAAGCTTTATCTCTTCATCCTGCAAACGGGCTCCAAATGTGCACTGGCCCCTTGGCGTGCACTTCTCACCAAAACCCTGCAAAATCCCACAAGATACACTAATCTTAAATTCAAGTAGGTGCAACGTAAACATATTGAGTATGGTTATATATGGTTATGGTTAGGATGCAAATTTCCAAATTAATTTAGACAAACTTACAGGCATTCTTCCCTTGCCAAAGTAAGTCACACGGTATATCTCCTCTTCAGTGTCAACTCCGTTTCTGTAGAAGAAAATGCTTGAATTTCCGAAACGGGTCCTTATTTATAGAAGGTGAAAACCTGAAACACCTTGTTTGCTTTTTTGTTTTTTTGTTTTGGTCTGTGTGTGTGTGTGGTTAAATCATGACCAAAGGACTAGATTAAATTGCACATGAATGGCTGAAAAAAAAACATCATCACTCAATGTTATCCATATCAGTTATTCTATTCCATTGCAGAGAATATAAGCCAGTATTTGAAAGGGTCTTTGAAACCATTATGCCATATTCATCTTCATTTTAGAAGCTAATTCTTGTTCAAATGCATGTTTCTAGCAGAACATTTTACTGAGATTGTACCCAATTACCTCTGTAGATCTTTAGTAAAGAGTGTTGCACCCTGGAAAGAAGAGGAAACAATGGAATAAGAATTAAAAAAAGATTTTGAGGGATGAATGAATATATGAGATTTACAGATAAGTGGAGGCTCACTGGTTGTATAATGTTTCCGCCTGCATCATGACATCCAATGCAAGTTTTATGAAACAATGCAGCTCCTTTTTGAACATCTAAGGTTTGTGCATCTGAGACTGCACCAGAAAAAAGAAAGAGATAAAATGTTTTTTTTTCTTTCTTCCGATCACACAAAACAATTAGATAAAGTAGAACTTTCTGCAGAGCTGTGTTGCCATTGAATCGTCTATGTATTTTGGAAAAGAAAAGACAAACGTAAGAGAAACAATATTCTCAGTCATTAAGTAACAGTATTTTATTGTGATTCCTGATGTACAAACAAAGTCAAAGAACAAGCTTCTATTGTAAATCATTAGTATAGGGGACAATGACATGCACAATGTTTTGTCAATTTACCATGAAAATAGTTATCTGCCATTAGCATGGAAGTGAGGTAAGCAAAGCTTTCTATCAAGGAATACTTTAGCATTTGAAGCAACCTTAACATTTAATCCATCTAATTGTCTTTTTTCTTCTTCTTTAAAACATATTGCAAATGATGTCTGCAAAGTTAGTGGGGATAAGAGCCTCTACTGGTTCAACAAAGACAATCTACAATTACCCAAGTTCCTAATGGCAGCACTGATCAGAAGAAAGTATGAGAACTATTTAGTGGGAGAACTAAACCAACTACAACTGCTATTGTTAAGCACAGAACTACATGAGTTCCAGTGATCAACCAGATCATAGACAGAGTTTACAAAAATGTCTACGAACAAAACATCAATGCATTAAAAAATAATGGGGCGGTAGCATTTTCCCACTTTTGTTTCCTCTTCATCCTAACCTTTGGGACCAAGACTTTGCCCATCCCATATACTTTCCTAACCTTGAAAATCCCATAAGTTACTATTGGTGAGTTAGTGAAGAAGTGTAAAATATAAATATGTCCTCTTCCTCTTCCTGTTTTAGTGCAGGTAGTGGCAATGTTGAATATTTGAGGAAAAAGGCAGGACTGAGGAGGAATTAAAGTATGTATTGGAGGATAAAGTACAAAAGTGTGTGGTTGGTTACCAGGGGTGATGCAGATTGGAGATAAGGCCAGAACTGCAGCAGCCATTAGAGGTGGAGCCAAGCTCTTGAGGAACTTCCATTGTTCTTGCTTTTGAACAATTGGGTTCTGTCCTCCTTGTTTCACTGCACCCTTAAGAGCACACACTCAACTCAACTCAACATATAACATTCACAAATTTTCAGTTACCAATTCAAGAGAGAGAGAGAGAGAGAGAGAGAGAGAGAGAGAGAGAAATATTACCTTTGGGAAGCAACAGGTACCATTAGTGCTATTAGGTATCAGAGATGCAAGCTTCATCTCTCTCTCTCTCTCTCTCTCTCTCTCTAGCGGATGACAAAGTGAAAAATGTGGTTGCAACTTGCAGGCACAAATGCAAAATACCAAAATATATGGCTTCTTTTATTTTTTGGTCGAAAAATATATAGGCTTCTTTTGATTTCTTTTAATTAGAAACTAAGCTACAGTGAGCCTACACGTTACAATTTGAGCTTTTTATTCGTAGAAAATAAAAAGCTCAAATTTTGGTATTAGCCAATAAAAATAAATTGCTTTAGAAGATTTTGGAAAAAATTAAATAAATTTCTTGGAAATCATTTAGTAAATTATTTTTATTTTATTAGTAATTTTATTCTAAAATGATTATCTTTTTGTTTTTCCATAGGTTTTTTTTTGGGTTTAATAGTTGTCAAGTCCAATTATTGGAACAGTTTCTAATTAGCCGGATTGTCGTTTTGAGAGTTATATCTCTATCCTATGGACTCTTATCTTGTCATCGTCTTCCGTACTATTCGTGGCTTGTTTAGCTTCCTTTTGCTGTCCCCTTTAGCTTCACGAGTCAGCCCTAAATTTCCCAAATTTGATCAAATTTCAACCTGCAATTGCAAAATCCCACCTCTATTCAATTTGAAATTCGTTGTTAAGGGTTTTGATTAGAGTGAAATGACGATGCTTTTGGAGGAGATCGTGCAATCGGTAGAGCTCTGGTTGAAGCTGATAAAAAAGCCCCAGCCTTACGTGGACCCGAACCTCGACCCGGTTCTGCTGGTGCCGGGTATCGCCGGTTCGATTATGAACGCTGTTGATGACGAGAATGGGACAGAGGAGCGCGTTTGGGTTCGAATTCTCGGAGCCGACTACAAGTTCCGGACCAAGCTGTGGTCTCGTTTCGATCCTTCAACAGGTAAAATCAGTGATAAAGTTTGAAAATTTAGGACAAAAAAGTTAGGCGCTTGTGTTTGGCTGCCGATAAATTAAAGTAGAAATAAGGGAAAGAAAAAGAAATTCATGCTATTACAAAAAGCATGGAGTTGCCTGTCGTTAATCTTGTATGTGAACCATTGCTTATCTGAGGTGGAGTTGTCATTGTTCAATTTAGTTTCCGAAGCTGAACTTGTCTAAATTCAATTTATCTGTGAAGTTGTCATAGTTCCACTTTCTGCTATGAAGGGAGTGTCAAATATTTTCGATGTAAATTATTTTCTTTTTCCATTTATAAATACGCGAGGAGGGCAAAAAAGTGAAATTTGAAAGCCAACTCCTGCAATCTGCTGGTTAACTTTGAACAGACTGTCAAATCAATTTATCTGTGGGACATGTGCCCTTCCTGCAAGGGTGGATGGGAGGGCTTGAAAATGTATCAGCTCTAGACTGAATTGTTTGGAAAAATTTCTAAGACATTGGTCAGTAGTCATTTCATCCTTGCACTCCCTTACTTGCATAGAGGAAAAATGATTTTTGATTGGAAGGATATGGATGCATGCTCTATATGTATGTGCGTATGCTGATGTGAAGCAACAAAAATAATGTTTTCTTCGTGAAACAGGTAAAACGGTGTCTTTAGACCCAAAAGCAAGGATAGTGGTCCCTGAAGGTAGATATGGACTTGAGGCAATTGATGCCTTGGACCCTGACATGGTATGTTGTGCATTCTAACTTTACATTACATAGACAAGAAGGATAAATACTTGTAGAAGCTAACTTTGGCTTTTTTCATGCATGCACTTTATTCTGGCCATCATTGTTCTCTCTTCATTGTAATTTATAGTCCAGGCGCACTGTTGAGAGATTTCATAATGGGACTTTTACTTGCTTTCTTTGTTAACAGCAAATCAAGGCCCTTTTCTTCCCAAATAAAATCTTGAACCCTTATTATTTTCCACAACTGTTATCCCTCAGATAACCTATCAAAGGATCCTTTAAAGCTGGATTTCTTTGGTTTCTAGAAATTGTGTAAGCTGTTTCCTAGGTAATTTATTTGTTATAAGCAAATGGTTCGTTACATGCCAAACTGATATAACTTTTTTTCCCCTTGAAAAGTTATAATTGGGATGAGGGATTACTTATCAGCACTTTGTTAGTATTCAAATGATATATTGTGAAAAATCATAATATTTCTTATTTTACTTGTGAACTCTTCTCTCATGATTTCTGGAATAAATTTCTGGAAGTAATGAGGTTGAACACTGATAAAATCTCTTAACGTATTGTCTTGTACAGGTCATTGGACAGGAATGTGTATATTACTTCCATGATATGATTGTTGAATTTACCAAGTGGGGTTTTCAAGAGGGGAAAACACTTTTTGGCTTTGGATATGACTTCCGGCAAAGCAACAGGTATCTACTTAGTTTTGCTTTATTTGAATGCTACTTAAAAGTCCAAAAGATTGATTTAAAAGTTTATAAATGATTTTCGCCCTTTCTCTAATTTGTATGCTTTATTAGATATTCACCATGGTTGAGGTTGTCAATATTGATTTTTCTTTGTTTTCATTTAGGTTGCAGGAGACATTGGACCGCCTAGCTGAAAAATTAGAGGCAGTGTACAATGCTGCTGGAGGAAAAAAGATAAACATTATAACTCATTCTATGGGGGGCCTTCTAGTGAAATGTTTCATGTGCTTGCATACTGATGTAAGGCATTCACTCTGCCTCTTCAGTAATAAGTCTCCTTTATTCTGTTGCTCTGCCCACTCCCTTCCCAGATTATTGCATCAACAGCTTATAGCTTTGTAATTTTTATTTTTTTTTCCCCCTTTTTGTGTGTGCTAGAAGGTATATCCTATAATTTAATACCATTTGTTTCACAGGTTTTTGAGAAATATGTGAAGAATTGGATTGCAATTGCTGCCCCCATTTCAGGGTAAGTGATCATGTATAATTTATCATCACCCAGGACAAGTATACTAGCTGTTTTACTGAAAATACTGATAACCTGATACAATCTGTTGATTTAAAGAGTTACATATTGATGAAATGAATTTTCATGAAAATTTCAAAATTATCTTCTTAAAATGAAATTGGTTTTAAGTGTGTTACTTGCTTTTCCTCCTGAGAGTCTAAATTTGTATGATGCTAGTGCAAGGGAAAAGGGTTGATTTGTTGAATACATTAAGTAGCAAATTTTATGAGTGGAAAGTGTCTATGAGGATGTGTCATTTTCGTAGTTACAATATTCTAGTATATGTATGATGTCAGAAGCAGCTATCTTGTTTTCTGGTGATTTAGATATTTCAAGATTGTAGTCACTTCGAAAGTTTGCAAAATATGACTAGCTGTATGATATGAAAGTAAGTTTGCCCTATCTACAGGACCATACACTGAACTCATCCTTTGGACACCATAGGTATATATTTTTTAATTGTCTTTTGAATTATCAACAAAATGGAATCTAAAGTTTAGTTTGAAGTTGACCTCTAATAGCCTGTATAAGCTCAGTTGTTATGTTGGTCATAGTTTCGTTACTAAAGCTTCCAATATTTAGGAAAACTTAACCAAAAGTTAATTTGTGGCTTTTCATTGTGCTGCAGGTGCACCTGGTTATATCACGTCCACCTTTTTAAATGGAATGTCATTTGTGGATGGGTGGGAACAGAACTTTTTATATCAAAATGGAGCATGCACCAGCTGGTATGAGTCCATTTCTGTGGGCAGTTAACTTCCTAGACCTTAAGCATTTGTTTCTTTGCATCCATATTTTTTCTTACTAGGGTTTGTTTTAATGTTCCAGCTTATTGAATGTCCATCAGTATATGAGTTGATGGCCTGTCTTGATTTTCACTGGGAACACATTCCACTTCTAGAAATGTGGAGACAAAGGCTTGATGGTGATGGAAACTCTCAAATTATCCTAGAGTCTTACCCCCTGGCAGAGAGTGTAGAAATTTTCAAGGAAGCTCTATCAAGTAATACGGTAAGCACCACATATGTATGGCTTCTTTTATCATGCACTTGTATGGCTTACTTAAACTCACAGTTCATGTTTTCATAATTTCAGGTCAATTATAATGGTGAGGATCTTCCCCTACCATTTAATATGGAAATCTTGAAATGGGCTAATGAAACACGCAAGATTATATCTCGTGCTAAAGTTCCTCCGCAAGTTAAATTCTACAATATATACGGGATCAATCTCGAGACACCTCATAGTGTTTGGTAATACCTCCTATGAATTATTTGATACAATCTTTCTGCTACTTGCAACTGCTATTTTTAGACGGTTGTAGATCAGAAGCTTCAAGTTATAATAAAATGTTTCCAGATACGAATTTGTTTTAGTATGCCTTAATTTAATATCTAAGTCAAATTCACAACTCTGCAGCTATGGAAATGAGGAAATACCTGTCACGGATCTACGACAGCTACGATATTTCCAGGTTATTATCTTCTAATGTGATATGGTGTTTTTGTATGATCATCAATTACAAAACCTAACTCATTTTTGCATTTAATCAGCCAAATTATGTATGCGTTGATGGTGATGGGACAGTTCCAGCAGAATCAGCTAAGGTTCGTTGACTTGCCTGTCCATAATTTTCACTTATTCACATTTGCTTTAGTGATAGCCGCGAAGTTAGAATATTTGTTTCCCTGTCTTTTTACGCGACTTTCTTTTGCCAATTCCAGGCAGATGGGCTAAATGCTGCAGCAAGGGTTGGAGTCCCTGGTGAGCATCGGGGAATTCTATGCGAGCACCATGTATTCCGGATACTCAAGTGCTGGTTAAAGGCGGACCATGACCCTTTCTACAACCCTCTAAACGATTATGTCATTCTACCCACTGCTTTCGAAATGGAGAAGCACAAGGATAAAGGTGTGGAAGTAACATCTCTAAAAGAGGAGTGGGAAATCATCTCCCAAGACCAAGACCATGATCACGATGATAAAGTAGCTGCTGATGAAAGGCCAATGGTAAGCTCCATATCTGTTTCTGATGTGGGAGCTGAGGCCTGTGCAACTGTTACTGTTCACCCTCAGAATGAGGGGAAGCAGCATGTTGAGCTTAATGCTCTAAGCGTGTCTGTCGATGCCTGAATATAAGTCAGACGCATTGTTGGTTATATTTCGCGAAAGACAATGCTCATCTGTTTATAGCCATTCATGTGCTCAAATCCCCGTGTTATTAACTTGTAAATAGGAGCTTGTCATGAAAACAGAACTGCTTCTCCAAGGTTGGATATGCAGGTGGCCTTGTATATATAAAAAATCGTAAACCCATTGGTGATGATACAATTGTTTGTTGAAGTGTTGCCAATGCTTAAAAAGATCTCGTAAACTCTTGTGGCTTGTATTGTATGAAGTGCTTTAAAAAAAATAAAAAGTATTATATGTACTTATTAATATAAACGTTACAAGCGGGGTTCATGATGATCTAAAATTAGAGTTCTTACCGGTCCTCTAATCGAGCCTTGATCACCTCACCTTAGCCCCCACCACCTTTTTGTGGCGTGTCTACAACCAGGCAGATCATACGGAAATTTTTGCAAGCTTCTTTGAGGCTATATGCAATATCTCACGCATAAACTTTTGCAATTTTCTTTGAGGCTAACCTTGATGTTGAGTTGTCACATGATTTTTTTTATAGCTAGTTTTGGTCTATTTTGGCGACGAGGTTCATAATTAGGGTGTCTTCGTTTTTCATGAATTGTTAGCTAGTTTTGATCCATTTTCGCGACAATGTTACATAATAGGTCTTATAACGGCGGTCGACCCGTGCCTGTGCCATGTGCTCCGTTTAGGAGATCATGTTCTCCAATCCTCCGCATGTGTGAATAGCAGCTTGTAAACAGGAGCTTAAAATGAAAATAGAGCTGCATTCCAACTCCAAGGTTTAGATATGCAAAAAGGCGCCTTTGTGCCTCTGTATATAACTTAACTGTCCCAATTGAGTTTTACTACCAATGTTTTAAGCACATTATGTCATACTTGATATATCTAACCTACTTACAAACGGACATCAAAATCATGCAATGTAACAATCGATAGTTAGTTAGTTCATAGTGATTTTAAAATATAATTCTTGGCAAAATGAACACAAAATTAAGCACAAATTTAAACCAAAACTTGCAATAATAATCCTCCTCAAAATTATATGCTAACATGATTATGATTATGAACGAGTACTATTGCTCATGATGACACAAGGTGAGAGTACTATTTCGACCTTTCCAGGTGATTTTCCGGAGATAGGTTCATTGATGGCAGCTAGTGAATCAGCAAGGGACTTAGCATGACGAAGGTAATCATCAATGGATTGAGAGCCTTTTTCATATCCATGAGTTGAAAACGAAAAGCAGATTCATTGGCCATACTGGATTGAGAGAAGTGGCGTTGGAGACACTCCCAAATATCCTGGGCAGAGGTGCAGCCGACGGTGAGAGAGAGAATGGACTCAGAGAGTGTACCGGTGATGTAGCTAACAATGAGTTGGTCTTGTTGGTACCACTGAGCATGGGCATGATTGGTTTGGGTAAGAGTGGCGGTAGTGGTTGTGGGTGTTGCAGTGGTAGAAGTGGAGGTTTGGGAAAAAGGTTGTTTATGAGTGCTATCAATAAATTTCCAGAGGTCATGACCGACTAAAAATGATTTGAGTTGGCGGAGCCAAAGGAGATAGTTGGAGTCAGTAAGCTTGATAAAATGAGAAGAGTTAGGGCTAGAGAGGGAGATGGTGGATTCAGATGAAACTATGAGGTGGACCTAAAGTAGAGGATTGGATCGAATAAGGGAGAGGGAGGAAACCCAAGTTCAGGCTGATACCATGTAGAAAATATATTTCCTTGTATTAAATAGATTACACAAAGTCCCTATTTATACTAATACAGGATATCTACTTATGGTAGGAAATAATATAGACATGAATACAATCTGATTTACGGCAGGAAAAGCTAATTGTTAAGAGGAGATTGTGAAGTTGACTACCGTGTGCGATTGGAAAGGTAAGCTTCGCTACCTAACGGCACGCAGCACGAGTCGCATAAACAGCTCAACATGGCAAAACAACTGTTGATACAAAGAAACCAATATGGAATTAAGTATAAACATGATAACATATTAGCCCCTTATTTTACTTGAGAAAAATGTAATTTAAGGGGGTTGAGAATGTTCAATTACCATCTTGTGCAAAATCCATCACTCCTACGATGATGAGACTCTGCAGGTTGCTGTTGTTTCTCGGGGTAGGTAGGTGGTTGGTGGGGGTATTCAGGACCATCATGTTTCATGGGGTAAGCAACTGGTGGTGCAACAACATATGGACCACCTTGACTGTTTCCGTGAACTGCATCGGAAGGTGGTGGTGGTGGATATACCTCTGCAATTTGGTAAACACAAACGTTGATATTTGATCATGAACAAAGTAAACAAGCTATATATATATATAATATATGTTCATGAACACTTGATTTGTAACAATTTGAAGCATGTCATTTTGTTGGGGACACCAAATAAGTACAAAGCAAGGTTTAATTTGTACGTAGATCGGAAGTGAAAACCCCTCTAATGTTTGAGACTTTGACAGTTGTCTTTGCATATTGCAATTCAACCTCGTATCCCAGTTTTATTAATCTAAGTAACATATTAAATGGTATTAATTAGACAATTAAATCACATAAACAGACATTAACTGGTAATTTACCTGGAGCCTGATGATGATGGTGCTGGTCGTGACTCATGATGAGCAGTCTATATAATATGTGCTAAAGATTGATACTGTAGGAGATGAAGATAGGAGGAGAGCTTACATTGTTTTTGATATCCAGATGCTTGCTGGACAGTTGCATGTTTTCAAAGATACTCCCCACCAATGTAATAAGGCAGCGCATCAGGTTGTGGCCTTTGTGTCAAAATTAGTAGGAGGTAACCATGTTTAGAACCAAGTGTGGCCTGAGTGGATTTTTGAGAAGCATTCGTGGATTTTTGAGAAGCATGTTTGGAACAAGTGGTCATGTTTAGAACCAAGTGTGGTCTTAGTGAATTTTTGAGAAGCATGTCTGGAACTAGTGTGGCCTAGCCTGACCTGAGCGGATTTTAGATATTTTTGCCAGTGATGTAAACCTTTCCATTCTCCTTAATAACTTTCTTACGTTTGGGGAAATGAAAAAGATAGGAGGAGAGCTTATACAAATATTTGGTTTTCTGGCTAGACTAGTCTTTCTCTTATGAATATTTCGTACTTGGCTGGCAGCCACCAAAACCAGAGGGACGCGTCAATATAGTACACGTGGCATTGGGTATTTTGTGGGAAGTTGATTGGTTGAAGAAGCTAAGAAATATCTTAATATTATTAAAACATATTTTGTGTTTGCATATTTTTTTTAAATTATTTAAACTATTTAGTATAAAACAATGTAGCTAATGTAAATTATTATTTTTTGGTGAAGAAACGGAGCTAACGCCCAACAAAGAAATTAAACAATGACTCGAGGCCTACAGACTCCAAGTAAATCTTCACTAAGAAAAGACCTAATACTATCAGGAGGGTCATAGAAAGTTGACAGCCTCAACTTAAGACATGAACCCAATTCAGCTAGTTTATCCGCTATCATGTTGCACTCACGATATACATGATGAATAGAACAAACCTAGTTTTTGTTTATATAGTTTTGGCATCCCCATAACATAGTAGCAAGAGGATGAAGGTCTTCCACATTTTTGTTAAGCAGGTGTACCGCAGTCGCTGAGTCAGACTCAAACACAACTGCACTGCAACCTATATCCCAAGCAATTTTCAGTCCAAGATAGATGCCCCATAACTCAACTTCCAAGACTTGTCCTACACCAAGATTGACAGCAAAGCCTCTCATCCACTGCCCAGAAAGGTTATGTGAGACAAACAAAGAATGTCTCTGCATCGTAGTGAAGACCAACATGGAGCCGTTTGAATCCTGGACACAAAATTTCTCCAAATGAAAGGTTATGTCAAAATAAATAAAGAATTTATATAGCGTAAATTTCACTTTACTACTTGAAAGTTTCCCGAAATTTAATTCTTACTACTTCAACTTTTTTTCTTACCTAAAATTTAATTTTCTTACTAATTCATAATCATACATTTGTCACCGTCAAATATTTAGTTAAACAATGACATGACAATTAATGAGTTCATGTGGACTCACAAAATAGTGACACATGAATTGAAAAATTATTAATAAACTAACTGAAAAATTATTAAATGTATATGGGATCAATCTCGAGACACCTCATAGTGTTTGGTAATACCTCCTATGAATCTTTTGATACAATCTTTCTGCTTCTTGCAACTGCTATTTTTTGACAGTCGTAGATCAGAAGCTTCAAGTTATAATAAAATGTTTCCAGATACAAACTCACTACTCTGCAGCTATGGAAATGAGGAAACACCTGTCGCGGATCTACGACAGCTACGATATTTCCAGGTTATTATCTTCTAATGTGATATGGTGTTTTTGTATGATCATCAATTACAAAACCTAACTCATTTTTGCATTTAATCAGCCAAATATGCATGCGTTGATGGTGATGGGACAGTTCCAGCAGAATCAGCAGAAAGGCCAATGGTAAGCTCCATATCTGTTTCTGATGTGGGAGCTGAGGCCCGTGCAACTGTTACTGTTCACCCTCAGAATGAGGGGAAGCAGCATGTCGAACTTAATGCTCTAAGCGTGTCGGTTGATGCCTGAATATAAGTCAGATGCATCATCAGTGGTATTTCATGAAAGACAATGCTCATCTGTATATAGCCATTCATGTGCTCAAATCCCTCTGTTAGTAACTTGTAAATAGGAGCTTGTCATGAAAACAGAACTGCATTCTCCAAGGTTGGATATGCAGGTGGCCTTGTATATATAAAAAGATCGTAAACCCATTGGTGATGATACAATTGGTTGTTGAAGTGTTGCCAATGCTAAAGAAGATCTCGTGAACAAGTGGCTTGTATTTTATGAAGTGCTTGAAAAAAAATAGAAGTATTTTATGTACTTATTAATATAAACGTTACAAGCGGGGTTCATCGTGATCTAAAATTAGAGTTCTTACCGGTCCTCCAATCGAGCCTTGATCACCTTTGCCCCCACCACTTTTTTGTGGCGAGTCTACAACCAGGCAGATCATACGGAAATTTTTGCAAGCTTCTTTGAAGCTATATGCAATATCCCACACAGAAACCTCTGCAATTTTCTTTTAGGCTAATCTTGATGTTGAGTTGTCACGTGATTTTTTTTATAGCTAGTTTTTATCTATTTTGGCGACAAGGTTCATATTTAGGGTGTCTTTGTTTTTCATGAATTGTTTGCTAGTTTTAATCCATTTTCGCGACAATGTTACATATAGGGTATAGAAGGTCTTATACCGGCGGTCCACCGGTGCCCGTGCCATGTGCTCCGTTTAAGAGATCATGTTCTCCAATCCTCCTCCGCATGTGTGAATAGCAGCTTGTAAACAGGAGCTTAAAATGAAAATAGAGCTGCATTCCAACTCCAAGGTTTAGATATGCAAAAAGGCGCCTTTGTGGCCTTGTATATAACTTAACTGTCCCAGTTGAGTTTTACTACCAATGTTTTAGGCACATTATGTCATGGTTGATATATCTAACCTACTTACAAACGGACATCAAAATCATGTAATGTAACAATCGATAGTTAGTTCATAGTGATTTTAAAATATAATTCTTGGCAAAATGAACACAAAATTAAGCACAAATTTAAACCAAAACTTGCAATAATAATTCTCCTCAAAATTATATGCTAACATGATTATGAACGAGTACTATTGCTCGTGATGACATGAGGTGAGACGAAGGGATGGTTTAGGGTTTGGGGTGAGCACCACCAAAGGGGCAAATTCCAACCTCTCTAGGTGATTTTTCAAAGAGGGAGGTGCAGTTGTACTTCCTTTCTCCTTAATAAGTCTGCCACTGCACGCAACACAAGTCGCAGAAGCAGCTACACATGGCAAAACAACTGTCGATACAAAGAAACCAATATGGAATTACGTATAAACATGATAACATATTAGCCCTTTATTTCACTTGAGAAAAATGTAATTTAAGGGGGTTGAGAATGTTCAATTACCATCCTGTGCAAAATCCAGCACCCTTACGATGATGAGACTCTGCAGGCTCGGGGTAGGGAGGTGGTTGTTGGGGGCATTCAGGACCATCATGTTTAATGGGGTAAACAGCTGGTGGTGCAACGACATATGAACCACCTTGACTGTATCCGTGAACTGCACCGGCAGGTGGTGGTGGTGGATATACCTCTGCAATTTGGTAAACACAAACGTTGATATTTGATCATGAACAAAGTAAACAAACAATATATATATATATATATATATGTTCATAAACACTTAAATTTGTAACAATTTGAAGCATGTCATTTTGTTGGGGACACCAAACAATTACAAAGCAAAGTTTAATTTGTATGTAGATCGGAAGTGAAAACCCCTCTAATGTTTGAGACTTTGAAAGTTGTGTTTGCATATTGCAATTCAACCCAGTATCCGAATTTAAGTAACATATTAAATGGGATTTATTAGACAATTAAATCACATAAACAGACATTAAATGGTAATTTACCTGGAGCCTGGTGATGATGGTGGTGATCATGACTCATGATGAGCAGTCTTGAAGATAGATGCTTGCTGGACAGTTGCAGCAGGTAGGTTTCGAAGATACTCCCCTTCAGTGTAATAAGGCAACGCACTAGTTTGCGGCTTTTGTGTCAACAATATGGAACCAAGTGTGGACTGAGTGAGTTTTTGATAAACCTTTCCGTTCGACTTTAATAAACTTTCTTTCGTTTGGGGGAAAAAAAATGATTGGTGGAGGAGAGCTTAGACAAATATTTTGGTTTTCTTCTGGCTGGCTAGACAGTCTTACTCTTATGAATATTTCGTACTCGGCTGGCAGCCGCCGACACCAAAGGGACGCGTCAATATAGAAACACGTGGCATTAGGTATTTTGTGGGAAGTTGATTGGTTGATGATGCTTTCAAAGTCAAAGAAGAAGCAGCTAAGAACTATCTTAATATTATTAAAACATATTTTATGTTTGCATTTTTTTTTCAAAATTACTTAAACTATTATTTGCTATGAATTTTCAAATATAATTCTTGGGAAAAATGAACAGAAAATTAAGCACAAATTTAAACCAAAACTTGCAATAATAATCCTCAAAATTATATGCTAGTATCACATAACAACCAAAATTGGAAAAACATAGAGAGGGAGCCCAATCGACTCAGAACCTAAGCTTGGTGAAGAACCACCGGTTCTTGCCACTCTTGAACCGGTCCTCCAACCGGGCCTTGATCTCCTTCTTCGCCGCCACCTTCTTGTCGCGTGTCTGCAACGCGTCTACCGTGAGCACCTCCTTCAGGTCGACGTCCAGGTTGTAGCGCGTCGGCATCATGTGCTGGTAGTTCACGAGCTTCACGAAGGCCTTGACCCGGGACTTCTTGGCCGTCTTCTTCGCCGAGTCCTTTCTGATTACCTTGCTCGGGTACTTGGCTATCCCGGCGACCAAACAGTGCCCGTACGGCCTGTCACGTGTCCCTTCCTCGAAGGATTTCACGATCACGGCTTTCCTGCCCGCGTATCGTCCCTGCAGGAGCACCACCGCTTTGTTTGCCTTGAGAAATTTCACCATTTTCGCTTCCTCTTTGTTTTTCCCGAGAAAATGTTGAAAACCCTAAGCAAACTCGGAGGCTGCGGGAAGAGGAAGCAGCTCAGTGAAGGGGTTTTTACTTTATATACGTTTGGTTGTTAGAGGGTGTTGGTTTCACAAATGGGCAATTAACGATGAGAAATTACAAAAAAGCCCAATAGAGCAAACCAGGCCAGGCGTGGCCTAAATAGTAGACAACCCAAGAGTCCAAGACTATCGAATCTACATACATACTTGGCCCAAGTGATTTATCTTTTCGGCTTTGATTTTATTTTTCCATATTGCTCTATGTTTTTATCATATAGATATAATATTCCTATGATTAAGGCTTTCTGAAAATTCAGGAAGAAATATTAAATGGGTTAACAATATAGAAGTGGAATTGGAATTGAGTCGAAAGTAGACCTTATGAGTCTCACTTCTCTAGGTGGGACTTGTAAGACACAATATGTTAGAGTGTTATTCAATTTAATAAGTTCAATCTCAATACACCAAACAATGCCAGGACACTTATTCATTTTAATTGAAATCTTTCAATTCGGTTAAACTTATCAAACATAATGGATTTTGAGTATTGGAAAAGACTGGTTAGGTTAGGACTTGGCTTTGAGCCTTGTTAGTTTCCTTGTGATCCATGTCTCAACTAGTGACTACTGGAGTTGCTTAGTCCAACACATAAGTTTTGTTCACAATTCTTATTGGTGAACCAAATACCGGCTAGAACACTAGTTCTATTTAATTGCAATAATCATGTCCAAACTAGCCCGCCAAACAAGGCTTTCATGAGTTTAATGTTCTTTAGTAGGGAGATTAGTCAAAGATGGTTTGCCATGAAGGCCTTAATTTATAATTAAGCTGGTTGAAAAGTCTGTTCAAGCCAATTAAAGTTTCTCGTAGTATGTTTGTTGCATTGCAATGCAGCATATATAACACGGGACATAGTGACATATATATAAGCTAGTGAAGATTAGACATAAATTGAGTATAATAATTTTATAATTAGGACACTTAGTAACATATGCATGTAGCAAATTTGCATGTATTATTGCACAACTTTACACAAAAGAGAATCAATCTCACTGTATGGAAGCAAACATAGTGGACAGAAAAAGGGAAGATTATGAAGTTACAACACTTGAAAAGATTAAAAGATTGAGCAGGGCAAGCAGCACAAGTCGCAGAGGCAGCAACAGAACATGGCAGAACAACTGTCGATATACAAAGAAACCAACATGGAATTAAGTATAAACATGATAAGAAATTAGTTGATTTTATTTAGGAAAAAGTAATTGAAGGGGGGTTCAGAATGTTCATTTACCATCCTGTCCAAAATCCAGCCCCCTTACTATGATGAGACTTTGTTGGCTGCTGTTGCTGCTGGGGGTAGGGTGGTGGTTGCTGGGGGTATCCAGGACCATCATGTTTCATGGGGTAAGCAACTGGTGGTGCAACAACATATGGACCACCTTGATTGTATCCGTGAACTACGGGTGGTGGCGCTGGATAGGGTTGAGGAGGCGGATACCCTTGATACGTGCCGGCAGGCGGTGGAGGGTAAGAGGTGGGTGGTGGTGGATATACCTCTGCAATTTGGTGATCACAAATGTTGATATTTGATCATGAACTAAGTAAACTAGCTAAACGTAAACATCCAAGTTACATATTAAATGGGATTAATTAACCAATGAAATCACATAAACAGACATTAAATATGGTAATTTACCTGGAGCCTGGTGATGATGATGGTGGTAATGACTCATGATGAGCAGGATTGATATTGTGGGAGATGAAGATAGGAGGAGAGCTTAGAGAATTTATTGGTGTTTTTTTTCTGGCTACATTAGTCTTATAGATATTTCATACTCGGCGGCCCCCAAGCCCAAACAAGTCAATATAAGGAACATGAGATCAGTTGTTTGTTTGTTGCCTTTGTATGAGTAATATGAATTATTTATCGCCGCCAATTAAGTACACACATGCATTTTCAATTACCTATCATGTCTCGACACGCGGCATAGGCTTCCTTTTTGTTGGGTATTTTGTAGTTGGTTTTGATGCTTTCAAAGTCAAAGAAGAAGAAGCTTCTGTTGTGTGCTTCATTTCAAGGATGGACCTGACCTGAGGAAGGAAGGAAGGAAGGAAGAAAGGTTGGGAGAAAGGACTGTGTGTTTGCTACTTAATTTGCTTCTAGATGGGATGCTTTGCAAAAACATCTGTTAGTTTGAACGAGAGTCACTCTTGACTTTTTGAGTCCTCAATAATATTCCGAGCTAAGAAATATCTTAATATGATTAAAACATCTTGTTTTGGATACAATTCAATTTATAAATCACGCAAGAAACTAACTTTTTAAAAAAAATTTGCTTAAACTATTTAGTTAAGGTGAATTATTTTGAAAAGAGTTACGCTCTTATAAGAGAAGTTCCTTGGTACGGTGAATGAATCACGTCACTCATCTAGTCATATACGCAAAAAGAATGCCTTGCATTATGGTGAGACCAACATGAAGTCATTTGGAACCAAGGTAATGAAAATTGTTGAGTTCGGACCAACACTTATCCATTTGAATTGCACGATTATTTGCTAGATTCAAAGACCATTGATAATTAAAATTTACTTCCGGTTAGTCTTGCAAGGGAGAATTTTGACAAGTGAACAACGGGCAAGAAGGCAGTTAACTAATGACCCGTCATGCAATTTTTGCGATTGGTTTTTTGAATATGTTGTGCAACTAATGACCCGTCATGCACACTATGCTTATTTTTACTTGCTAGTTTATATGGAAGTGGAGGAATGAGAATATTTTTGCTGAGCTTGAGGAGTTGCCTAATTGTCCTCCGAAGATTATTCAAGTTTGTTGTGAAGGAGTGGCTTTGTTTCATCAATTGTGTCAATCCTAAATTTACTAAAATGTAGCTTGACCTTGCTTGGGTGCATCCTAGGATTGGAGCTTTTATTTAAATGTGGATGGTACTTGTAAGCCTTGTTTTGGGGCTATTGGTGCTGGGGGTGCAATCCGTGATTCCTTGCGAGATTGAGTTGGTGGATTTTCTGTTAACTTGGGGATAGGACAGATTTTGGAAGCTGAATTATGGAGGTTGTTTTTTGGTTTGCAGCTTGCTATGGCTCGAGGGATCTCTAATCTTGTGATTGAAATGGATTCAGTGCTTGTTGTGCATCTCATGAAAAATCATGATATTATTGGAGGTCATCCCCTTGCTAGTTTGTTATCTAGTTGCTAGGATTTTAAGAATTTGATCAGTGTTTGTGATCTTCAACATGTCTATCAGGAGCGGAATTGCTTGGGATACTGTCTTGCTAATGGAAGCTATAATTTGAACATAGGTATTTGTTGGTTTGACTCGGTGCCTCTTTGGCCTGGAGTGGCTTTGGTTGATGATCTGATTGGGGTCTCTAGGCCCCGTTTAATTCGTGTTGTGTAGGTTTTGTTTGGGGTTTTTTCCCCCTGTGTCATTATAAAAAATAAAAATAAAGAGACCAATGATAATTTTTGGTAAAACAAAAGACCATTGATTATTGGTACTTAACATTTAGTACATTAAGGACAAAGCAATAAGAAGTAAAAAGAAAAAAGAAAAAGTAGACAAATTTACAGCAAGTAAAAATGTTAGAGAGGTTAAAGTTCAAAATGGAAGGAACTGCTGTGCGGCCTTTTATATTGGGCCGAAATCCTTGTGGGAGGAACTGCATGAGAGAACTGCGTGAGAGAAGCATGTATCTTTCCCCCTTCTTGAGAATCTGAAAAATATTTCCATGGTCGTATGGTTTGTTGGTCGATATGCAATTAGTCTAATTGTGGTTCGACCAAAAAATACATGGTTCATAATATATATGGATGAATAGATCAATTTACGGGTTTGGATAGTAATGAAAATGATATAATTATAAGAGTGAATGGGAAAGAAAGATTGTAGGAGAGAAGAGTAAGTGATTCGGTGTAATGAGTGAGTTTTTAATAACATATAACAACGTTGAGGTGCAATACTTAATCTCCATTAGATTAATAAAATGATTAAGATTCTTTTAAATGCGTATGAATACTAAATGTAGAGGCTCGGGATCCCCCTTGAAAAAGCCAAGAGAGCGGAAAAAAGAAAAAAGAAAACTGAAAATTAAAATCTGAAATTGATTTCCGAGAGTCTTCGAAATTATTGAAATTAGTTTAACATTTTTTGAAGAACTAAAAAATAATGTTAGTTAACAAATTAGTTTTCAATTGAAAAAAAGAAAAAAGAAAAAAGAAAAAAAGAAATGATTATCTATCTACAAAAAGAAAAGCATACATAGGTCTTTAATTTGGAAAACACTATTTTTTGCTTGACTTTTAATTATGTTACCATAACGTTAAAATTGACAAAATAAAAAACCAAAGCAAGTTTTGTGGCGCTGTGCTCACCCACCCAGTCCCAGTGAAGCTATTCTTTATCTTCTTCCTAAAACGAGCCTCACATATCCGTTGGAACACCTTAATCTCCATTGAGTAGATTCAATTCAAATGGGCAGGTCTATGGTATTCTCCCCAAACCTTCCTGTGAGATTTTCTCAAATACCAAGATCAATTTTACCGCCCAATCAACCAAACCAGTCACTTTCACTGAACTCGAGGGAACAATTACAACATGGGTTTCAAAGATTTGGACTTTCATTTGCCAAACCCACGAGAACTCTCTGCACAAAGGCTGTGTTATCTGAAATTCCAAATCAGAAGATGTATGTGAAAGTGGGCGCCAAATCAACTGGGCCAATACCAATTAGTCAGCTCATTGAAGTGGTTGAGAAGGCTGCAAAGACTGGTGCTGAGGTTTGCTCTCTAGCTCTGTCTGTGTGTGCGCTGTGTTTGTCTGAATGTGCATGTATTATATAAATTCTTTAATCTAAATAATAACCCCCAGATGGCATTTGCATTTAGTTCTTCTCCAATGTAGGCTAAGCATCTAAAATATCCAAGTTTTTAGTTTGTGGGGTATGCTACAAAATGTTTTTAATCCCTTTGTGTATCTTAATTATGGTAGGGATACTCGTTTCAATGCTTTTGTTTACTCTGAGAGTGTTAGCTGTGATGAAATGTTAATTTTTCTTGTCAAATGTCATAGAAATTAGCAACTACACATAGTAAAAAAGACTTCCACTATAAAGGAGATAGAAAAAGGAGAGCATTTCCTGTGTGGTATAAGATAATACTGTATTGTTGCTATGAAAGAATGTAGAATCATCGCATTGTATCCCTCTGTCCCACCCTTTCGTCCATTATTCAGTTATGATGAACTTTTTCAAATCTTCTTCTTATAGTTTATGTTATTTGCTTCTCTTTTCAGGTTGTGATGGATGCTGTTAATAAGCCTCGGAATATTACCTATAAAGGGCTGACAGACTTGGTCACTGAGTAAGAATTTAAATCAACATGCTTTCACTACTGGTGTATGTTTTAATGCTTCAACTGACGTGTAGTGTTAACACTTTCTAGAATAGAGTAGAGGTTTAACACTTTATGTAGAGGTTGAACCTTTTATAGACAAGCATGATTCCTCATGATGAAGAAAGATTCACTTATCATGGATTCTGTTCATTCTTAAATATATAATACCCTAGCAAGAATTTTTGTATGATTTAGAAACTATTTGCAGCACAGATAAAAAGAGTGAAGCAACAATTTTAGAAGTTGTGAGAAAGAACTTCAAAGATCACCTTATTCTTGGAGAGGAGGGTGGAATTATTGGAGATAGTTCATCTGATTATCTGTGGTGCATTGATCCATTAGGTTCGTATCTTTTAAGATATAGATTCTGCAAGTTTCTATTTACTATGAGAAAAAATCTTCTGGGGCTTAAGAACTGTATGTTTTGATATTTACATATATGTATCCAACTGCTTAAGTATTCATTTTGGCATACAACTTACAAATTTATCAGCATAATGGTTTATCTTGATAGAAATGGTTGATACAGCTTTTACTCCTTGTGATAGTTAATTTCATAAAGCCTAGACAAATAGATTCCATAGATAATATATCTATTTATTCTGATATTGGTGACCTGTGAATGTTTTGGAGGATTAGTTAGCAAAAAAATAAGACAATAAAAGGAAAAAAAGAGATGCAGAAGTGTTCTTTATCCTGTAAAAACAGGGAGATGTGTCTGGTAGCTCATGGGAGTAGTCTAATCCTTAGCCTGTCATAGTAAAAAATATTGCAGAAGATAGAATGCCATGATTTTCCATGTTTGCTGAATCTAAGGTTCAGTTTAGGTATGCTTGTTGAGTTTAGGGTTGTTTAAAAGGCCATTATGTTGACATCATTTTGTACTATTGATGTTTTGGAACTTACAGTAGATCACATGAAAAGTTGTTTAAGACTTCATAAATCTTGCCTCATAACTTTTCACTTTTTTACTTTTTCCGTAATTATATCTAGCAGTAAATCTTAAGTTTATTTAGATAGCCAGAAATTCCTACGTTTATATATGAAAATTTAGAGATGGACTTTCCAATGACCAGCAAAAATTTAGAGAGACCTATTTAGGGTGGAAACTTGTAGCTAGGTTAGTGGGCAATCTTCCAGAGATATTTGTTTCCAGATACCTTTTATAGGACTAACATGATAATTCTTAGTTTTGTGTTATCTAACCTCTGATATCTTCGTAGATGGAACAACAAATTTTGCACATGGTTATCCTAGCTTTGCAGTTTCTGTGGGAGTTCTATTTCGAGGAAAACCTGCTGCTGCCGCCGTGGTACTAATCACATAAAGTAGATTGTATTTGACATGTTATTTGCATGATTGCTTGTTTTGTTAAGATGCCTATGAAAATCATCACAATCACTGGTCCTGAGATTGTTAGTGCATGATGCATGGTTATGATGCACCTCTAGTTCTTTCAAGCTTATTAATGAACAAGATGTGTGAATAATGCAAATAAAAATATCTTGGTAATCATCAAAGAGAAAGGAAAATATGTAAATGCATTAAAGTGCTATTCTTTTTTGAAGATGTATTGAGGGGTGCAGTATCAGCTAGTTTTTAGAAGTTGAGTGTGGACTTTGTCTATAGTACTTATATTGTTAAGTTCTGTTGGTTTACCATCATTTCCAAAACCTTAAGTCGTTAGGATGTGGACCAAAGATTATTTTATATCCTAATACTCCCTTCACATACGGGCCTCATATTAGAGCCCAACTTGTGGAGTTCAGCTTATAATGCAAGGTTGCAATCGCAACCATTTGAACTCAGTATCTCCTACTCTATTACCAAGATAAGTTCTTTTGATTTAGCATTATTCTTAAAAAAATCGAACTGTTAGGATGTCGGCCAATTATTATTTTGTATTGCAACATATGTTATTGTCTTAATGGGGAAACAACATGCTGGTTTTTTCATTTATATTTTCAGGTAGAGTTTGTTGGGGGCCCTATGTGTTGGAATACCCGCATATTTTCTGCTAGTGCTGGTATGAAAATTTGGTCTATATCTTTATTTATTTGATTTTCTAAGTTAATAATATTCTGAAGCTTTGATAATTCATGTTATGTTAGGTGGCGGAGCATTTTGTAATGGTCAAAAAATTCACGTGAGTCAAACAGATGAGGTTAGTCTAAAAGATTTGAAATTTGCTGCTACACCGAATCATATTTCTTTTGGTCAATGGCTGTGTCTGATCCTATGTGATGCTAGAATATTTGCAGTGGTATCTTGATTATCGTTTGTTGTGATAATTCCAAAGAGAGAAAATACAAAACTTAGCTTGTTAGCCAAAATCACTCAGAGAGGCTGGATCCTATTTATATTTATCACTGAAATATATTACAGCACTGTAATACTCCTCAAGATTTAGAGTAGATATTATCATGTCTAGTTTGTTACGCTAATCAGAAAGGTGACTCTTACTAGGTGCCCTTGGGAAAATGTCTCCCACATGTTCACAAGACTTAACATGTCTTCAGAAACTTGATTCTACATAACCAAATTTCGATTGTATTTTAGGCTCGAGTTAGGCATGGTGATGCATGCCTAAGAGAGGAAGATAACCTATCTCATGTGTTAGGCATACTCTGAAAGCTGAAACCCTTTTATATTTTATTGAGGCTCCCACTCTTCCATATTTCAGGTTGAGCGATCTCTTCTTGTTACTGGATTTGGTTATGAACATGATGACGCATGGACCACCAACATAGAGTTATTTAAGGAGTTTACTGACATCAGCAGGGTATTAACTTTTCTTTTGAATAAGCTATTTTGTTATGAACTTCAGGAATAATTCTTTTTCCTAGTTTTCTCTCAATCTGTCTCTTCTTGTCTAAGTTCAACTTTTTTTTTCCCCTTTCCTTGTTTCTATCCCCATATTGTAATGTTAGGGTGTTAGAAGGCTCGGTGCCGCTGCAGTAGACATGTGCCATGTAGCTCTTGGGATTGTAGAAGCATACTGGGAATATCGACTAAAGCCATGGGATATGGCAGCTGGTGTCTTGGTAATGTTTTGTTTGTCTCACAAATGCATTTGCTAACGATTGTGGCATTATTTTAATCCGTAATAGGTGATCATATTGATCATATCATAAGCGTTCATGCACAATCAATGCCTTCTGAACTTGTAGCTAGTGGGCTGGCCCAAAAGCTAAGTAGGCCCACTTGGTCTTAAAAGCCTTGGATTCTCCTATATCACTAGCAGGAGGGCTTCATAGTTCTATGAATCAATTGGTTCCAGACATTGTTTCGCTAGGAGTAATTGTTGTTTTTGTATTCTAATTAGACGTGACATTCCTCCTTTTCCCATTTATATTTAGAAAGAGTTGCGAAACCTCAGAGCATACCATCAGTTCTAGAATGTATCAGATAAGTAGGCTTTCTGTAATTGGACATATTTGTTTACATTTTCATGGAAAGTGTGTGAAGATTGTGGTAAGTATTTGGAACTGTAGCTTAGGACAATCTTATGCGCCAAGATATTTAAACTGATGCATGAAGACTGAGTGTTCCTTTCCCTCAGCAGAAATCTTGGTGCTCCAGATGTGCCATTTCAATTATTCATAGAAATTCTTATTGCAATTTTGAGCAGATAGTTGAAGAAGCTGGAGGAAAGGTTACTCGCATGGATGGCGGAAACTTTTGTGTATTTGATAGATCTGTTTTGGTATCCAATGGTGTGCTGCATGGCAAGGTTAGTCTTATCTTCTGCTTTATCAACAATCTGTTTACGGAAACCTTATGTTTAAAGGTTGATGCAACAACTTTTCTTATGAATTCATTTGATTTACAACCTTTCAGTCATTTGTAGAATGCATGATCATAAATTTTAAAAGCTGTTTCATTAGGCGGACCACCAATCCTGTTTACTAGTTATATAGTAATTTGTGAAGAGTCAAAGACCAATTCCTTTTGCCCAACTTTCTGATGCTACTTATGAAGTGGCGTGTTTTCTTTTCCCTTTTTCCTTTTTTCTTTTTCAATGTTGGGTTGGGATGGATTCGGAGCGAACGGATGGGTGGGTGGGTAGGGCAGATGGTTACTGTAACAAAGCTCTGCAATAGTGCTTTAGTTTGCAGTAAAAAGACTTAGAAGATTAAGTGTACTATTGGTTTTAAGGAAGTGATTGTACATAATTATATTTCTGTGAATGCAGCTTTTGGAGAGGATTGCACCTGCAACTGAGAAATTGAAGAGCAAAGGAATCGTTTTCTCATTGTGGTACAAGCCTGACGATTACACAACGGACATTTGATGCACCTGAAAATTACTACATTTGATACACCTGACAGTTATTCTTGTTCTTTGTATTTTTGCCAATCGTGCTGTGAACAATGACTTCCACAGAAAGGTGGTCTCTTAATGTTACATTGGCGACGTTCACTGTAAATTACATATAAATTACACATGTTGCTATAGGCAAATGGAAAGAGTTTGGATTGTTCTAAATCTGAGCTAGACATGGTTAATGATCATTTGCTCTCTCTTCAAGAATTGAACCTCTGTGTGGAATTACTTTACTGAGCTGCATGGCTCTTGCTAATCTAGACAGACACTAATACCAGAAATATTTGTTGTTTTTTTGGAAGGAAATTTTGGAAAGGCCGATCGAAGGTTTTTAAAACTCGAAAAATTGCAAAGCTCCCAGACTTTATTGTAGACCAATACTGAAGCAAAGTACTCTGGAGTTTTCTGAAATAACACAACTAATCAACAACTATGTTTAAAAAGAATTTGTGAAGCTCCAGATGGCATTAAGAATGAAGCAGAAATGAGAAAGCAAAAATGTGAGTTGTATCATTGTTTCATTATTCTGTTCTGATCATTTCTTACATATGCAATTCTCTCATTTCTGTCTTCATATGAAAAACTCAGAAAATCATCTCTGCTCATAAGCAAAGTTGTTTACTCTGCAACTTAGTTTTTAGGCCGAATGGTAACACCCTTGATAACAAGTCCTCTCTTCCATTTCCCACCATCATATTCATACATCGAAAACTCCATGTCCCCAGGTTTTTCGGGTGATGCTCTAAACTCGCCAACTGAAATCTCTATCCATTGCTCTCTCGGAATTTCCATCAGATTAACTTTATGCCATTGTATGCTATCATCTGGAAGAGTGAGTCTGACATTCACTGGAACATCCCATCCATAACCTGAAGCTTTCAGCTTGACCACAAACACAACTTCGTACAGAGTTCCTGGTGACAGCTTTGAGGTCTCAAATTTTCCATGCACTTCTAGCCAACATACATTAATCAGTTCAGCAGCATCAATGACGACACCACTGCAATGAAACCTGAGTTAGGATTGAGAGTACTGATAGCATTTTATGATATTTATTTTATTATTATAATATATTTTTTTGTATACATTGCGTTTATCTGTTTCAGTTTCAATAGGAGTGGAGAAACTGAGAAACCAATAAGTTATGTATTGAAGTTTTTGGTACCTGGTTTCTTGCAGGGAGGGCCAGAGCCAGTAACGATTGTCTTCAGCCCAAGTGATCAAGAGATCCCTCGCATACACCATAAAGCAGTTGTTGGACTTCTTGTCAACCCAGTACCTCTGCAATAACAGTGATAATAATGCTAACAATAGTCAACAAAATAATGACATAACCAAGATGTTGGTTTTTAAGTTCACTTACAAGTTTCCCTTCTTTAAATCAACTTAAAAGCCCCATAAATATTGATTTAGAGCTGAATTTTGGCACGAACTGGAATATTTCACATTTCAGAAGCTTAAATATGTGCATAGGCATATGTATATATGTAGCTAACGTACAACTACACAAATTTAAATCATCTGAGCATAGTGTTTGATGCAGGGCTTACCTTTCTCTTTTGGTTTAAGGTTATTCCAGCATGGAGCTGTTCAAGGAGGTTTTCCACTGAGGATTTGTTGATGGTTGAGTCAGCATGTCCCACAATAGCTTCATAGTTGTGTGGAAGCTGCTGTTTAACTTGTTGTGTTGCTGTCTTTTTCTCCATTTCCTTAACTTCTTTCACAACTGTGATTTCATGGTTGCTGTTGTTAGCTGAGAGCTTAGCCTGATGGTCAGGAGCTGTTTTCTCCACTGCCATGGGTTTAGAGCCACTAGGAGCAGCCTTTGCTTCCGTTGCTTGCTCCACTGCCTTGTTATTACTTGGTTGTTCACTTGGCTGCGACTGTGAGTTATTGGCCTCATCTTGTGACCAGCTAGTCCCCATCTCTTTAATACACTTCTTCCATCCAATGCTTGTTTTTACTTATATATAGATAAAAAAACAGGGTCAGGTTGGTCAGTTCCATGACATGCATATAAAATGTATGATTTTCGTATCAATGTGTACACCGTTAAAGGTTTGGATGAGGATGAGGATGAGGGTAACCCAAGAAAGATGCCCTGTGAACTTTTTTTTCTCTTTAGTTTTCAGTTTCTCATGCATGCTGCTGTCAAGCATGAATTAGCATCCAATGGGTTGAAAAACACTTTGGAATATCAGAAAGGGCCTTTATTCGATTCCATATGGTAAACTTTTGTTTGTTTATCATATATATTCCATTCTGCAGAGAGAAAAACAGCTTTTATTCTAAGATGAGGGCATCACATCCGATATATATTCCCTTTAATAAAATAATATTTGTAAGTGGTCATGATCATCTTGATTTACTTTGGACATTCGATCAGAAGCTCCCCATATATACTGTTTTAAACTTTTACATTATATTTGAAAGCCTTGTTTTTTTTTTCTTTCTTTCCTGGGCATAATAGAAGTTGGAAAACATATCCCCTGGAATTGAGATTGAAGAGTGTTACAGCGACCTTCATGGTGACTTTTAAAACTACATATGTATATCATATTATATGAATATACCTTATGCCATCTATCAGAGAAAGAGAAATCTTCAAAGTTGCCAGTGAATTGGGTGCAGAATTATCTGACTACAATTTACAAAGCACTTTGGTATAGTTGAAAGTAGTAAATGCCTAAATTCAAGATTCATTGCATGGGGAGACAAATTTCTATTGCTAGCTAAATTTTTTGGAGGTGAGTTTTCTGTCCTGCAGCTGAAAAGGTTGTCACTAAATTCCTCTTTTCTTGTAATGACTCAGAGTTTTGCTCAATCAAGCCAACTCATGAACCAAGTTTTAGATGTTCAAAATTAATTTGTGAAATTAGTCTTACTCAAATGAACTAAATAATCTGCTTGTCATATAGAATCTGAGAGAGCTTGAACGCTGATCGACTTGAATCAATTGTTTTCATGTACATAGCAAAAGTATATCAGAAACAAAAATGGAGATAATCTATACATGTGTGGAATTACTTTACCTAGCTGCAATTGTTCTTGCTAATCTAAAAACAGACACTAATACCAGAAATACTTGGTGTTTCTTGGAAGAAAATTTTGGAAAGGCCAATAGAAGGTTTTTAAAACTTGAAAAATTGCAAAGCTTCAAGACTTTATTGTAGACCAATACTGAAGCAAAGTACTCAGAAGTTTTCTGAAATCATGAACACAACTAATCAACAACTATGTTTCGAAAGAATTTGTGAAGCTCCAGATGGCATCATGACTGAAGCAGAAATGAGAAAGCAAAAATGTGAGTTGTATCATTGTTTCATTATTCTGTTCTGATCATTTCTTACATATGCATCTCTCATTTCTGTCTTCATATGAAAAACCTGGAAAATCATATCTCTGCTCCTAAGCAAAGTTGTTAAGAGTATTCTGCAACTTAGTTTATAGGCCGAATGGTAACACCCTTGATAACAAGTCCTCTCTTCCATTTCCCACTATCATATTCATACATCAAAAACTCCATGTCCCCAGGTTTTTCAGTGATGCTATAAACTAGCTAACCGAAATCTCTATCCATTGCTCTCTTGGATTTCCATCAAATTAACTTCATCCCATTGTTTGCTACCCTGGAAGAGTGAGACTGACATTCACTGGAACATCCCATCCATCAGCTGAAGCTTTCAGCTTGACCACAAACACAATTTCATACAGAGTTCCTGGTGACTGCTTTGTAGTTTTAAATTTTCCATGCACTTCTAGCCAATATTCATTAATCAGTTCAGCAGCATCAATGACGACACCACTGCAATGAAACTTGAGTTAGGATTGAGAGTACTGATTGCATTTCATGATATTTATTTTTTGTATATATTGCATCTGTTTCAACTTCAATAGGACTGGAGAAACTGAGAAACCAATAAGTTATATATTGAAGTTTTTGGTACCAAATTTCTTGCAGGGAGGGCCAGAGCCGGTTACGATCATCTTCAGCCCAAGAGATCGAGAGATCCCTTGCATACACCATAAAGCAGTTGTTGGACTTCTTGTCAACCCAATACTTGTGCAATAACAGTGATAATGCTAACAATAGTCAACAAAATAATGACAACCAAGATGGTCGGTTTCTAAGTTCACTTACAAGTTGCCCTTCTTTAAATCAAATTAAAAGCCCCCTATATTTTGATTTGGAGCTGAATTTCAGCACGAACTGGAATATTTCACATTTCACAAAACTAAATCATCTGAGCATAGTGTGAATTTCAGATGCTGGGCTTGCCTTTCTCTTATGGTTTAAGGTTATTCCAGCATGGAGCTGTTCAAGGAGGTTTTCGACTGAGGATTTGTTGATGAGTGAGTCAGCATCTCTCACAATAGCTTCATAGTTTTCTGGAAGCTGCTGTTTCTCCTCTGGCTTGTTATTACTTGGTTGTTCACTTGGCCTCGGTGGGTTAGGAGCCGGCTCTGGTTTCTCCTCTGGCTTGTTATTACTTGGTTGTTCACTTGGCTGCGGTGGGTTAGGAGCCGGCTTTGCTTCTGTTACTTTCTCCCCTGGCTTGTTATTACTTGGTTGTTCACTTGGCCTCTGTCGTTTTGAGGACCGCACCCCCCCATCTCTTCAATACACTTCTTCCATCCAAGGCTTGGTTGGTCATTTCCATGGCATGCATATAAATCTATGATTTTCATATCAATGTGTACACCGTAAAAGGTTTGGATGAGGATGAGGATCAGGGTTTTAGCTCATAACCCAAGAAATATGCCCTGTGAATTTTTTTTCTTCTTCTTTAGTTTTCAGTTTCTTATTCATGCTGATGTCATTGTAACATTGTCAAGCATGAATTAACAACCAATAGGTTGGTAAACACTTTGGAATATCAGAAAAAGCCTTTATTCCATATGGTAAATTTTTTGTTGTTGATCATATATATATATAAATATATATATATATATATATTCCATTATGCAGAGAAAAAACAGCTTTTGTTCTAAGGTAAGGGCATCACATCCGATATATAAAGCAATATAGTAAGTGGTCATGATCATCTTGATTTACTTTGGACATTCGATCAAAAGCTCCCCATATATTGTTTTAAACTTTTACATTATATTTGAAGGCCTTATAGAAGTTGGAAAACATATCCCCTGGAATTGAGATTGAAGAGTGTTGCAGCAACCTTCATGGTGACTTTTAAAACTACATATGTATATCATTATCATATTATATGAATATACCTTATGCCATCAATCAGAGAAAGTGAAATCTTCAAAGTTGCCAGTGAATTGGGTGCAGAATTATCTGACTACAAAGCACTTTGGTATAGTTGAAAGTAGTAAATACCTAAATTCAAGATTCATTGCATGGGGAGACATATTTCCACTGCTAGCTAAATTTTTTGGAGGTGAGTTTTCTGTCCTGCAGCTGAAAAGGTTGTCACTAAATTCCTCTTTTCTTGTAATGACTCAGATACCACAGTGGAACATTCCAAGTAGTTTGGCTTTAATAATCAAGCCAACTCATGAACCAAATTTTAGATGTTGAAAATTAATCTGTCTAATTTGTCTTACTTAAATTAACTAAATAAATTGGTTGTTCGTATACAATCCGTGAGAGCCATGAACTTCGATTGACTTGAGATAATTGTTGTCATGTATATTTATACATAGGAAAAGTATATCAAAAACAAAATAGGAAGATGTCTATACAAAGATGATGCTGATATCCCAATGCAGAGTTTATCAATTTATGTTTTGAGCTGGTCTATGGAATTAATATTAGAAACTGGGATATGGTGACTGGGTTGGTGGTAATGCAGGTAACTCATCTAAAGAAATCAGAGCTAAAATATCCATACACACACGCACGCACGCGCATACACACATATATTTGATTAATTGGTGCATAATACATAAGAAAGCCTTTTATTCATTTACAAATACATGCTCAGAGAAATTAAATATTTCATACCAGTAAATGATCCTTCTCAAATCAGGCTACATGATTTCCGTTCTCATTATTAATATTAGTCATCACATACATAAAACTCAAAGTAGAAAATATTTATTTCAATACATATGCATGCATGTAATAGAAAAGACTGAGTGAACTGAGCTCATTTTCCAGTTACTTCTTTGACATTTGCTCCATAAATTTTCAAGCCTCCCTTCCATTTTCCACTCCAGACTTCATACAGACCAAAATGAAGCGTGTTGTCGGCATTCGCATCATCATCACTCCTAATGCTAAATGTCTGGCCGTTCCCGTTTGTATCAGGAATTGTGAATCTGCCTACATTTGAATCCTGCGCTAGTTTAACTTTTGTCCATCTGTACTTTCCCTTTTTCCCTACCTTGGCCATCAAGAAAGCTTGTATGTCTCTCCAACCAAATGCATCTGGTGCCAGTTCTACTTCAAAGCTAATTTCATACTCCTTCTTAGGATTTAAGTTAACTGTGGCCGTCACTTCCAGCCAAGAAACCTGAAGCAGCTCCACGGGATCACCACTCCCTTACTACACCCACACAACACACAAAACAAAAAAACAAAAAAAAAAAAATAAAAAGGTAATATAGGCAAACGATCATATATACACAACATATAGACAATGTAAAAAGAAATTACGTCAACGCATCCTGTCTAGACGTAGTATATTTGTTGATCATATTTCTCATAAAAGTGGCATGCTCACATAAGCAATCTCACCCACATGAATCTTATTCGTATGAGCGATGTAATCATCAATATAATTAATAGTAAGCGTACAAACATATAATACAACTCATTCATTACTTTGGTAATTTCCAATAGCGCTCATCATTGCCCCATACAATGGTAAGCCCTCGGGGTTTGATGTTGTAGCAAAGGCGACCTTCCTGTAAACATTAATACAATCAAACTTATTATGGGTCCATATAAATATACATATATATAGGCACATGTGAAAATTTATTCAAGATATTTAGCAATGAATTAATCATCATGATCAACAAAGACATATTATAAGAAATTTATTGTGACATCTTATAACATGCTTAAATAATTACCTTGTCCAGGCTTATTTCGTCTTTATCAGCTTGGAAATGAGGCTTGGTCATAGCCATATGTCAACGAAAGTCTGTTTTCTTCTCTGCTTCTTCTTCTTCTTCAGCTGCCTCTATATTGTTTTGAAGATATAGCCGCAGTTAGCCTTTTATATATAAATTAATCCAGGACATCTAAAGAGAACGAATCTAATGCCTTTCACAGAACAAGAAAATGCCAAACCAAAACAAATAATAATAAAATTGAGTATGTACATAGGGAATCAAGTGATTGCTTTGGACCTTGATATATGACGGTTCCTTGGCTTTCTAAAAGAGGAATATATTTGGATTACTACCAAACTGTCTTGAGAAATGTATAAACGTGAGACATGTTCATAAGAATGTGAGTTTAGGCGCCAGTTGGTTAGGTCAGTGTATCCGTTCCTTATTTGTGCTCAAATTCGAACTTTCTACCCTTACATTAAAATAATTTAGAATACCATTCTTATAAACTTAAAAAAAAAAGGTCAATTCATTTTTCCTTTGACATGCCCACAACTTTTGTTCTTTCCCTCTCTGGTGGCTCACAATATTGGAAAACCATGCATGCATCTCTATCACGTTGAAGACTGCTCGGAATCTAAAGTATGGTGCAAACATGTTTCGTTCCAGCTGGCTTTGCCATCCAAACCCACTGACACGTATCATAGAGCTTATCTTGATCAACTTGGGTACACTTGGCTTTGCTTTGCTCGATCGTCCCAAATTCTCAGTATTTCCAATGGTGGCCGCTACTTCACCAAAGAAATTGACATCCATTACAAATACAAGAATAATATTAAGAATATATGGTGTTTTTTAATTGTCATTGGTTTTTCCCTTTCGGCAGGCAAAGCATAATTGTGACAGAAGATACTAGTGGGATACAATTTTGCAACTTACACTTTTAGTGACGCAAAGCACATATACTTTTTAGAATCTCATTTTCTTGGTGCCAACGCGTTTGTACTTAAATAAATAAATAAAATTAAATATTAAAAAAATCCTTTTTATGCACATCAATTGAAGGAGGAAGAGTTTGAGAAAATTTGGAAGTAATTTAGAGAACAAACTTGAAGTCATAATTACCTGCCATTTTTGTAAACTCAAAAGAATTTGACAAAATATAGCTTTTTGATTAACTACATGAGTTTCTTTTCTATGAAATGTCTTCAAGCTTTTAATTGACTAACTTCTGCGTTGCTTCTTCCCTGCACACATTACATCAAAGGTTGGCACTCTTTTGGTCAAATTGGTACCCAATATGCAGTTTGGGTTCATCCCTTGATGTCATATCCAGCAAGAATGGGATCATGTTCCCTTTATATGGTTTTTCTTAATGTGCCAGGAATTTTAGCTACATCCAACTAAGATGACTATTATTGATGCTTATCGAACCGTCGCATGTATTAACACATAGAAAATGGGCAGTTTGTTTTTATTTTTATTTTCAAACTCGCAATTAAAAGAGCAAAATTTTGATTTTAAGATGAGGTTCATCAAACTTTCAAAAACAAGTTAAATTAAATTCTACTGCCAATACAATATATCAAATATCAATGTTACAAGCGTTTAATAATACAGAAATGCTGATTCAACCCAGCACAATGAAGAGGTGGGGGAAGGGATACAATGCTTCCTACATTTCTTAATCACTTCATCTTTTCCAAAGCAGCGGATGCAGAAACCAAATCTTCCGCTGTTGCTGGTTCGTGCATCTGCAGTCATAAACAAAGGCACGAAGAACAGCGAACACTTTTCAAATAATAAAACTAAGCAATAGTTATCAACATGATCCAAAAATCAATAAGAAAAGTGCATTTCAGCTTCACAACTCAAGAGTACATGGATATCATCTGTTATATACATAAATTGTGAATCTCAAGAAGATAGTCAATTGCATGCAACTTCACTCCAGCTCACCAAATCATGATTGATTATAGATTTTTGCCAGATCTGGTTTTAGTCCATTCAATTGTGTAACATAGTAATGTACTAATGTCTAAAGATAATTGAAACCAAATCTAATTCCAACCCATTCAAACTTGTTAGAACAATACATATTATGATTTAAACTTATTAGCTGAATTAGGATCAACACATCAAACCCTTGTAAAACAGGCCCTACATATATTCTATAGATAATAGCTTAAAAAGCAAAGCACTTCATGGAACATAACTATTCACAGCTAATCTTAACTATTCCAGATTAAATATGTAATGGTAGATCAATGATAATACATGAAACTGAAACCAACATACACAAGACACCTGGCCACTGACTGATGTAACAAGATTTATCAACCACCATATGAGGTATCAAGCACAAACTTACAGATTTTGCTACAGAAAGCCAGTGAAAACAACGTAAGAATGCATCATCCTGTGAAGGGAGGCTGTCATGATTCCAATATGTGATGCTTTTATATTTCGCATTCATCTCCCAACAGTTTGAGTTCCCTTCAGTAGTATTGGCTTTTCTCTTGCCAAGACTCTTCTTCCCTAGAACAAATCCTGCAGAACAATTATTATTAAGGAGAAACTCTTCAAAAATTGAAAGAGAGCTTTTCATTTACATAATTTGAAAACAACATAGGATGAGACCCCTTTTGTCATGATGCATGTTCGTTTCTATGGCATGCATGTTTGCCTGCACTGTGCTTGTATGCGTTTGTATATGTGTTGGAAACAAAGTACATTTGTAACAGAGGATCTTGATATTTGAGGAAAAAGGAAAAAAAAGGCAAGAAAAATGGAATTCGCTGTGATATATACAAGTAACACCATCTTGAATTAACAAGGGTATCACTTCCCTTGAAAGCTCCTATCATCCTACTCGTTTTACAACCTATGAAAGTAGAGGCTTAGCCGTCAGCTCTTAAGGATAGCCACCTTTTGATAGTATAGTAGCCTCACACACATCTCTAAGTCCCAAAGAACTCTATTTCTTTTTGCTGAGGAAAAGATGCGGCAGAGGGAGGTGGTAACCACTCACATAAGCCCCAATGAGGGTGATCAATTATAAGACACAACAATAGTCACCTACCACATTCTTTTCTTTCTGGGTCTCATTTTTCTCTCCCTTCACTTTTATATCATGAAAACATCAGTTTCACCTTTGCTCCAGAGTAAAGGTGCCCAAATACTTCCCTTCAAAGGGAGGAAGAATAAACTATAAAATGGAGCAAAAAAGGAAAAGGTTTTGTAATTGGTATTTCGGACATAATGACGAGCAATGGAAGATCTTTACAATAAACGTATTGTTAGGCCTAAAAGGAAGTAACAATGAGAGTAAAGCACCACGAGAATATGAGATAACCAAAGCTTATCCTTGAAGAGAAAAGTGGATGAAACTTAACAAAGTAAAGCGGGTAATGTTTACAACACTTTAAAAAGTTGGCTTATTGGCGATCTCAGACATAAAGTTAGAAGCTTTATTTGCCACCGTTCAAAACAACCCAGCTCTCTAAAACATCAATGCAGAAGCATTGACCTCAAAAAAACTAGAGCTTAAAAAACTAGATGAAGAAATTGACTAAGATAAGGGCCCACACAAACCAAGGTACAGAATTTACTGACAGAAACTACAATGACATACCAGAATACCCATTTGGGATGGGAATGGAGGCTCCTTGCAACTTCCTTCCCCTGAAATTAGCTTCCTGCGTCTTTAAACCCTCAGACTCAATTCCTTCATCAGCCCCAAGAAAAACCCATTACTCAGTTATGTCATATAAATGTTTGCACAAAATTGTCTGTGAGAAAAAGAGGGCATATATATATATATATATATATATATATTACCTACCGGTGGGTTTGGTTTTGAAGTAGTGGGAAACGGAGGAAGGGCCAGAGTATTTGATGGAGCAAGGGAGCAGGTGCACCTGACCACTCAAGTCCGCCACTTGTTCTTCTTCTTCTTCTGACTCTCCATTTGCGTTTTTTCTCAGAACTATGGTCCCTTGGGTTCCCTTCTCCATTTTCCCCCAATTCTTTCAGACAAAATACCTAATCTGTGTATCAGTCAGCATCTCCTTTGCCCTTCTTTCTTCAAATTCGGCTCTACATATGGGCCTCCTTTCCCGCGCTTTTTCAGCCTACCGTCCAATCCCTCAACACTCAGTAAAGCTTGGGGTTTCAAATCTAGGCTAGAGATTTGGGCCAAGGCAAATTATATTTAGGCCCAGCCCACCACCATATCTTTGACAGTATTTGGGCACTCCTGTCACAGCTTATCTGCAGATTTTAATTCACATCTTCAAATGCTTTGATGCTTAGAGTCCAAGTGCAATGCAGAAACATTCAACTTCTTCCTCCTCCTTCTCTGTCACACTTATATGCGGATGAGTTTTTTGTTGTTGTTGTTGTTTTTTTTTTTTTTTTTTTTTTTTTTTTTTTTTTTTTTTATAAATATAATAACTATTAATAATATTGATTTTTTTTTGAATCCGAAGTCAGTCATAAAATAAAAAAGCAGGGGAGGGGATAACAGAGCAAAGGAGGAATATCAATTTCAAGACTGCCAAGCCAAGTAATTCATTCAGCATTGTTGCTGATAGTTACTAATAACAAAATAAACAAAAAACAAGTTAACATATAACTTGTTTTGAGAAGAGATCAAAATGCCAAGCTGCTTTCATTTTTATTAAGAAAAATCAATCAGTCGAAGACAGCCAGAGTTTGATAGCTTTGGGGAGAGATGGCTAATTCCGTGACCTGCTCGGGGCTAAGTTCACCGTCATTCTCCAAGAAGGACTTGAGCATTGCGTCGGAGAAACCATCCAACAACGTCACCCCTGGCTCTCCGGTACGCAGCGGCGCATACCGCACACTGAGGAGATTCCAAATCACCAAGTGCGGCACGGCATACCCCTTCTCCTCAAACTTCCTCTGTATTTCCTCATAATCTCCGCCACGAGGCTTCCAGCAGCCGTTACTGAAGTGTTTGAAGCAGGTGAACACAAAGACTTTCCTCACCATCTGCTCTGCCTTCACATTCTCATTCACGGCCACTTCCAGAATCAAATCATACACCTTCCCCAGATCAACCTCCCAGTCCTGACGCTCCTCCAAACTGTGCATAAAGCTGAACTTGGACTTGAGATCTTCGCCTCGTACCAAATGCAGCTGAGGGTTTTGGGTGTGACTCACCACCTTTCCTTCCCACGGCCCTTGGCTCAGTTGAGACACAAACATCCCCAGAGCCACCGACTCCGACGCCTTCACGTCACAAACGGCCAAGCAGTTGTTCAGCCTCCCCTGCTTTTTGTACACGTCCTCCACCATTCTCTTCCACTGAAGCTCAGCCGCTCGCTCGAATCCACCACTTTTGTCCACGGCGTAGCGTACGATCCAGTGTGGAAGCACAGCACCGGCATTAATCATGTTCTCGGACACGGACTCGGACTTGGAGTCGGCCGCGGCAATGGCATTTTTCAGTGCCACCATATACTTGCGAGCCGCAGAGGCAGAGAGTACATCAGAGACATCGGGCTCTCCGTCGTACACCAGACGTTGATAATAACCCCACTTGTTGACACCTTCTTCGTCTTCTGGCGCCAAGGCTTGTCTCAAGGGCACCAAAATCTCTTTCCGCAGCAGCCGCTGCAGAGACATTGGGTTCGAAAATTCTGATTGGGATTCTCCTGGCGAGAAAACATTCCTCGCAACGGTTTCATACAGCAGTTGGTCCATAGGGGGCGGCACGAATCGGAAGCAATCAGCCGCATCGGTTATGTTGAACTCCAACTTCTTCATCTTCTTTTTCTTTTGGCCATGCTCACGACGCTGCTGCTGATGCTGGTTGAATTGTTGGATATCATGCTTCAAGCACTCTGCCATAAGATCAGAAACCCGGTCGTGCAAGAACCGATAATCCGGGTCGCTGTGGTACCTGTCAGCAGCCTTATTGACCATGGCAGTCGTCTTCCTTCTCTTCAACAAGGCGCTCGCTTTCTCCTTAGCTTTTTCCACCTTGATTTGGCGAGTCTGTCTAGGACTAGGAGGAGGAAGAGGACAAGTTGTCCTCCTCCTTTCATTTTGTGTTAAGTGGATCTGGAACTGTTTGGACTGAAATTCTTGGTTCTTGTCCTTCCTGGTCCAAGTCATAGAGTATTGATCAACCTGCAGCTGCGGAGTAGAAGGCCTCGCTATCGCCTTTTTCACCATCGTCGTCTAGGAAGTTGCAAATGAGCTTGAGGGTGGTGAGGGGATTGTAGGACCAAGCCAGCGGCAGCAGCTGCTTCATCAGAGTCTCATGGAATTCCAACTTGGAGTGGATGCCTGATCCCATGGGACGGTGGAAATAGAGGTCGAGGCAGGGGTTGCTTGGGAGTATTCGGATTCCGGGTCGGGGCACCAAGGGGATGGGTGTGGTGTGTACAACAGACATAGAGGCTAGAGTGATGGAGGGAGAGTTCAAAAGTTTTTCTATTTTTATTTTCTCTGTCATGACTCATGAGGATTTACTGGGCGTTCCTATCTAGTAGGTACAACTAATTACACATTGTGATAGCTTCATTTATTATTATACTTACATAAATTCCAATTTAAGACTTTTCCATTTTGAACAAATCTCCCACATTAATTTGTTTGGTAAATAGTGACATAAAGTTGAATCCTTTTCCTTTTTAAGTCGAAATCTGGTGGTTGATGATACATAATTAAGATATTATAAATTCCAAATGATGTGGCACAAGCCAAATCATTAATTCACAAAAACTACCCCAAAAAAATAACCCTAGCCTTTTCACGCTTGCTCCTAGTACGGTAGTACCTCCCTCCTTGCTTTCACTCTTTTTCCCAAGGGACGGCAACTGGTTAGTTCGGGGTCTAGTATGGCAATACAATCTATGTCCCCGCCCCGATCCCGCCCCCATCGTTGGTAAGATATTTTAGGAATCCCCGTTCCCATTTTTGTCAGAGGGCTATCTCCCAAAACTGCCCATAATACTTGATATATATATGCTACATTATAACACTTAAATTTCACATCATACTACTTGCCTCATCCCCGATTAGTTCTTGATCCCCCCTTCTCATTGCGATAGTCCATCTAATTTTATAATATATTCACGAGATAAAAAATGATAAATCAAAACTAGAAGAGTATAAGAAATGCTGGATGAGGTATATCATTAATCCTCCAACAAAAAATTAGCCTCAATATTTTTCTTATAGTTTCCTCCTCTTGTATAATATTGGATGAAAACTATGCCATCTGAACTGAGTATGCAAAGGAAAATGCTAGGCATACCATATATATATATATATCATATTGTATAAAACCTCTCTAATAGAGGTGAGCCTCATTGTATGGGTGGGCTACACCTTTATTGTAGTCCAATGACTATCAGTCAGAGAGAATTTTGTCAGATGGGCCATTTCCACTACTCGAATGAAGTTCACTTCTTCATAAGCGTTGTTCCTCAAAATTTCTACTACATCGTGTCCGAATTTGGGAGCATTTGGATAAGTGTAGCCATCTCAGATTCATGTCCAAAGAGGAGCCTGTTCAAGGGGCTTTTCAGTACCAGTCAGCTACAGTAATATAATTCTGTCCGATGAGGGCCTTGGAGTGTCCGAATGATCGTATCCGCATTTGGAATCAATTGGATGAGTATGGCATCCTCGTACGGACAAAGAATATTAAATTATTTCCATTCACCACATCAATATTTTATTCTTCTTTGAATCAACTCACTTCTGCAGGAGTCCTTCCATTGATGAAGGTGAAACTTGATTAGCAGCCGCTAAGATTTCTTCCTTGGACAAGCTTGGATGCATAATAATTCGAGAATGCTAGATTAATCCAATTGCTGGGAATTTTGGATATGTTGTTCTCCACATAAGCAGGAACAACATTCATGAAGAACTTAGTTCCATTTGAGCAATGGAAAATCTGATCGGGCTTGACTCAACATGATTGATCGTCACAAACAGCTGTCACGAACATGCTTCAGTATTTAATTCCCATAAACCTGCAAATTTGTCTAAATGCAGCCAAATTTGGATACAACACTGTACACATCCAGATGGACATATTTCATGAAGGAAAAAACTTGATTTGAGGACTGGAAGATGCTCGTTTGGATGCTAGTTAAACTTCATTTAACTATATGGTTACATACTCTAAACATACGGCAAGTATTAAAAGAAAAAAGGCATTTTCCTTTATTGATTTCAAACAAATTCTCGTGAGCCGAATAGAGGGTTATGGAGGGAGGAAGAAGAAAACTTTTCAGTGTGGTATTGGTAAAGAGTGTCAACTTTAGACTGGGGAGTGATGCTGTCAATTGATGGGATGTCGTCGTCATTTTCGCTGCTATCCATTTTGGACTTGCGTTTGGGCTCTGCGTTCCCCTAAATTGTTATTATATTACTTTTTACCTTAAATTATTACTAGCCTCTCTGCGAGAGATTTGTTTTTAAAAAAATTTAAATTTATTTTAGCAATAATTAAAATAATGATTAAACATTCATATAAAAGAAACTTAGAATCCATTAAATAACATTAGAAATCATAACTATCTATACTCGGGCGTCATCCTCGCCCTAGAGAATAATTTAGTTACTCATGTTCAAAGAAAATATATTTGAAAAACTAGAAAACATAAAATAAAACTTATGGATTGTCACGATGCTCGAGAACTTGACAATGGTAGAGGCTCTTTGACTCTCCTTCAAATTCCAGCATTCCGAGCCCTAATTTCTAGTCTTCTTTAAATAAGGAACATATCCTCTTTTGATTTGGTAACTATGCTTTCCTAGTTTGGCTTCAATTGTCTTTGATGAGTTGGCATCCAAAATCCTACTAAATATAGGATCAAACCTTAGAAAATAACCTTGCATCCTTGTAGACACTTCCCAAATGCAATTGACATAAATTGGACTCAACGGATTGAACTTTAAAAGGATTATTTTGCAAAACCCGCAGAACACATTCTGCCCGAACTGTCTGTACTAAAATGGCCACAACTCTCTCCACACACGTCCGAATCACGAACCATAAAATTCTACAGAAAGCTAACATACGTATCTTTCCAAAGATATAAGGCTCAACATCTGGTTCGCTCTGAGGAAGTACACTATATTCTGTCAAGTTGACTGTTCTGCACAGCACATTCTGCTCTTCTAGGATTTCACATTATATTTCAATCCCAAAATTGCTCTTTTTGCTTGCTTTTCCATCTTTACTTTTCAAACCTAGTAAAATAAAAAAAACTAAGTAAAAAGGGACTAAACTCACTCAAGAACACAACAAGAATCTAAGAGAAAGATAATACAAATATACGAAATAATGGTTATACCAGAGATCCCATCTTTGTGCATCGTCTCCTGCCCCTTTCCATAGAATCAGCAATAGCTCCAAAGAAGTCGAAGTCATAGGCAAAATCAAAATTGGCCAAGATAGCTGCAAATGCTCCCGTTTGGATTTCAGGTGAGGGGGTTAAAGAACAAGTTGAGAAATTTCGAGCTGTTCTTCAAGAAGAACAATAGAAAGGCAGTGAGCGCTTCTACACTCTGTTCCCCCTATCGGTCACTTAGAACACAAACACACTCATGTTAGGCTCGAGATATTTCCACACCAAGCCAGCTAGTTGAAGGCCCTAAATACCAGCATGATCAGAGCCCCTTATCCTTATAGTCTTTCAGACCTAGATTGGAGTTCGTGGGAAACAAATTCCACTATTCTCAGCCCATACCCTAAGGTATCTGCTTTTGGAACTCCCATCCCCTGATTTGAATATTTACACCCTAGGTATGAGGTTGTGCGGAGAAGCAATGGTATCTATGATGCCATTATGCTTTCAAAGGAGAGTATAAAACCGAATGTGCTTCTGCTAAGTGCCGCCATCTACTATTGGAATACTTCCAATACCTTTGTTTTTGGGTTAGGGCCCATGACACCACAATTTTGGATATGCATCCCTATTTGGGTTTCATCCCCATGGAGTAAACATAGACGTTCTCGGGGATTATGAGAGAATGGGGTGAAAAGTGAAGACCCCGATTCGGGCTACCAAAACAGAAATAATAAGGATAGGAAATATTTTGTGTTTATGGAGTCCTATCAGAATATGCTAGATAAGGAGCAGGAACATGTGATGTTCTTACTATTTTGGCTAAACAAGTTCATCTTCCCTTGCCCTGAAGGATTTGTAACGAGCAAGTATATGCATATGACAGAAGCCTTACACAATGAAGATAATGTAGCCACAAATCTGTTCATTCTAGCCTCAATTTAACATTGCATCCATCAGATCTCCACAAAATTAATGGACCTAAATTTCTGTGGTCCCTTTGGATGATCCAAATATGGCTGCAATAGTATTTCCCTGAACTTGGATAAGATGAATTAACGTTTCAGGAGGAGGAGATCCCAACTCTGCACATCGTCTCCAACCTTTTTTCATAGAATCAGCAATGGCTCCAAAGAAGTAGAAGTCAAAGGCAAAATTAAAATTGGGCAAGAACCTGCAAAAGCTCCCATTTGGATTCCAGGTGAGGGGGTTAAAGAACAAGTTGAGAAATTTCGAGTTGTTTTTAAAGAAGAACAATAGAAAGGCGGTGAGTGCTTCTACACTTTGTTCCCCCTATCGGTCACTTAGAACACAAACATGTTAATGTTATGGCTGAGATATTTCCATGCCAAGCCAGTGAGTTTGAAGGCCCTAGATACCAACATGGTCAAAACCCTTCAACCTTATAATCTTTCGGACCTAGGTTGGAGTTCGTGGGAAACAAACTCAACTATTCTCAGTGTGAACCCTAAGATATCTACTTCTGGAACTTCCATAATTTGGTTTGAAGATACACACCCTAAGTATGAGGTCGTGTAGAGAAGCAATGGTATCTATGATGCCATTATGCTTTCAAAGCTGAGTATAAAACTGAATGTGCCTCTACTAAGTGTCGCCATATGTTATTGGAATAATACTTCCAATATCTTTGATTTCGGGCTAAGGCCCATGACTCCCACAATTTTTGATATGGCATCCCTATTTGGGTTTCATCCCCAAGGAGTAAACATAGACGTTCTCGGGGATTATGAGAGAAATGGGCAAAAAGTGAAGACCCCAATCCGGGCTACCAAAACAGAAATAATAAGGAATAAGAAATATTTTGTGTTTATGGAGTCCTATTAGAATATGCTAGATAAGGAGCAGGAACATGTGACGTTCTTGCTATTTTGGCTAACAAGTTCATCTTCCCTTGCCCTAAAGGATTAGTAACGGGCGAGTATATGCATTTGGCAGAAGCCTTATACGATGAAGATAATGTAGCCACATGCCCATTCATGTTGGCCTCAATTTACCATTGCATCCATCAGATCACCACAAAATCAATGGACCTGAATGTTTGTGGTCCATTTGGATAATCCAAATATGGCTGCAATGGTATTTCCTTGAACTTGGATCATATTAATTAATATTTTTTGATGATGAGATCCCAGCCATGCACATCATCTCCAGCCCCTTTCCATAGAATCAGCAATGGCTCCAAAGAAGTCGAATTTAAAGGCAAAATCAAAATTTGCCAAGATACTGGCAAATGCTCCCGTTTGGATTTCAGGTGAGGGGGTTAAAGAACAAGAGAAATTTTGAGATGTTCTTCAAGAAGAACAATAGAAAGACGGTGAACAAGTACACTCCATTCCCCTTATCGGTGACCCAGAACACAAACAACTCATGTTAGGCTCGAGATATTTCCACGCCAAGCTAGCTAGTTTGAAGGACCTAGATACCAACATGGTCAGAGCCCTTCATCTTTATAGCCTTTCAGACCGAGACTGTAGTTCATGGGAAACAAATTACACTATTCTTAGCCCGAACCCTAAGGTACCTGCTTCTGGAACTTCCATCCCCTGGTTTGAAGATTTACACCCTAGGTATATGAGGCTGTGTGGAGAAGCAATGGTATCTATATGATGCTTTATGCTTTCAAAGGAGGGTATAAAATTGAGTGTGCCTCTGCTAAGTGCCGCCATATACTATTGGAATAATACTTCCAATACCTTTGATTTCGAGCTAGGGCCCATGACTCTCACAATTTTGGATATGGCATCCTAATTTGGCTTTCGTTCCTATGGAGTAAACATAGACATTCTCAGGGATTATGAGAGAAATGGGCGAAAAGTGAAGACCCCGATCCGGGTTACCAAAACAGAAATACTAAGGAATATGAAATATTCTGTGTTTATAAAGTCCTATCAGAATATGCTAGACAAGGAGCAGGAACATGTGACGTTCTTGCTATTTTGACTAAACAAGTTCATCCTCTCTTGCCCTAAAGGATTTGTAACTCGCGAGTATATGCATTTAGAAGAAGCCTTACACAATGAAGATAATGTGGCCACAAGCCCGTTCATGTTGGCCTCAATTTACCATTGCATCCATCAGATCACCATAAAATCAATGGACATGAATGTTTGTAGTCCTATTTGGATGATCCAAATATGGCTGCAATGGTCTTTCCCTAAAATTGGATCAGATAAATTAACATTTCTAGTGGATGAAATCCCAACTCTGCCTATCGTCTTCAGCCCCTTTCCATAGAATCAGCAATGGCTCCAAAGAAGTCGAAGTCAAAGGCAAAATCAAAATTGGCCAAGATAACTATAAATGCTTCTGTTTGGATTTCAAGTGAGGGGGTTAAAGAACAAGTTGAGAAATTTCAAGCTGTTCTTCAAGAAGAACAATGGAAAAGCGGTGAGCACTGCTACACTCTGTTCCCCCTATCAGTCACTCAGAACACAAACATGATAATGTTCTGCCCGAGATATTTCCACGCCATGCTAGCGAGTTTGAAGGCCCTAGATACTAGCATGGTTAGAGCCCTTCATCTTTATAGGCTTTCGGACCTAGACTGGAGTGCGTGGTAAACAAATTCCACTATTCTCAGCCCGAACCCTAAGGAATCTGAAATTGCTATCCTTTGGTATGAAGATTTACACCCTATGTATGAGGCCATGTGGAGAAGCAATGATATCTATGATGATAAGACCCGACCCAAACCACTTTGAAATCTTCATCGAACCCTATGAGTACTGTTGGATACGCACAGGGTTCGATGCAGATTCCACAGTGGAATTTGGGTCGGGTTCATATGATGCTCTTATACTTTCAAAGGAGAGTATAAAACTGAACGCACCTTTGCTAAGTGCTGCCATCTACTATTGGAATATTACTTCCAATACCTTTGATTTCGGGTTAGGGCCCATGACTCCCGCAATTTTGGATGTGGCATCCCTATTTGAGTTTCGTCCCTGTGGAGTAAACATAGACGTTCTCGGGGATTATGAGAGAAATGGGCAAAAAGTTAAGACCTGGATCTGGCCTACCAAAATAGAAATACTAAGGAATATGAAATATTCTGTGTTTATGGAGTCATATACGAATATGCTAGATAAGGAGCAGGAACATGAGATTTTCTTGCTATTTTGGCTAAACAAGTTCATCTTCCCTTGCCCTGAAGGATTTGTAACGGGCGAGTATATGTATCTGGTAGAAGCCTTACCAATGAAGATAATGTAGCCACATGCCCGTTCGTGCTAGCCTCAATTTACCATTGCATCCATCAGATCACCACAAAATCAATGGACCTGGATATTTGTGGTCCCATTTGGATGATCCAAATATGGCTGCAATGGTATTTCCCTGAACTTGGATCAGATAAATTAACGTTTCTAGAGGATGAGAGATCCCAGCTCTACGCATCGTCTCCAGATCGATGAGGCCTGTCAAAGACTGAAGAATGCTACATCTTCTTCCGAGATTGCAAATAGAGAAAAGAAGGGCAATGGTTGTGCTTAGTGAAGAGGGATTACCCATGGTTTAAGGATAAAAAATTTACAAATTGTAGGCAAAATGGGCCAATTTGTCATCAAGGCAAGCCACTAATCGGGCTTAAAAAGCCCTATCCTGCCTGATAAACAAGGATATTTTCTTTGGTGCCAGCGACTCGTCAGTGAGTATTCTGCTATGAAGCATAGATATAGATACAGATACAATGATACGACACAGGGATATAGCAATTAAAAGTATATATAATTGAAAACATATTTTAACTAACATAATTTTATTATTAAATTATAAATACTTAAATATATATTAGTATAGCATTCTTGGGTTTTTTTTTCTTCCTGTTCTATATGTTTTTCTAAGCCCTGTATAGCTTTTTCAGACTTTGGGCTTAGGCCCAAACCATAACCAGACCAAAAAAATAAACATATCTATGTTGAAGAAAAATATGGTTTTAGCCAACGATGTCGTCCACTTGATGTGTTAAAAGAAAATGAAAAAAATTAGGTCGATGAGTCATATAGAACAACGCCGCATCCCCCATCACCACCTATTCTTCTTCTTCTTCCTCGTGCTTGCACAGCGCCGCGGCAACACTATTCACATTCTTCTTTTTCCTCTTCTTCATTTTCCATTCACAAATATCTAGTCAAAAGTTTCAATCTTTCTTGTTTTGGGTGACTCAATATTTTAATTGAGTTGGGTATGGAGTTGAAGAGAGTACCAAAAACGGATTGATTCAGGCAATCATAGAATTGCAATATGGAAGTGTGAATCAGGGAAGCACTTGGAGGAAAACAGATTTGCTTCTCCATGAGATTGTGAAGATAAGATCGGCGTGGAGAAAATTCATCCGTGGCAGAAGTGTCCCTTCTTATCAACTAGCGCTGCTGCAAACCAACCCCTTCCATGAGTTTTGGTGCACCAGGGTGGATACTTGGTTCCCAGAGAGTGCCAAGTTCTTTCATGCCATCGTCTATAACGACTATCCCTTTGTCCAGTGTATGATAGACCTTGAAGAGTATTCACTGCTTGGCATGTTAAAGCGCATATGGAGCATATGATTAACAGGTAACTTCTCAATCTTATGAGTTCGTTGTTCCTTAGAATGGCTGAAATTACCAAATCTAACAATCTAGATTGTTTTCGGTATTTGACAAAAACGAACTTAAGTCCTCAAGGGGCTAACCATCGAACATCAGGTAAGCTTTCCATCCCTAGTATATTGGTGATAGTTGAGTTGTCTATTGCCACAACTGACATTGATTTCTTTCAGATGAACCTACAACCTCACCAATCTTTTCTTATGGTTGTTTTGATGATGAAGAGGAGGAATAAGAACAAGTAATTCAAGCATCTACTTCCCCGCCCTCAATATCGGGCCTAACTTCCAAATTTCCAGTGCAACTTTCTTTTACTGAAGAGGAATTGGAAGAGGAAGGAGAAATTCCTTATTAGGAAACGAAAAGTTCCAGTTGCTAAACTTCCCTCCAATGACTCAGTCGAGATAAGCCCGGATGTTGCAAAATAAGGGGCTGAAGGGGATCTCCCCAATTTTGTTCCAACTGCAAGTATGAAAATCTACTTGCTTTGGCTTAATTATTTTCTTGACAAACACCAAATATTTTGATATTTGTTTCTATTTTGTCAGTAGAGGTGAGACCAAATAAGAGAAGAAAGTTGATCATGTCTGCTGACGAAAGTGAAAATGAGAACAACCTGGTTGTTCCTCCAATTTAGGTTTGTCTCCACCTCAATGAATTATAGTTTCTGTCCACTGTGTTAGTTGAAAAAGAAACTAACAAAATCTCTCTGCAAACAAACACATAGGTAACAAAATTCTCCTAGTGTAATACAGTCTCCTGGTGTAATGTTAATATTTGCCTTGAATTGAGGTTTGAAAATTCTTCTGAAAAAAATGACATAGGCTGTCATATTTTGACAAGTGAATAAAGAAATGGTTGATCAAGGGGCTTGCAAATTTGGAGAAGGATAGAGTTTGGCTATTGCTACAACAACTGCTGTAGAAACTTCGACACCAACTAGCCAAACAACATGCCCGATCTTGAGCCAGGGAGAGGTTTCTACAAGAGCGAGTGCCCCCAGTTCTAGCAGTGCAACTCAGGGAATTTCCATGCTTGTTGTTGAGAACAGTACAGTTGGAAGAACAATCATGCAAGTCCTCAGAAGTGATGATGAAACTTGCAAGCCGATTGTGGCAGAATTGGAACAACTACTGACAGTACTGGAAACTCCAGGTTCCAAAGTTTTGCAGAATTTGGGCCTACTTTTCAAGATAAAGAGTTTGATTCAACAAATCTCTGAGATCAAGCCTTTTCTTGCCTCATCGGGTCAGTTTCTGGTGCGGTGGTTAGACGAGATTTTGGACAAAGTTGCCGTGGTCCAAAAAGTGCCTAATCAATCACCTGATGATCTTGCTGTGGTTGCATTTGGATGATCCAAATATCCCTGCAATAGTATTTCCTTGAACTTGGATCAAAGATGCTCATGTTAGGCATGAGATATTTTCACGTCAAGCCATCAAGTTTGAAGGCCATATATACCAGCATGGTCAGAGTCCTTCATCATTATAGCCTTTTGAACCTAGACTAGAGTTCTTAGGAAACAAACTCCACTATTCTCAGCCTGAACCCTAAGGTATCTGCTTCTGGAACTTTCATCCCCTGGTTTGAAGATTTACACCCTAGGTATAAGGCTGTGGGGAGAAGTAATGGTATCTATGATGACATGACCCGACCTAAATTCCACTTTGGAATCTTTGTCGATCCATGTGCGTATCCAACACCTGTCAGGTGTTGTATATGCATAGGGTTGGACACACACAGGGTTCGATGTAGATTCCAAAGTGGAATTTGGGTCAGGTTTTGTCATATGATGTCATTATGCTTTCAAAGGAAAGTATATAATTGATGTGTCTCTGCTAAATGCCGCCATCTACTATTGGAATAATACTTCCAATACCTTTGATTTCGGGTTAGGGCCTATGACTCCTGCAATTTTAGATATGGCATCCCTATTTGGGTTTCGTCCCTATGGAGTAAACATAGATATTCTCGGGGATTATGAGAGAAAGGGGCGAAAAGTGAAGACCCAGATATGGCCTACCAAAACATAAATAATAAGGAATATGAATTATTCTTTGTTTATGGAGTCTTATCCGAATATGCTAGATAAGGAGCAGGAACATGAGATGTTCTTGCTATTTTGGCTAAACAAGTTCATCTTCCCTTGCCCTGAAGGATTTGTAACGGGCGAGTATATGTATATGGTAGAAGCCTTACACAATGAAGATAATGTAGCCACAAGCTCGTTCATGTTGGCCTCAATTTGCCATTTTATCCATTAGATCACCACAAAATCAATGGACTTGGATGTTTGGGCTCCCATTTGGATGATCCAAATATGGCTGTAATTGTATTTCCCTGAACTTGGATCATATAAATTAATGTTTATGGAGGATGAGATCCCAACTTTGTGCATCGTCTCCAGCCCGATGAGGCCTATCAAAGAATGAAGAATGCTACATCTTCTTCCAAGATTGCAAATAGAGAGAAGAAGGGCAATGGATGTGCTTAGTGAAGAGGGATTATCTATGGTTTAAGGATAAAAAATATACGAATCGTGGGCAAAATGGACCAATCTGTCATCAAGACAAACCGCTAATCGGGCTGGAAAAGCCTTGTCCTCTTGATAAAAAGGGATATTTTCTTCGGTGCCAGCGACTCATCAGTGAGTTATCAGCTATGACATGATACGACACAGGGATACGATAGATCTTTAAAACTTGGATACGATACATCAAGGATACAACAACTAAAAGTATATATTATTGAAAACATATTTTAAATAACATAATTTTATTATTAAATTATAAATGCCTAAATATATATTAGTATAGCATTCTTTGGTTTTTTTTTCTTTCTTCCTGTTCAATATGTTTTTTAGGCCCTGTATTGCTTTTTCAAACTATGGGCTTAGGGCTTAGGTCTAAACCATAAACAGACCAAAAAAATAAACATATCTATGTTGAAGAAAAATATGGTTTTACCCAATGACGTCGTCCACTTGATGTGTTAAAAGAAAATGAAAAAAATTAGGTCTATGAGTCATATAGAACAGCGACGCATCCCCCATCACCCCTTTTCTTCTTCTTCTTCCTCGTGCTTGAATAGCACCGCGGCAACACTATTCACCTTCTTCCTTTTCCTCTTTGTTCTATATGTTCTCATTACAATAATGTGTGTACACATTGCACATGGGGTTAGACCCAAAGAGAAGAGGAAGAATGCCGAAGGCTGAAGGTAGGAAAGCTGGAGGCTGAAGGCTGAATGCTGAGGATCTGGTTGAAGGCCAATGATCCGTGAGCTTGCAAATGGGCTCATGGGTAAGCCCATGAGGCCCCTCTATGTCATATGGAGTTCTAGTAGCCCGCCTCACTCCCTCCCCTTGAAAGAGAGAAGTCTCCTCTTATAAGTGAGGGAGAGTCCCCTCTTCTTGTGTTTTGTCGATGTGGGACTCCCTCCCATTTGCTTGAATTGGCTTAAGAGTTCTTGGCCAGATATTGTACAAACATGAGTCCCCCAAGTTCCCGATTAAAGAGGTACTTCTTGGTTGGGGACCTGTAGTCATAAATGCACTAGCCAAGCAATGCTTCAGCTCATTTTTCGCTTTCTCTTGTATGCAGTATCGGTGCAGAGTTGTTGAGTCAATACCCGTTGATCACCGAAGGTAAAGGTACCGAGGTTGAGTAACAGTAATTGAAGCGCATGGAGTCTGAGTTGCATGAAAACTACTGGAGGCATGCACTATTGTAGGTGCTAAAGGTGTTGCAATAATGGGTGTCGTTCAGCAGTTGGCATAGGTGCCGGAAGCTTAGAGGATACTCCATTGGTGTCGTTCGGATGTGGCATAGGCATGAAATGAAAAAATGTCTCTTGGGAGGTGCCGTAAGTGAAAAATGTCTCCAGAGGTGCCGTTCAGCATGTGGCATGGTGTCGTAAGGGAGAAGATTATTCATGAGATGCCGTTCGGCAGGCAGCTTTGGCGCTGTAAGAGAGAAATGTCTCCATAAGATGTCGTTCAGCATGTGGTCTTGAGAAGAGGCACCATAAGTGAGAAGATTCTTCATGTGCCGTTCGACATGTAATTTTGGCGCTGTAAGAAAGAAATGTCTGAGGTGCCATTCGGTAACACAAGAGCTGGAAGGTGCCGTTGGAGCTTTGGGAGCTGCCATAAGCTTTGGAGCTGATGCCATAAGCTTGGGAGTTGATGCCGTTGGTGCTTGGAGCTGCTGCCGTAAGCTTGGGAGTTGATGTCATAACTTAGGAGCTGCCGCCGTAAGCCTCGGAAGCTGATGTCGTAAGTTAGGAGCTGCCGTGTTAAGCTTTGGAACTACTGTATGGAAGCTGATGTTGTAATTCTTCATGAGGTGCCAACAAGTAGCCTTGGCGCCATAATGGAAGGTGTCGTTCGGCATGGCCTTGAGAAGAGGCGCTGTAATGGAAGGTGCCATTCGGCATGGCCTTGAGAAGAGGCGCCAAAAAAGTGTTACCCATGGGGTGCCGTTCGGTAACGCAAGTGTTTGCAAATTGATGCCGTAAAGTTTGATGCTAGAGTTGCAGCCGTAAGCTTTAGAAGTTGCTGTCGTAAGCTTAGGAGCACTATTGTAGACTTAGGAGCATGCCTTTGGCTTAGGAGGATGTCGTTGGCTTAGGTGTTGTTGCCGTAAGCTTGGGAAGCTTTGGAGGCTTAAAGCATCCACAATGGGAGGGTGTATAAGAGGGTGTATGTTAAATATACATCTTTTGTCGTCGGAATCATCTCCAATGGGAAGATGTAAATGGTTGTAAAAATACACCCCCACCATGGAGATGTAAAATTAGATGCATTTGCATCTTGTTTTACATCATTTGCAGGTGGGACCCATAAGAGAAAAAGGGAAAGAGTAGGATTGGAATTCAAAATGGAAGGCCTATGGAGCCCTAGTAGCCAGCCTCACTCCCTCCCCCTGAAGGAGAGAAGTCTCCTCTTATAAGTGAGGGAGAGTCCCCTCTTCTTGTGTTTTGTCGATGTGGGACTCCCTCCTATTTGCTTGGATTGGCTTAAGAGTGCTTGACCAGATATTGTACAAACACTTTTCTTCATTTACTGTTCACAAATATCCAGCCGAAAGTTTCAACCTTTCTTGTTTTGGGTGACTCAATATTTGAATTGAGTTGGGTATGGAGTTGATGAGAGTACCAAAAACGGATTGATTCTGGCAATCCCAGAATTGCAGTAAGGAAGTGTGAATTGGGGAAGCTCTTGGAGAAAAACATATTTGCTTCTCCATGAGATTGTGAAGATAAGATCGGCATGGAGAAAATTCATTCGTGGTAGAAGCGTCCCTTCTTATCAAACAGCGGTGCTGCAGACCAACCCTTTCCATGAGTTTTGGTGCACCTGGGTTGACACTTGGTTCCTAAAGAGTGCTAAGCTCTTTCATGCCATAATTTACAACGACTGTCCCTTCGTCTAGTATATGACAGACTGCGAAGAGCAATCATTGCTTGGCATGTTGAAGGGCATAAGGAGCATATACGTAACTAGTAACATCTCAATCTTCTGAGTTCATTGTTCCTTAGAATGGCTAAAATTACCAAATCTAACAATCTGGATTGTTCATGGTATTTGACAGAAATGAACTTAGATCCTCAAGGGCTGACCATCGGACATCCGTAAGTTTTCCATCTCTAGTATATTGGTGATAGTTGAGTTGTCTGTTGCCACAACTGACATTGATTTCTTTTCAGATGAACCTGCAACCTCACCAATCTTTTCTGATGATTTTTTTTATGATGAAGAGGAGGAAGAAGAACCAGTAATTCAAGCATCTACTTCCCAGCCCTTAACATTGGGCTTAGCTTCCAAATTTCATGTGCAACTTTCTTTTACTGAAAAGGAATTGGAAGAGGAAGGAGAAATTTCTCTTACTTCAAAACGAAAAGTACCAGATGCTAAACTTCCCTCCAATGACTCAATCGAGATAAGCCAGGATGTTGAAGAAGAAGGGGCTGAAGGGGATCTCCCCGATCTTGTTCCAACTACAGGTATGAAAATTTGCTTGCTTTGGCTTAATTATTTTCCTGACAATTTGCTTGCTTTGGCTTAAATATTTTCCTGACAAACACCAAATGTTTTGATATTTGTTTCTGTTTTGTCAGTAAAGGTGAGACTAGATAAGAAAAGAAAGCTGATCTTGCCTGCTGACAAAAGTGAAAATGAGAACAACCAGGTTGTTCCTCCAATTCAGGTTTGTCTCCACCTCGATGAATTGTAGTTTCTGTCCACTCTGTTAATTTAAAAAGAATCTAATGAAATCTCTCTGCAAACAAACACGCAGGTAACTACAGTTACTGTAGATCCTAAGGAGACTACAAAAGCCAACACAAGAATACAGTCTCCTGGTGTAATGTTAATATTTTCCTTGAATTGAGGTTTGAAAATTATTAGGAAAAAAATGACATAGGCTGTCATAATTTGACAGGTGAATAAAGAAATTCCTGATCAAGGGCCTTCCAAACTTGGAGAAGGACAGAGTTTGGCTCTTGCTACAAAAACTACTGTAGAAAGTTCTACACCAACTAGCCAAACAACATGAGCGATTTTGAGCCAAGGAGAGGTTTCTTTAAGAGCGAGTGGCCCTAGTTCCAGCAGTGGAGCTCAAGGATTCACCATGCCGATTGTTGAGAACAGTGCAGTTGGAAGAACAATCCTGCAAGTCCTCAGATGTACTGATGAAGCCTGCAAGCTGATTGTGGCAGAATTGGAACAACTACTGACAGTATTGGAAACTCCAGGATTCAAAGTTCTGCAGAATTTGGGCATGCTTTTCAAGATAAAGAGTTTGCTTCAACAAATCTCTGAGATCAAGCCCTTTCTGGACTCCTCGGGTCAGTTTCTAGTGTGGTGGTTAGACAGGATTCTAGATGAAGCTGCCATGGTCCAAAAGATGCCCGATCAGTCTCCTGATCCTGCTGTGGTCATGAAGCAATATCGAGCTACAAAAATGGACCTATATGGCCCGGCAGAAGCAAGCCTCAATGAGCTAGAAGCCATAGAACAATAGGAGCAAAGACTTTGGTCACAAATAGAGGCAGACAGGCTACATCGGGCAAAACTGATTCTGGAGCTGCAAGAACTCAAGAGGCAAATTAGTGCAAGCATGCCGATGATTGATGCGCTAACTTCCCAAGCCATTGCAGTCACACTAGCTGACACAGAGGCCAATTCACTTCAAAAATCCATTAATTTAGAATTTGACAATGTAAAAGACTTGGTCTCTACTGCTTTGGCTTTTATGAAATAATCACCATTCGAGGCAATTAAGATTTTCCTTAACAGTTCGTTTGGATGAGGGAAATAAATTCGGGATTTTAACAAAAATCAAAATTTCTAAATTGACATGAACTAATTCCCGTATTTGGATAAAAAAACATAGAAATTTATAAATTCCGCGTGGAAAAAAACATGGAATTTGGAGATCATAAATCATAACTTTAAATTCTATTTAAAAGTCGTCATTTCTAAAATCCCAAGAGAGATTGAGTTTTTAAAAAAGATAACTTTACAAATAAAGGTTAAATTCCGTGTTTTAAATCTGTCACCCAAACAAGAAACTTTACAAATTCTAGAACATTAATTTCCATCATTTATGAAATCCTTTGTACTTTTAAATTTCCTCATCCAAACATACCATAAGTTTTAGTTTGTTGATTGATTAAGGAAAAGAGAATTTCAAAATTTATAAGGAAATAACCATTATTTGGCTAAATCTGTATAAAACAGAGATAAAAATTTAAAGCCTTGAAAGTAGGCCTACATGTAATTTTGGGATTCAAATTTAAATTTATTAAATTTTAAAAGCCCTTTTCAAAAATAAACACTAGAATAAACATATTCAAAAGTAGAGCATGCTTTGCCACGTCGATGCAACTGATTGGAGACTCAAAGTTGTGGGTATGTGCTGGCGTTAGTGGTGAGAGTAGCTAATCTCACCCTAAACTTTATTTTTTTAAAGAAAAAAAAAGAAAAAAAAAGAGGTTTATACAATTCTGAGTTGCTTTTTGTTGACTGTATCGTAATTAATTAATATTGCCCATAAACGGAAAGAAATTTTTGGATGTAAAAATTCAATTGTGAATATCTAAAACAGCTTAGATAGAAGGCAACAACTCTCTAAAGAATGGCAAATAACTCTTCAGTGCAGGGTATGGACAAGGGCAAAGACAAACTCAGACATCACAAATGGAGTGAAAACAAAATCATATCATTCCATTGAATTCTTTCAAGGACAACCAAATGTTGGAGGATCAAATCGAATTGTTCCTTTCAGAGTTGGTTGCAATGAATTCGAGCTGCAAAATGAAGCTCAACAAATTCTTTTCAACGTGTGGAACGATGGATGGAAGAGTGAACAATCTTCTTTGGTATGATAATATATGGAAAGGGAGATAATTAGGAAGGTCATGCATGCACAGATGGGGTAAGAAATACTACTCTGCTTTGCATAACTTAAGCCCAGCCTGATGGCTCTCAAGGGAATGAGACCTAAAAAGGGTTTGAGACCAATAATGGAAGATTGATTGAAGTGACTATAATTTCACTAACGAGGGTGGTTCTTGTTTATAAAATTACAATCTTCTGTTTACCTTGTGCAAAGACATCACAATTACTGAAAAAGTACGTTTAGATTAGGATAAAAAAAAGTACATGTGTTCGACGCAATTGTAACATCTATAAAGTCAATGCATTGAAATATCTCAATTCTGCTTGGGTGCCTACTTAATGGCACCCAATAGAAAAGAACTATGTTTACAATAATGATGTATTAGCATACTTCATACATCAAATTTGAGTAGATGGTCAACAAAATCTTAATTAATGAGTCAAAAAAAGGCCAAAACTTATCCCTGGAGCTTATAGGATTGCATCAAAACTGCATAGCAAGACGTATAAAGCCGTTATATAGTATCCCTCCACTGCTGATGCATGTAATGCCTCTTGAATATTCTTTCGCACACAAGAAACACACCCGCCAGTACAGAGAAAATCATATACCTGGTACTGTGACTATCACGAAATCCTTCTAGATAGGTTCCTAAACCCAGAGCCCACACACTTAAGTATAACAGTCCCTGTGGATGGGTCAGGTTTGATGACAAATGTAACTCCGAGAAAATCTTTGATGTTTCTGAGTGTTTCTATCCCGTAAGGAGAGAGCTTTCCAACACGAACCTTTGAAACATCTTGTGGACATAATGCACAGAGAAGAAACAACAAACCCTACAACCCAAAATAACAGCAAACTATCAGCATATAGACAGAATTAAAAAGGGAATAAAAAATTAAGCCTATATCCAAGATAGACAGTGATAACAAATTATTAACTCCTCTCTGTTAATCTGACAAGCGGAAGTTATTAACTCCTCTGGCTAGAGGAGTGCCCCATCTTTGTTTAGGAAAATGAGAGAGTAAATTCAGCCACTGTGTCATCAAATCACAAACCTGGTGTGTTGAATCTACCACTCCACCCTGCTCAATCTCCCCAAGCAGAACAGTAGCCATTTGCACACCAACGTCCTCTGGAGACATCAGCTCTTTCTTCTCCTCATCTTCAAGCTCAGCTGTTTCTTCCTGACGTGAATAGGAAACTGCTGTATCAGTAGAGATACAGCAACCAGAAGTTGTTTCCGCAACCAATGAAATTCCATAACCAGGTGATCTGCCATAAAATCATTGTTGTCTACATGAGCTTAAGCGTTACTACCACTTCAACACAACAAACCTAAAAAACCAGTCCAAATTCATAACATGTATCTACATAGCAAAAATCTAATGATATCTAGTAAAAGTTGAAAACATACTTTCCAGCTTGGGTGCCCTGTCTATGGTCGGTAAATATGTGAACATCTGGGAGAAAGGGATTAAAGATTCCACGAGCTGCATATACCATGGTATTTTCAAACTGCACAGCCACTCTTGTAGAGAATGTAATCCCTCTAATCCTCTTAACCATCCCCTCATCAGTCCAGGTAACTGCCTGTACATCCAAACATATAAACAAATAGAAAACCGAAAAAAAAAGAAACAAAAAACATAATATACTATCTCATAAGTCTTAGATACTCACTGTTAGACTTTGAACAACCGGAACTGACAACAACACTTCACCACCTCCTTGAGGAGCAGATCCACGACTCAGTATTTCTAGGTCCAACCCTTCTGAGGGAACTCCAAAGTGTTTTAACATGGGCAAAGTAGTAGACCGGAATGTATCAACAGATGGGTCCTTTGAATCATTTGTAATTCCTAAAAGAAAAAAATGTAACCCACATAAAGTGGCAGCACCTTTTTAGAGCTCAAATCGACACCTACAAAGGTTTACTGTGCTCCATATACTATGCATACAGTCAGGTGTCCCTTTTTTTACGGTTAATGATTAGGTTCAGGGTCAATTTGTTCATGATCAGTAAGGTAATTAGTAAGAAAGTCAAGTACACATACTAAAACGATCAGGAATTAGCTCTCCTGTCCTGTCCCCATGTTGATCTGTGACTCCATATTACAACCACCACCAAAAACCTTAATGAATTGACTAGGAGGAAAAAAAGAAGAAAAAAAGAAGAAGAGAGAACTTATGCTATTGGGAGACTGCTTATAGAAGAAAACCACTATCTTAAAGGATGAAAACGTTGTAAAAATTGTGTTCCTTACTTGGACCAAAACCATACCTGTGATTGAGGCTTTCAATAACAAAATGCATTCTTAATATTACAATAAGCTTGCTATTACCCAGGACCAAAATTAGTTTCACACATTAAAATTTTACAAGAAAACCAATACAAAAGCAACAAAAGATGAACAAAACAAACAAGATAAACCACAAGAAGGTTCACAGTAATAAAAGCGGTACCTTTAAGCGTAATGTTAAGGGGTTTTTTGGCAAAGAGACCAAGCACAATCAATGGCTCCAAGTAATAACCAATTGCCCGATTCAGAGCGCATTCGTGCACCAGATTCCTCCCGCCCATCACGATCCCCGGCTTGAACTTCAATTTCGTGCCTGCCCACAAACACACACACAAAAAACAATGCTCAAAACCCTAAACCCTGAATTAAATTTTGAGCAAAATATAAGAAGGCAAGTTTTTGGTGTTTGTTAGTGAAAGTAGTACCAGTATCGTTGATTTCGACGGAGCAGTCATCGCAGACCTTCTCGAGCAAGCGGATGAAGGAGACCTCGTGAGGACGGAGACCAGGCCACGTCTCCTCTGCATGTATGTCCTCGATATGAACCGGTGTAGACGAAAGCAGAGCCAATACGAGACGTTGCCTTAGATTTTGGCTTCCTTTTAGCTTCTTGTAGCTTATTTTCCCCATTTTTGCTTCTCTCTGTTCTCTCTGCTATTGGGTGCTGGGGTTTTGGTGGCTAGGGGTTTCGCGGGGATGTTCAACCTTTTCTTTTCCTTATTTTTCATTTATTTTTCTTTTAACAAGGATAAACTTGGAATTTTAAAAAAGAAATTTTAGTGTTGGGTCTGATCAGCAAACAAGTGGGTCTACATCGAACTTTCATTGTACTTCTTTCTCATCCAAATACAATACTTTGCTGGGCTTGTAGTTAAGTGGTTAAGAAGTTCAAGGGGCTTGTAATTAAGTGGTTAAGAGCATCTATGTACCCGAGATCATAGATTCAATTTCCCCCCTCTCAAATCTTTTGTATAAAAAAATAAAACATAAAAAATTCTTGGAATATTTTCTTCTCAAATTTTGGAAGCGCTGGTCCAAATTCTTGTGGTGATATTGAGATTATATCATACAAACAAAATAGTTGCAGAGACGGAGCTTGTTGAAACAAGATTAAATCGTCAATATTGCTAATGTAAATACAATTTAGAAAAGTCCAAACTGATTAGATTGTGTAGTTGTTTGTTAAAATCATAAGACAGATCTGTCGAAATTTGGTGCTTTACAGGTATTCACTTGGACACCCTTTTTTTTCACCTTCTACTTGGTTATATTAATTACCTTTTTACAAATTTATAAATAAACCCAATCCTAAACATGTATTTATAAAAAAACCCAAGCACTATTTAAACATAGAAACACACCCAAAATCAACTCCAAAATCAACAATTGTATATTTTTTGGGTGTGTTTATAAATGAGTTTTGAGTGTGTGTAATGATGGGTTTTTGGTGTGTTTATAAAGTGTTTTGGGTGTTGGGTTTTTTTATAATTTCAGCCCCCATTTTGGGTGTTTTAGTGAAACTCCCAATCTCCTCAGCGGAAGCAATATTTGGTAAATATAACCCTCAGACATAACTGCTTAACCTGCTTTCATATAACAATGCTACAAGCATCACTAATTCACCAAAACCTGTCAAACTTGTTCAAGAATAGTGGTCAACATACTTACTACTACAAAACCGAACCCTGTCTTTTTTCTTTTTCTTTTTATGCCCAGGAAAAAACACTTTCAACCCTCTGAATCATCGAAATGCCTTGGACTATCAAGTTCACCCATACTTGCAGAAGCAAAAGAGTCGGTAGACTCTACAGATGAGAGGGAAGAGACGGAATCATCTGAATCCAACACGATGTGATCATGAAGGATGTTATCTTCATCAATTTCTGATTCCTCTGTTCCTAAAAGTAGTTTGTTTATTGCTGACTTCGCAGTTTCAACAAACCATTCATCCTCAGGGAGTGCACTAATAAAACAGAAGAATTTTAGCTCTGGGTTGAAACTTTCAAAATAGAGGTCCAAGGGAGAAAGAACCAAAAATGGGAAGACATGCAAACAACTTACCTTTGCACTTCTATACCTCTAGCAGAAAAGGCCCTGATAGCACGAGCAATTATGGCTGATGCAATCTGGTGGACATGCCTTGATGGGTAACCCGCAAAACGTGCAATTTCAACAGTGAAGTGCATATCAAGAATTAACTGTAACAAACATAGTTGATTATGAGTTAACTCTGTGTGTGTGTGTGTGTGTGTGTGTGAGAGAGAGAGAGAGAGAGAGAGAGAGAGAGAGAGAGAGAGAGAGAGAGAGAGAGAGCATTCAATCCAGGACTCTGGCTGGCAGCACTTGCCAGACTCCAGGGTCCACCCAGCATAAAACTTCAATCTGTTACAGTTTCTCAACCAAGATTGTTTTAGAAGAGATGAAGCAATGACCTATCATGTCCAGGGGTCTAAAGACACAGCCATCTGCCACCAACCCAGTCAAAAAGATACCAGATTAGTGGCTTGTGGCTTGCAAACTTATTCTATTTCTATGACTCTTATCTGGGCTCTCAAATTCTGTGGTATTTTCCCATGGCAATTTTTCCACTTAGAAACTTTTTCATGATTTCAGTCCTATGTTGAACCATGAAACTCCATCATCAACTAAGGATCCCATATTAACACTTTTCCCGATATGAAAAAGAGTGAAATAATGATATCTGGTCGTATTATTTTTCAAAAAGAACAACCAAAAAATAGACAGTATGGAAGCATGTAAGTACCTGCTGTAACCCAAGTGGCTGAAGAGGGCCTGTATCATCCTCGAACACACCCCAAAACTCTTGTTCATCAGACAACCACATTACAACTGTCTCTGTTAACCTAGCAAGCAAAATTTTCTGTATTTTATCTTTTCCAAGTAACACATCTCCAGCCACAGTTGCTAATTGCTGCAGCTTCGCAAATAATGCCTGCAATACCAGGACAAAGTCTCATAACTTGTACCAAAAGATATACAGGAACAAGATATGCATATAAAGTCCTATGGCTGAATGCAAGATAATGATCACTTGAGCAGAATACAGCGCTTTCAGGATAACAAACTCAACTTTCTAACAGTTATCGTAACGGAACCCACTAAATAGATTAGATGATACATTCCACAAACCTTTTTCTTGGATGTTGATCTGACGAAATGTGCCACTAGAAACAAATTATAGTTAATGACTACAAGAAGCATGACCCCACCCACAAATATTTGTTATAGCTGCTCTTACACGGTACATCCCAACAGCCAAACAACCCAAGGTAAATAGGCCACAACAAAGCGAAATTTGGAAATATAGAAATAAAATAATTTAAGAGAGAATGGGAGAGGTTTAAAATATTCAGAATACCATAGGGTAATAATGTTTACACAAATAAGCAAAGCTAAAGAAAAATATTATCACAAGGAAACCCATGTATATGTAGAGCGCATTAAAGTAAGAAACAACACCTGAAATGGAAGGGAAGGCAAAGGGGTAGAGCCCCAATACAGATCTCCCCCATCCCCATTTAAATATATTTGTGCATCCAATCGTGTTTTTCCTTCTCTGGAATAAATGAAGCTCAAGACATATTGCCGACAAAAATGGTCTCGCAGCTTGTCAAATGAATGCTGAAGATGGCGCCTCCAATCCTTTAACTCTGTAGCAGTGCTTGGAATAGGTGTGACATTTTCAGCAGATCCACTTTTTGGTTCCCCACTTTCACTCTGCTGCTTCCAAAGGTTCATTACAGCATTCGGCAGTAGTTCTTCCAAAATGGTAAAAGCAACTCCCAAAATGGCAAGCTGTTCTGAATCTGTTTCAGCTCTAAAGGATACAAACTCCTTCAGCTCTGTCAGATTGTCATCATCAGATGGTCCTGGTAGGGCTTTAATTAAAGCATCCATGTATTTATCAAAAAGTTGACCGATCCTACTCAATATGTTTCCCCCAAAATGCAAAATGGTCAAGGGGGTCAACTGTTCCAATATATCCTGAAATCAACATAACATTATAACTGATTGTTGAGTCATTACTAACAAATTAGTAATGCATCAATGAACTTGACATTACTATTGACCAAAACCGATTCAGCGCATATGTACAGAGAGACTAAGAAAAGTATACTGCAAAACCAAATTGTACATTCATTATAATTATGTTGACACACACATATCAGATGTGCCCACATGGAGATACACACACCAGCTGTAGATGGTACCTGCATACTTAGTAAAGTACATAGGTACTTGAGCATATGCATGTAAAATTGCATTTAATTGAACATATTTATCACAGGTCAAAACCTCGTGAAAGTCCTGTTGAGTGGAAGAGTGACCTTTCCCAAAAATACAGAAGAATAATTTGGAGCATTTTAAAATGTTCCCTTCTCAAGAGTAATTTGGAACAGCTGTTAAATCAACTCAATATAAATTTAAAGTATTTTATACCAATTTCTTTGTTCATAAGAACTCTTTTATTTTTATTTTTAATGTCATTATGTCTGAAAATTTTCCATCATCTTAATTCCTCAAGTTCAATCTTCAAAATACCTACCAAGACCAGCCTATTTGAATTGCTTGTATCAGTACAAAGAGATGAATTTAAAAATTATTTGTAGAAAGATTAGTATAAGACTAACTTACTTCAACAATGCACATAAATCTTATCCCACTATCAGCAAGCATACGATCTGATGATATTGTGAATGCAGACAATGGAGCTGCAAAGCGAGGTGAAAATGACATGCACTCATCAGCTTCTACCAAATCAAGGACAAGTTTTCTGGCCCGTCTAAAGTTCAATTCTAAAACTTCTTCAATAAAAGGCCACAACAGCACCAAAATCAATTTTGACAGTTTCAGGCCTAGCCGTTCCAGCATCAAAGAGTAGTTGAGACTAGCCTGAACACAAACGCTAGCTGCACGTAAGGCAGAAACTGTATTGGAAGATGGTGCATTCTCTTTCACTAACCGTACAAAGTATTCAATTTCCCACTCTGCCCACTGAACAACTCTGTTTGTATAAACAGGATTATCACCAAATATTGAACCAGACTTCATCGTTGCCAGTGAGATTGCAGAAAATACGAGCTTAGACAAAGTTGCTGGATATGTCTTTGGACAGACAGAACAAGAAGGAGAAAGAGCTTCAATGCTCTTCTCAAGACGGGACCCATAAAATTTCAGCAGTAACTGATGTGCCAAGGGACCTTTTCCAATCTTTATTAACCCACTTAAGGCTCTTTGCAACTCAGGAAAACTAACAAAAGGTTGTCCAGTAACCTCAACTAGCTGACCTTCAAGCACTGCTTTTCTTTTCAAGAAAGCAGATCTGTATGAGGATCCTTCAGTTGATGAAGTATCTCCAGAGCTTTTCAGTTCCGGAGAGTTTCTCTCTTCAGAATCTAAAGCCTCTAATGCTTCTTCTACTTTATGCTCAGCTAAGAGAACATCAATTTTCTCCAAAACTATCTTGTGATCATCTGTCTCAATTGGCAAGGGATACTGAAGTTCACCAATCTCAGGGTCTGGCTGGACTTCGGTAGTAGATTGATTCCATTCTTCCAATTGATGGCATACACCAGTCATCAAATCCTGCACAAGAATCCCTTGAGCTGAAATATGCTTTCGGAGCTCAACCAACTCATGTTCCATTTCTACAGCCTCCTCAGATATTCTGCAATTAGCATAAGGATCGGATCATGCATGCATGGATAGACAGGATTAATGAACGTATTAAATTGAATGAAAATCAAAGCAAAGTACAGCTAAGAAAGAAAACAACTTTGGGCCATTTTGTGACCATGTTTCAGTGTTTTGAAAGGCAAGCCCAGACAGACCTCAAAATATGTTCTTGAAATAGAGGATTTAGAGATTTAAAGGATGCAGTGGATATCAAGGATCCATAGTTCTAAGTAATGAAAATATGAAGGTGAGTAAGAATGGTCCATGCCCTTCTGGGGTTCCAACGTGTTTTCCCAAGAAAAGTGAGGTGGGAGACTTGGGGCAGTCATTTAAAACCCTTTAACGTTGGACAACCCCACACACGTGACATACAATCCTCAAAGAGGAAAAAGGTTGGGATGTATGTTGAGTTGATATTAACCACACACATATTTCCTGTTAAATTAAACTATGCTCTCCGAGAAGTTTAGCTATCCTAGTATTCCCCTGCCCAAGAATCATGCCATGGAAAATTTGAGTTGCATGGCTGCAAAATGGATTAGATACTGTTTTATCATTCTGAATAAACTTTTTCAATGCCATATTGTAATATATTTTTTAGGTTTCGAGTTATAAATCTAACATTTGAGTTTCCACATCACCTTCGTGACCCCATTGCTTCAAGTTGTCAATTTGGTTGGTCCAGTCACATAATTATAAGATTACATAAAACTCAGAAGATAATAATTTTATTACTGCTTTAGTCTTTTTGAAATTCTCATCAGGTCACCCATAAAACTCTTCATAATAGCAAATTTCTGCGCATAAGAAGCCCTTGATTTGAGTTGAACCACATATGAGCCTAAAATTCTGGACCCCTTCTCTCGTTTTAAATAAGATAGCCTAAAACTCTGTAACTAGGCTAACTTCTTGTATATAGGATCACTGACTGACATTATTGTCTTGTATATGTTGTTACATACAGAGAAATTTTCATGTGGAAATCTTTGTTCCTTAAGATTTTTCCTGTATTTTTTTTTTCCTTATGCCCACAAGCTCAAAAAGTTGATAGTAAGCATCAATTATTTCAAACTTGCGGACTTCGTACACGAACAACTTTGTAAATTTTTTTGTTTTCTTTTCACATATATAGTTAATGATTGTTTTATTGTTAAACAGGCATACAAATCATTCAGTGTCATTAAATTACCTCAAAAAAGCCAAGTACTTTGTTCGCATATTTCCACATAAGTTCTCCACTGCATCCTTTAAATCTAACAGCTCACAACATAGCTTTCTAATTCCCTGCATTCATAATATATGTATATGTTATAGGAGTGACAGCAACAATAACAAGAATGATAAAAACTGCTTATTGAAACAATATAACAGAAGCATCACCACCAACACTTAAAAGAATAACTATAGCATATATATACTTGCAGCTTCCAACCTCAGACAGCAACTCACTGTCCAAATTGCGGCAAAGTCCATATATTGTTACCCAAACAAGCTTACAGAAAACAGAATGCATTTATTACATGTTCTTAAGTATGAAACGCCTTATTCGCTACATACACAAGTATAACATGAAATAGACATCACCCAGATGGCAAATACAATTGTCCCCTCAAATTGTACTTAAGCCCAGAACAACAAGAAACAAATTCAGCTAAGAACTCAACATTATTGATTAATTTGAAATGGGCAATCCTCAAACTCCTCAAAGAGCTAGGAGCTGAGGTCCAAAAAAATTGATCGCCAAAAAAAAAAAAGCGAAAGCGAAATGTTAAATCTTCCATGAACAATAAATGTGGGAGATATAAAAAAAGAAAAAAAGAATTTCCTTTATTGATTTCAAACATTTTCTCGAGAGCCGAATAGAGGGTTATGGAGGGAGGAAGAAGAAACCTTTTCAGTGTGGGATTGGTAAAGAGAGTCAACTTTAGACTGGGGAGTGATGCTCTCAATTGATGGGAAGTCGTCGTCTTCTTCGCTGCTCTCCATTTCGACTTACGTTTGGGCTCTGCGTTTGCCTTTGCTCTCTTCTAGCTTGAGGCTTCAGCAATTGAAGCATATGAGAGCGACAGAGAGATGGCAAAATCGTTGGAAGAGCAAATATCAGACACCAACTTAACTTATTTCATTTGTTTTCTGTCTGTTCACTCTTGATCTTATTTTATTCGCTTGCTAATTAAAATTTAGTGTAATAATGTAATGATTTTTTTAATTCATAAAAAAGAGAAACAGTGAATTTCAAGTGACGGTGAAATATTTTTCTTAATAATAAATAGTTTTTTACCAAAGAAATCGTCCCATCTTGTTCTTTATTTATTTATTTCAATACAAGCAATAATTTAAATTAGAAGAGAAAGTAGTTTCACATAGGTGTCTAAACTTGATATCATTGATCGATAAGTAAAAACTATTTTTCACTTAATTAAATCTTGTTGGCCTGCATTTTTCAGATTATTGTAATGCAATTCTGCTGTAAATGAAGAGTCAATTCAAAAAACATCCGCGTAATTCTGCTGTAAAAAAATTCGAACTACCTGCCTATACTCTGTGGGCTTGTTTGTTTATCTGCGCTGCTTATCTTTCTTTCTCTTGGGCCTCTTGAAGTTTTGGGCTTGCCCTCTTTTCGGATTTCTTACGAAGTTTTTTTAATATAAGTAATAGTATAAATTATAAGGGAATGATTTTTCAAAAAAATATATAGGGTAAACTACAGTAAACCCCCCAACCTATAGGGTCATTTATGAGTTCATACTCGATTTTGGGGACATTTACGAGTACATACTCAATGTCACGGAAAACCTACAAATTGCCCCCTTCGTTAGCGAGACCATCAGGAAATATGTTAAATGCCGACTTGTCAAAAGTGGGACTCCTTTTTTTGATGACATGGACTTCCATATGGACCAAAAATTAATAAAAATAATAATTTTACTGTTTAAATTAATTTAAATTAATTTTAAAAAATCTCTCTCTCTCTCTCTCTCTCTCTCTCTCTCTCTCTCTCAACACCCAAAAAAGCAATAGCTCGAAGACCTCGAACACTTCCAGAAGCACGTCGTTGATCGATTCTTAGACCACTTATCTCCCTCGGAAGACTTCCCCTTCGACCCGATGCTATCAATTGCATGGGTCCAGAAGCTGCTCGACGTTTTTCTCTGTTGTGAGGCCGAGTTCAAGGCTGTTCTGTTGATGGGTCGAGACCCATCCCAGATTTGAAGTGCCTAACATCAATCGCAAGAGTTTTTTTTAATTTAAATGTTTTGCTTTATTGAAAATCCCTTAATAACGTTGAACTCTAGGCGCACGTTTATCAGCTCAAGTTTTTTGATTATTTTCGCAACAATTGAAATTTGGGAAGATCAATCTCTGGTTTAAGTTGTGAAGGGGATTTGCAATGTGGTAAAAGCGTTGGACATTTGCAATGCGGTCTCGCACAGAGTCAATTCCAGAAGCTGGCTGAGATTGTTGTCTCTACTCTGGAGCAGAGGCCGATTGGGGACGGCTTGGAGCTGAAATTTTATCAGATGAAGTTGGAGGAGAGATAGCATAAATCAAGGCTTTCTTGGAGGAAGCAGCTGAACTTGTTAATGAATCTGAACAAAAGAACCCAAGTTATTACAGGTGAGTTGAATTTATGATGTGTATTTAATGGAGAATTTGTATTTGAGTATTAAATTTTGGTTTGCATGTTTTTAATGTTAAATTTGATATTTGACTTCTTTTTTCTTGGACTGATTGCAGCACGTATAAAATTTGGTATGTTCTAAGAAGGCAAGCAGATGGTTTATGGAGGTTCTATGAAGGGGAAGTGCAAACACCATCATAACATTGGCCTAGTTACTGGAATGCATGAACCAAAGCAGAGGCTAATTGGGGACGGCCCGGATCTTGGACCCAAAGGTGAGGTGGTGGGGAAGGAAGGGAGGCTACTGGGTTTTGGTGTTAGGGGAGGTGGGAAGGGGAGATGCAGTTGATGAGGACGGAGATCTTGCCCTTGGTACTATACAACAACAATGAGGTCGGTGGTGATGGCTTTGAAGGCGGTGTGCACTGAGGGAGGGTGGGTTGGTGGGTGTGGGAAGAGGCAGTTAGTCGGGTGGGGTTGTTGACGAAGGCTATGGAGGAAGAGAGAGAGTGTGTGTTATGGGTCTGGGTTCTCAAAGAGAGAGAGAGAGAGAGAGAGATTTTTTAAAATTAATTTAAAATAATTTATTATTAATTTGAATCCCTTGACAACTTAAAAAGGGGAAGATTGTTAATGTATAGTTTTTACTATTTTCTTTTGGCTTCCCTTGACAACTTTGTAATAGGATGTGTAATGTAATTTATCAAGCTCAAGTCTAGATTAGGGAAAACTTTTATTGGTGCTCTTCTCTAATCTCTGCTCTATGGTGGCTCAAGCAAGTTGACAAAGGTATTGATCATTGCATATCATTACATTAAACAGTCTTCATAAAATGATGACTAGTCATCCGTTTCTCATATAACTAGTCATCCTTGCTTCCAGCTGGATAACAAACTGTTTTGTCCTATTCTTCTTTCTCTCTCTCTGCTGCCAAGTAGGTTTCTGACCTAAGGAATTTGTTGGACTGTAAAGGCCACGATTTTTCTCATTTGGCAGTTGTCTCTTTTGGGGAGGAAGTTTTGGAAAGATTGGCTTACGATCTTTCTCTTCTTCTTCCTCAAGAGAGAACCAAATATTTCATCTATGAGTTTTTCCAATTGATATCTTTTTGAAAAACTGCTTTTGAAACCCGAATATGCATCTAGCTACTTAAATCATCTCTCATTTATATCTAGGTCAGATTCAAGACTGATTTCTTCAAGAGTATGGTTTCTTGAAGAAATTGGTCATTCTCCTTTGAATCCAAATATTGGTTTCGGTCTGTGTTGGAGCTTGCAAGCTAGTGCCATGGGATGAACGAGCTGGAGAAGGAGCTGCCATTGCCATGAAGAACTGAGCTTCAAGTTTTGCTAAGTTGGAGAAGAAGATTGCACAAAGGAGGTATTGCTCATATTCCTAAATAGACCTAGGTGCTTCTTGAGCTTGGTTGTGTTTCCTTTGTAAGAATCTTTTTCTACTTAGTGGAGTGCCTGGTCGGTTGATGACTCCCAGTTTTTCCCAATGGTGGGTTTCTGGGTGAACAAAATCTGTTTTGCATATCTGTAATTTTTTCTGGGTTTGTGTTCTTGGTGGTTGACTAGTCATCTTTATCTGTTGTTTGATGTTTACATGATAATGATGATTTCACACACTTTCACCATAGTTGTTGCTAGCACAGGGGATGCCTAGATTGACGGGTCCTTCTAAGTGCCTAGGTTGTCACTAGTAATCTTCTAGGGTTGCAGGTACATTGTGGCATGCTCTGTGTATTCTCTTGGTTGTGATTGTTCATGACTAGTAGTTGACTAGTCATATGTGTATTTGGTCAAGGTTTAAAGTGTGTGAAGATTGCTGTGTTGTTGTGTCTTGTTTGTGTGATTAAATTTACCCCTCGTCACCTAAGTACCATTTTCAGTATTCAGTAAATGATATTAGTTTGATTTGAGAATATTTTACTTTTTTCTCGTCGGGTGTGGGGTTTAGTTCTTTTTATTTATTTGTTGGTCAGCCTAGTTCTAGTGGGATTAGTTAATAATATTTTATTAGATAGCCTAGTCGTAATGGGAATAGTTAATAATACTTATTTGGATGAAGGTTTGTTTGAAATTGAAAGTAATTATGATAAAATTGGTTGCCATTTGCAGCCACTAATTGACGGCAAAGAACCAATATTTTTCTTTTCCTTTTTTTTCCTTTTTTTATTTGTGTGTTTTCTGACCTAGGCTATAGTATTAATTTAACTTTTTATTATTATAAAAAGTTACCTAGGCTTTAGCCCAGGTTAGCGTGCTAGTGGGTACATCCATGTGTGTATGAGAAACCTCATTCTCTTATATATATATTTGGGTTATTGAGAAGAAAAAAAAAGGTTAGAAAAAAGAAAAATATGAGTTTTAATGTTTTACTGAAATGGAAAAACAAAAACCAACCATCATTCAAGAGAAACATGCAAAGAGGAAGCTCGCACTTGAAGGCATCGATCTTCCTCATCTCTTCCCTCCAATCGCTTAACAAAATCGTCAAGCTTGGACAGCCTCTCGGACACATTACCGATCATTGAAAACCTCCTTGAGGAAATGACTTATCGTTTTAGGCACAAAACTGGGTCTAAAATATCCAAGCTCAGTTTAGGAGGAACCGAACCCATTTGAGAGAGAGAGAGAGAGAGAGAGGGGTGAAAACGAGAATCAGAAATAGTGAGAACCTATTTTCAGACCCTATTTTTCATAAGTCCTTAGAAGCCATTTTACAAAAAGGGTAAATTTGTCTTTAAAATTATGAATATGAGATGGGTGGGAAAATAGGTTAGGTGGGTGGAAATAGTAGCACTCATAATAAATAGTACTTGACCAAAGAGATCATCCTATGTTTACTTATTTATTTATTTATTTTGGAATACTAGAGGAAACCTAAATTACAAGAAGAAATGTTTTTTTTTTTTTTTTTTTTTTTTTCATATATATAAGGGTGTCATAAAAATACATGGTCTATTTACAAAAAGACACCTGAATTTTATTTTTTTTTCCAACTCTTTTCAACTCTTTTAACCCAAGTCTTTTTAACTCAGGTCACGCTTCTCTCATAAAGACCTCTTTTTTTAACAACCTAACTCTGATAACTGGCGACGTAAACCTTCGACTATCAGCTACGTAAATCTCCAATCACTGACCACGTAAATCTCAGGCGAACTTCTCTCACTGTTTGATTAATTCTTCTAGGATGGTTAGTCCAACAACATTGTTTCCATTTCTTAATTTCTCTTTTATTTTTGGAATTTTAGTTTTCATAATTTCTATACATGTCAGAATCTTAATATTTGGGGGTTGTTTTTCTTAACCATTTCCGATGAGTGGGTTTCTTATGTTTATATGGTTTATTAAACTAGTCTACTTGTAATGATACTTATGTTGATAAATATATAAAAACATTTATTTGATTTGTAATATAATCTTTCTTTTCTTTTTATAAGCTAACTAGGCTTTTAATTTATGTGAAATAAATGGTTATAAGTTGCAGCCATGATTGGTGAGAGAAATCCCCTCACCTCTAGGTTTAAACTATCATTTGGACTATAAAAAATATAATAAAAAAAAAAAAAAAAAAAAAAAAAAGTGTCCACTGTTACTTCAAGTTTTTAATTCCTTCCGAAGCAGGGGGCGGAACCACAAGCCAAGGCTATGGTGGGTTGTAGCCTAGGGAAGTATGATGCCTTTTGGTTTTTAATCGCAAAATATTTTTCTTTTTTATTCAAAGTCTTCTTCTTTTTTTTTTTTTTTTCTTATATGAAATGGAAATACACACAAAGCCCATTACAACATAATAAAGAGGCTTTTAACTTCTTCTAAATTACAAAACTGCCATTGATTTCTTAAAACAAGTCCAACCCCAAAAACCTCATTAAAAAAACTTGAAACACTCAATAGGGCATCAAAGTAATTTAATAATCAAAATTAAATTTAATAGGGCCAGCTGTCATTTTTTTGGTTTGTTTATAGAAATTAAATAGTGTTGGGTTTATCTATATTATTAGTGTTAAGAATGGGAATATGAATAAATATCTTTTTTTTTTTGGGGTGAAATTATCTGATGCCTTTGACAAAAGGTTTTTTAATAAGAAAAAAAATGCCTATATGGCTCACCATTAACTACAAAACATTAGGGAAATATTATTTTCTCAATTTTATTTGTATTCTCTTTCAAGAACGGAACAATATGTTAACCCAATTCTATTATTCTTGGGTTTACAACTAATATATAAATGAAAATTAATTATTTATATTTTTGCACTTCGCATTTGTGAAGCTTATTCGGTTGATGGCAATAAATTTTTAGGGATTCACATTGCAAAGGTAAGATTTTTTTTGTAAAAAAAAAAATTATTAGATTTTACGCTAAAATTTTAACTAGCGCATCCACTGAAAAACTTCTGGTTCCGCCCTTGTCCCGAACATGATGCGTTTGGAGCTGACTAATTTTCTCAAGTCCTCACTTGTGAGAACGAAGGCTGTTACTTTGGAGAGGCATTTGACATATGTGTTGGAAGTAGGGGGGTCTTTAAAATTTCGGATTGACGCTGCCCAAGACACAAGTTCATGTCCCACAATATCACCTGCCTCGAAAACAGTTTGGGGAGGAGGTGCAGCAGCAGCATCACTAGTTGTCTGGTACATCCGCAGAGAGCCTTCTATAATAATCATCATCTGCTCAAGTGGGTGTGCCGCTTCAACAACCAACTTATTCTCCTCGAACGTCCTTAGCTTCATTTTGTTGCAGATAATTTTCAACATTTCTTCCCCCATATCTCTAAGACCGCCTACCTATATATATACATCACAAAATTAGATTCTAATCCTTGCATAAGTTTCGACTCAGAAAAAAAAAAGATGAAGAAGAAGAAAAAAGAAAAAGGAGTATATGTACTTTTTTTAGGATCTCCATGCAGAAATGGCGCTTGAGAAGGTTTCTCCCATAGCCACGAAGAATAGAGAACATATAATTCACATCCACTTTAACAGCATCTCTGTGTTCTACTAATTTGTTTTCATTTATTTGTTGCCAAATATTTTTTTCCAAAGCGTTGTCACCTTCTGCTATATCTGATATCCATGTTCGTATCGCCTTTTTGCATTGAAGTATCTTGTTGTTCAACTCCTTTTCCTTCTCCTCAGCTTCCAACGATTTTGTTTTTGCCTGCTCCATATATATCTGTTCCACAACAAAACACAAAAATGTTGGAAGCTTAGTTCATCATATATTAATTAATTACATATGCATTAAAAAAAAAATAGTTTCGTTAATTACACATAAATCAAGCAATAAAAAAAAAAATTATCTATATTATAGAGCTGAGAGATTTATCATTCGTACCTGCACGTTTCCAATGAGACATAAAAATAGTAGCAAACCAGCAATAGAAATTACAACTGCAAAGCAGGTTTCCCATACATAGCCACTTGTTTCCAGATTCGTGCCAAAGTTACTGCAATAATAAATCAATTAAATTTTTCATTATCTATAAAGAGCGAGGATCTATTTCTTAATGAATTGCCAATAGCTTAATATACATATATGCAAACCTTAGATTTCTGACGCCCCACCATACACCATAAAAGAACTTGGTTGGAAAATGCATCGATCTTGTGCTTCCAGACTGAATAGCTTCAAGAAATATTCCAAAATTAAATACGGTAATATTTTGTGGATTTATGGGGCATAACTCATTTAGGAATGTTATATCTCGTGAAGTACTGTCGCTACAATAATAAGTAGCTCCACAGCCTAGAGAATTTTTACAGGATTGCATTTGCCAGCATGATATCTCACGTTGAATAGAAAAGAAGTACCAAAAGCCTCCAAGTATCTGAAAAGGTAAAAGGTTAGATCATGTTAGGAAAGGTTAATCAAATTTTGGTTAAATTAAACTCTAAATATAATGACAGAAAACTTATTTATAGCTCTCTACTATAATAATTAATTGTTACTCCATCAATGGTGGAGTTTCAAATACTCTTTTTAGTGAAACTTACAACTTGTAAACTTACATTACTAGCAACCATGTAGAAAAAGGAAGATGCTCACGGTCAGTCTTTGGCCGAAATATCCAGAGCCTCCTGACTTGAAAAAGAATACTGCTATTGCCAACTGGACAAACAAGACTATATGTGCATAAGACAATAATAATATTGACCAAAACATAAACCGATACTGATATTTAATGCAACAGATTTTCATATCATCGTAAGAGCTTTTAAATGTTCCTACCATCCAATAGATGTAGGACATTTGAAATTACTTTTCAACTTACTGCATTATTTTTTATGACATGGCTAATGTCTATTGGATGGTACATCAGTCACGTGGTGTACTTAGAACACTCAAAAATTACTCTGGTAAATGAAGTTATGATACTGGTTTGGTTGGGAATTTTCCTATTCTATAGTATCTTACATATATATCAAGTTGACCTTCATATCATAAATTGAATAATACAAGTTCAATTTATTTCAACCAGAATTGTCTATTTTTCCAATCTTGTAAGAGTAATTTGAACTTACAAAATTTCAACGATCGTGTAAATTTTATTTTATTTTTCAACCATGAAGGCTTAAAAATAGACATTCTTGCAAAAAATAGACAATTTATGGATGAAGGTTAACTTTTCAGGATTTTTTTAACGACCGACTGTCTATTTTTCAAGTCTTCATCCATAAGCCATATTCTTGCAAAAAGTAGACAATCTCTTACGTACCTGCGGAATGGGAAGCATGAGGAAAACGGCAACTAGTATGCTGCGAAAGCTGTACAAAAGTACATCTACAAAGTAGAGCTCCTTATACGGATACAACCTAAACCCAGAACTCATAGTATGCAGTGCGAAAACGGCATCAAGAAGTGCTCGCAAACAAAGAGCTGCAGTCCTCAAGTTTTTGTCAATTGCAAGGCACTTTTTCTCGTCATTGATGATTGGAATGTAAAAGAAGAGAGGATCTATTGACACTGCAACACATGATAATAAAAATATCCTTTTCCTTGTTAATGGAGAAAAGAACATGCGCCCAAGCGTCTCTTTTTTCCTTGATGCATGACCATCTGGATGGTCTTCTGTATCGAACGACCAATGCTCGCTGATAAGAAACCAATATATATTATGGACGATTTTCAATAACATTATTCGGAGTTATAATCAAACCAATAGAGACTAATTCGACAAAATAAATTGTCCCACATGACTTAAGAAAACAATATTGAATAATGAGAACCAATAAACCATAAAAAGAGACTAGCTAGCTCGAAATAAATCTGACTAGTATCTAGCTACACTATAAGGATGGTCATCTGAAAGCCCCAAAAGGTTATATATGTACATATACTAACCTCATGATCCTGGGCAGGTACAGAATAAAAACAACGAGAGTCCTGAAATATAAACAATTGCAAATTAGTTTGTCCTTTTGATTTCTTGTATTTACTTTCTTCAATATAGGCATAAATTTAGAGTTTAACATATATAAGAGAACAATAATGAATAATAAGAACCAATAAACCTTTCGACCAAAAGTTATATGCATATACTAACCGCACGATATAGGCCACACGTGCGAGAACATGACTAATAATCTCAGCGATAGTCCTGAAATATAAACAATTGCATTGTAAGTGATTTTCCTACTTATTTATGATTACCCATTTTGGTTTTCGTATAAACCAACCTGAATTAGTTAGGAAATAAAAGACAAATACAAAATAACATATTTCAAAACAATAATTCTTGATGTAATGGTGATCTCATTCGATAGTTCAATCAAATCCAACAAATCAAATACAATTAAAACTTAGGATCCGGTTTAATACTTCGGGTTTTTTATTATTTATTTATAATATAATATGGATAAGAGAGTAGCTTGAGATTTTTTTAGGGGTCTTTAAATCCAAGCCCAAAAGGTTTGGCTTCTATTAGATTTTTGACCCATGTCTTTTCTTTTTTCTGATCTAGACCCATTAGTATTTAGATCTCACTTTTTATGCCCATTTGTCCTTTGAAATAAATATGGTAAGAAATTCAAAACTTTGATTTTATGTATTTTTCAAATTTCAAATTTACTGCCAAAATTTGAAAATTAAAGAGGAAAACTTGACCGGGCTTGTCCTGTTGGGCAGATTTCCCACACAGTTAAACCAATCCAAGGTTTAGTAACTGCCCTTAGCCATGACAACGGATGGAAACACAAAATACTATTTGCAAGGGCAACCACTATTCACGTGAATAGTGGCTGCCCTAGCTCCCCCCTTGCCATGGCTAAGGGCAAATGGGTGGAGTTGCTCTAAAGACCAGCAACGAAAACAAACGCACATACATATTCAAACCCATGAATGGAGGAATTCGTACATATACCTTGGTCATCTTGAGAGTTTTATTGAAATGACTAGAGAACACATCTAACATGTCCAAATGATCTTGGTTGTAAGCTTAAAATGCTACTTTTAATTACGTAATGCAAAAAAATTTGATTCTTATTTATTACTGCATAAACTAAAAAAAGAAAAAAAAAAAGAAAAAAAAGAAAAAAAAAAAAAAAAAAAAAAAAAGGTATTTCGCTTTCTTTTCAAGAATTTTCAAACAGTAGAATTAAAGTTTGAGATATTTATTAAAAAATCCATTTTAGCATGACATATTATACAAACTGTCACTTGTCAATTTCTAGTTAGTTATGTGTTAAAAATTTATAAGAACCAATCAAATAATGACAAGTGGCAATTTTAAATTTTTCTTTCCAAATAGACCCTATATATATATATATAACATGTCATGTTAAAATGGACATTTCTGTGGAAAGCCCTAAAACCTTTTCATTTTCATGCGCTTGCGATAGGCAGGAAAATTTCATTTTGAAAGAACCCGTTATGCGAACCAAACGCGCGTAGTGCTACAGCCTACGCATTCTGTGAATAAAGCTGTAATATATGTGCATTAGAAAAACAAATGACGACTTACCTGGGAGGATGGGTATACCGTCCCTCTTCCATCTCCCTCCAGTTATTGTAAGAACGTAACCTTTCCATGGAAACAGAGGATGTGTGAATCGAAGAAGACCAAACGAAAACAATCTGAAGAGAAAAACTGATTTCTATTTGTCTGTATATGCATTGAATGAAGGCACAATTGCCTTTTATACAGGACAATAACAAAACTTGATGAGCTGGACAGTTGACTCTAGTCAGCTAATACGTATTAAAGATAAAGTAAATGAAGCTACTATTGTAATTGAACTGTTAATTCCTTTTGGATATTGTAAGCAAGGTGTTAAACTTCGATCACTTCTGAAATATCGGGGTCTCAAAATACATAAATTTTTATGGAAAGTGAAGATTGAATAAAAAGTTGTTATACAAAACTTTGAGACATGCATATTTAACCAGTAATATACTAATTCGGCAAAATAAATTGATAAAACTTAATGACATGGTGGATTTATATGATTGAGATTACATATCATTTTTGCACTCACAAAATATGCTCACTAATTCATAAGATTTGATTGTATACACACCAATTTCATTTAAGTTTAGTTATTTTTTTAAAAAAATGAATGAACAATCTTTGTAGGAGATGCTAAACGACAAGCGATAATCTAAACTACAAAAAAGATGGAGATTTCTCACACACACTACTAATTTGCCATGGGATATACAAGTAGTTAATAATTAAAAAACAATAAAAAAGTTATTTATACATAAGTAAAAAGACCAGACTACTGTGGCTGATAATATTTGAGGGTATAAGCATGTCATTCGGCTTTGGGTTTCATGTTCTGGAGCCTCCTCTCATATCATATGTACGAAAAGTTATTGTAATATACCCCGAAAATTGAATAAACAATTCCCCAAACCAGAAGAAAAGAACAAACGTATTTTTGTTTCCGATAAGAAAAAGAAGAAAAGATGATGTGACACGAATAAAGCTTGAGCCTTGAGGTTGCAAGAGTTGCCCCTACAAGGCTTTTAGTTTAAGACTAATCACTGTGAACTTTGGGGAAACATGTTACACGAAACTAGCATATCATATACTCTTGTGATGAGAGATATAATACAAGGGTAGGAAACATGTTACACGAAAATGGCATATCATAGACATATTCGTGGCTTCTCAATCATTCCACTTCTGGCGTAACGTAAATATATGTGGATATTAGCTAGGCAGCTTGAGCTCGAACAAATACAATAATTAAACAACTAAAGATTTATACAAACTCAAATTAATCAACTGGAGGGCAGCTAGCACACCAAGAAAATGGTGTCAAACAATAATAATAATAATAATAATAATAATGATAATAATAATATACTTTGATAATCTCTGGCAAATGAGTGAACTAGCAGTCTATTTATTTGACAGGAATGTTAAAAGGGGAATGAGAATTGTATTCCTTTTTATTTTGGAATGGAATGATCTTTTACTTTCCATCTTATTTTATCTTTGGAATACTCAGGAAACCGAAGAAGGAAATAGTTTGCTTTTTCATTATTTTATCATTTACTTGTTCTCAGATAAAGTTATAAATTTTAAAAGAAATAAGGGGCTTTAGGGAACAAATATCTGCATTTTATAACCACAAGGTGTGGTGTGGTTGACAAACTGCCTTCTCCAGTTGGCGAACTGCCTAGTGCTTCAATAGCAGAGGTTCAAATCTAGTTGGGAACACTTTGTGGTCAGGAACAAGCCGAACCCCTAGCAGTGACTAATCCCAAACTTCGGATTGGGGATATCTCGTCGTATTTACCCCCAAAAATAAAAAATAAAAAATAAAAAATCCCCATCCTGTTCTTGATGATCCCTCAATAATGAAGGAAATCCTTTTTGCTGTCAGTTTGATTTGTTGTTCTACCAAATGGCTTCTTCCTTTCCTCTACTTTTTATATTCAAATAGAAAATAACAAAAATAATAAGGTCGTGTTTGGTGACTAGGATTAAATCACATTTTATTGTAGATGATAACATTGGTATTTGAATGGAAGCTTTTCTTTTTCCATGCCGTGGGGATGATGAGTAGGGGAATTTAGTGAGCCCATGTAAATTCTGGCCCAAAGAAACTTTTGGGAAACAAAAAGTCAAGTGTAAAGAAAACATATATATCTCCAGGGGTTAATAATTTAGTTAAGCAGTCCTTTATGAAACCAATCCTCTTCATTTTAATTTGCTCCATTGGCTTTAAATATCATATTCTAAGAAAATTTATATAAGTTCTCCTGGGATTATTAATTTATGTGCAATAATATAGATGGACGACATGGTTAATATGTTATGGATCTAAAGTAGTATTAATAAATACATACACATGTTATAACATAGATGAATTGGTAAGACTATGCGAAAACACCCTAGATTTCTTCTATTTAAGCTCGCATGATGGACTCGTCTCCTCCACCGATCATGAAGAGAATTAATGTTAGAATTTTTTAAATTCCATCGGGATCCGCATTTGTTTTACTAGAACTACAGGTAGTACTGTAGGCGTCCACGTCCATATAATGCCTTCTGTGATGATGAGCATAAAATGAAGTTGCTCATAAGTCACTGGCTTGAGATACCCGCACATCATTTCCAGCACTTTAGGATCCATATATTGAAGCATGGGTACCTACACATGTACATTATTGATCGATAAGAACAAGATTCATCATATGCAGATATTGGTGTTGGTAACTGTGGATTGTTGTCCGTCTCTCTGAAATTCTAAAGTAACGGCCAGAAATCTCTATATATGGAGAGGTTTGAGTAGCATACTTTCTTTAGCGTATTCATGCTGACATGTTGACTTGCAAGTATTGCATCAGCGGACATGACATGTTGTCTCGCAAGTTTTGATTTATGTTTGGCATCATTTTTATCTTCATATACTCAAGCAGACAATTTCTGGACATCCAGCATCGTATCTCGCCCTCTTTCCCCTTCTCAACCTCCAAAGGATTTGTAGTTGTCAACTGCTGCATACATGTCTGTTTCGATCCCAATGAAAAAAGAAAAAATTTCAGTTTATGATTAACAAGTTATAATGTACAGATATAACATCGCCAACGTACCTGAACGTTTCCAATGATATATGAAAATAGTAGTAAGCCAATAGCAGAAATAAGAAGGGAGTTTCATTAAAACACCCAAAATGGGGGCTGAAATTATAAAAAAACCCAACACCCAAAACACTTTATAAACACACCCAAAACCCATCATTACACACACTCAAAACCCATTTATAAACACACCCAAAAAATATACAATTGTTGATTTTGGGTATGTTTCTATGTTTAAATAGTGCTTGGGTTTTTTTATAAATACATGTATAGGATTGGGTTTATTTATAAATTTGTAAAATAGGAATTGCAAAGCAATTTTCCCACAAGTAATTGCTCGTTTTTAAGATCCGTGCCATAATTACTACAAATCAATTGATGATCAAGTAATTAATATATGAGATACTAATATGAGATACTTTATATGCAGCTTAATATTCTAACATATCCCGTTCATTTTATAACAAATCAACTGTTTTATATTGCTTTTACTTTTTATGAGTTCTAGGTTACTCAATAATTAGTATTCTTTTCCAACTTTCAAGAGTGAGTATCAAGTGAGGCATCAAAGGGATGTGATTCATTTGGTTGTTAGAGCTGATGATTACTAGTTTGGGTAGAGTAATTCTTCACGCATTTGAGAAGGTTGCTCTGTTTTTTTTTTTTTTTTTTTTTTTTTTTTTTTTTTTTTGGATTGGAGAGAGAGAACCCTATTGGGGTTTGATCGTAGGTGCCATGGAGGGGAGGGGAATTCACCACCACTGTGCTTTCTTTGCTAAATGTATTTTTCACATCCAACTATAGGAAACAGAAGACAAGACTCATTGGTGACCGAAGTGAGTTAATTAATTAAACCGCTCGGCTTGTCTGAGGCACCACACATGCAATTAATTTATCAAATTACACAAGAAATGTATGATATCCACATTGTGGTTCGGTATATCTTTGGGCTTTTGCCCTCATTTTTCGGTTTCACACATAATTTATTTCTCAAAAAAGGAAACCCCAAAATGAAAATGAACGTATTAATTAATTCATGAAATGAAGAAAATAGAATATTCATCCACGATAAAATAAAAAAAAAACAAACAAACCAACCTCCTCCTGACCTTCATGCTTAGTTTTTTCTTAAAAATTGTTTAGTATCTCATCAATCTTGTTGCAGGAAGTGCCAACTACATGAAGTTTCAACGGCTAAGAGTTGTCTAAACTTCGGATTTTGAACTCCTCTGGAAGATGTCTTTGGAGACCACTAAAGTTTTCAAGTCATTAATTGTGAGAGCAAAGGCTTCTACTTTTTCGGCACATCGGACAGTTTTGAACGAAACAGGCTGGTCATAAAAAGTTTTGGTTTTCGCTGCCCAATCCAGAAGTTGTTCTCCCACAAGCATACCTTTCTCAAGAATTTCGAATGAGGTTGAGGGACATGCCTCTCCAGCAGCCCTAATTGGCAGGTATGCCTGCATAGAGCCTGCTATAATATAGAGCATCGTGTTAAGTGGTTGTCCCGCTTCAACGACCTGGGCATTCTCCTTGAACATCTTTGGCTTGAGATAGTCGCAGATCGTTCCCAACGCTTGATCATTCATAAATTGAAGCTCCTTTGCCTATATATACATACATATCAGAAAATTAGATTCTAATCCTCGTATAAGTTTCAATTTGGATTACATTCTTCGAAAGGTTAAACATTGATCTCTATCTATTGGATATATATACATGATCCATCTCAGCATGTATGTTCCAACTGAGTGTTTTTATTGATTTTTTTTGCCTTCCCATGAATCCATCGTCATAAAATATTTCGTTTGCTATAATCAAATTATTATAGAAGTAGAAATAAAAATGTCTATCGAGGTAATATTATTGCATTGCTTAAAAACATGGATGGTTGTGAAAAAAGGGTAACCAATTAAAGAGGAGATTCTGTGGCATCATTTATAACTTAATCAAAACAATCTTCATGGCATTTGATTCAAAAATTGAATTTTACTAAGAATAGGTAATATAGATGGGTTATTATTAGAGTTTTTGAGTTGAAGTGTTATGGTCGAGATGTACGGCTGTTATTTTTCCTCTTTCAAAGCACATGAATGCAAGTATGGGAGATGCATGCATGGTCTACAATTGATGGCTGAAAGGAAGAGAAAAATGAGGGAGTTGCACATGCTTTCGGTGCCTTGGGTTCCCTCCTTAGTGGAGGAATATTTTTGTATGTCATGATGGTGTTTGTTGCAATTATGGGAAGGAAGACATCATCATTTGTCTTTAATGATGCTGTCTTGGGGAGCCTTTTGACTGGCCATCATTGTGGCTCTTCTAGCATGTACGTGGGCTGTTTTTGGGAGGTGAAAATCAGCCTTCCTTTTATGGTTTGTAAAAGGGGAGGGTGCATGCAAGTGGGAGTGTGCTTGTGTTGCACCAAAGGCATGAGTGAGTTGTGGGCTGGTGTGCATGTGAGCCGCACCAAAGCATGCAAGGGGTGCGTGGGCTGCTGTGCTTCAGCTGCACCAAGGCAAGGGAGAGAGAGCATGGCAGAGAGGGAGTGGACTGCTTGTGAGATGCAAGCAAGCATTCCCACGAACTCCTGGAGGATGTTTCAGCAGGGAGTTAGCTGGGTTCATAAAGGGTTCAACAGAGGGTATATCTCTTGGGGTGAGAGTGATTTTCACATGTATGAGAGAGGGTGTACAAGTGGTGTATCCTATTGGATACGGGACTCGGGTTTGGGTATAAAACTCTTGAGTGGTTATTCTTGTACTTGTATCTTTCTCATGTTATAGTGGAGGTGGTGACTCTCCGGGGACGTAGGCAGGTTATCTATCGAGCCTCATCAATTCTCGGCGTGTTCTCTCATATATTACTCATTGTCATCTTGGGCTTGTTGGTTTGTTTATCTTTATTTCTTCCATCGGGTTCCCTGTGACCAGAGGGAACCGGTGTTTCATCAACATGAAGCCCCTTAACTCTTCCATTAACTTTCAATCACTATTTCTCTATCCTAAACTCTTTCTTTCGTTTTTTGTGCCTATGGACAATTCTCACGACACCAACCCTTTCGCAGACTTTTACAAGTCCTCTTCTTCTGACGTTATCCATCAACCTTCTTTTCCTCCTGCTGCATAATATGTTTCCTCACTCGCTCCTCACTCGCTTTTTCAATGAGCCTACCAACCATGCCTTTCAAACCTCTCCCTCTCCAAATCCTAACCAAGCTCTCTTCTACAAACCCTCTCTCCCAACAGTCACTTCTTCCGGCCAAACACTTTTTCCAACTCTTGCCCGATTGGCCAAATCTGTAAAAAGCCAGGCCATGGTGCTCTCCCTTGCAGAAACTGTCTCAATAGCTCTTACTTGGATCACACTTTACAACCCAAATCTTCACTCCCTCCCCCTAAGCTCCTACTTACCCCTCTACCACATATACTTCCACCACACCCTGGTCTTCATCCACACAACTTGGTATTCTGATTCTCGGGCCACTAATCACTTTACAAATGACATGAGCAACTTTTCTCTTAATACACTGGACCTGACAAAGTTAATGTTGCCAATGGTGAATCAGCACTATATTATACTCTTCTCACTCATCTTTTAACTTAAAAAAAATTTATTCACACTCGACAACACACAACTTGCTCTCAGTTCACAAATTTTCCAATGACGTATGACAATTTTGATCTAGATCATAGTAGGGGAAAATCCTTTTTCAAGGCGTTACTGAAGGCAGTCACTAACCCATTCATCTATCCAAACGCAAGCCACCTTTTTTTTTACTTCAACGCCATTGCCACAACCTCTCTTTGGCACAAATGGCAAGGTCATCCTTCAACTCACGTCCTCCATCAAATCTTATCTACCAACATTCTTTATCTTCCTCTTGAAACCCTAGACCTTCATCTTGCTTCTACAACCCTTCTCTCCCAACCGTCCCTTCTTCACCCCCTCCCCTCAGCTCCCACTTTACCCTCTACCTTATACACTTCCACCACACCCTTATCTTCATCCACAACAACTTGGAATGCTTATTCTTGAGCCACTAATAACCTTACAAATGGCTTGCGCAAATTTTCCCTGCACCCTGGATACACTGGATCTAACAAAGTTAATGTTGCCAACACTGTACACTTATCACTCATCTTTTCATTTAAATCAAATTTCTCCACAAGCCACACACAACCTACTCTCAGTTCACAAATTTTCCAATGACAACAATTGTTATCTAACTTGCACTCCTTTCTCAGGTATCATCAAGGATAATATACTACAAGGAAAATCCTATTTCAAGGCGCTACTAAAGGCAGTCTCTATCCCATTCATCCTGTCCAAAAGCAAGCCACCGCCCCTCATGTTTCTCATTGTGGCCACAAGTACTATGTGATTTTTGTTGATGACTGGCCCAGATTCTATTGGCTATATGCATTACATTGTAAATCTAACACTTTTAAAGATTTCAAAATTTTACAAATCAAGTTGTATTCTTTTGTTCTAATTCTAGAGACTTCTTGTATATGACAATATATACGTTTTTCCTTTGTGTAAAGGAACGATAGGGAGAGAGATATTATATAAACCCTCACAGCAAACATCTGAATGCAGAAAACACGTTGTGAAAAAAAAAGGAAATTAAAGGAAAGATTCCGTGGCTTCATTTGTAAATATAACGATTAGAAGTTATAATGTAAGTGAGTTATTAAATAGAGCTTTCAAGTTGCAAGGATCTATTTTTATATGACCCTAATAATTTCTATATAGAGATTCATGAACATGCTTCGGACAAAAAGAGAGAGAGAGAGAGAGAGAGGAACCTACTTTTTTCAGCGTCTCCATGCAGAAATGGCGCCGCATAATGCTTCTCCCACATTCGTCAAGAACAGAGAAGACATAATTCACATCCACTTCAGCATCTATGTTTTCTTTCAATTTGTTTTGACTAAAACCATGCATAATATCTATCGCCACATCATCAGAAATGTTATTTATTGCCATCCACAAAAATATTGCCTCCACTTTCTCACGTATCTTCGGGTCAGCAACAATTTTGAGAATGCCAGCTGTTTCAAATAAGTGCGAACTACATGATCAAACAAAGAAAAAAGAAAAGAAGAAGTGCCAAATATTTCAAGTTTCAAAAGGTAAGGATTGTCTAAACTTCACCTTTTGACTTCATCGGGAAGATGTCTCCGGAGAGCACTAAAGTTTTCAAGTCATCAACTGTGAGAGCAAAGGCTTCTACTTTTGTGGTACACCGGATAGTTTTGAACGAAGCAGGTTGGTCATCAAAAGCTTCCGTTTTCATTGCCCAATACAGAAGTTGTTCTCCAACAAACATACCTTTCTCAAGAGTTTCAAATAAATGAAATGCAGACTACCGTTTGGCAAAAAAAATAAATAAATAAAAACATACCTTTCTCAAGAGTATCGAATGAGGTTGATGGAGCTGTTTCTCCAGCATCAGTAATTGACAGGTCCGCCTGCATAGAGCCTGCTATAATATAGAGCATCGCGTTCAGTGGCTCTCCCACTTCAACAACCTTGGCATTCTCCTCGAACACCTTCGGCTTGAGATGGTCGCAGATCATTCCCAATTCACGATCGTTCATATGTTGAAGCTCCTTTACCTATATATGTATATCAGAAATCAGATTCTAATCATTGTCTAAGTTTCAATTTTGATTAATTCCTTATAAGATATTCAAGATTGATCTTTATCCATCTCAGCATTCTGAGTGTTTTTTTTTCTTCCCATAATACCATTGTCTTCAAATATATCGTTTGCTATAGGCTCAACCATACAAACAAACACCAACTAAAACCCAAATAAACTAACAATAAATTGCTGACATCTTTGTTCCTTGGAGAGTGAATATTGTGCCTAATCACATACTACTGCCGAGATTACATGGCTATGCTCTTTTATCAAAGATCTACATTTCTTCCTTGACAAACCTCCCCGTCTCTCAGCTAATCCCATATTCAATGCCCGCACCAAACACGTTGAAATTGACTACCATTGTATCCGACAACTTGTCACCAATAACTCCATTTCCATCAGCCATGTTTCCTCACCTTATCAAATTGCTGACATCTCCACCAAGAGGGCTTACCTAAAGCCCAATTTCAACACTTGAGTTCCAAGCTTATCATTGTCTCACCACAACTCCTCTTGAGAGGGTATGTTCAGAAACAAACCAATCAAATCATCCAAAGGTCAGAAAGAGAAGAAAAAAAATACTCAAGGCACTCAACAAACTTGCAACCGATCTAGCAAGTAGCCAGCTCACACAGTACCTACGTGGAAGGGACATGATGAGCCAAGGCTTATTCTTCCTTGTATTCTTTTGTTCTAATTCTATAGACTTCTTGTATAGGAAAATATGTACGTTTTTCCTTTGTGTAAATGAATGACAGTGAGAAAGATATTATTCTTGCAATAAACCCTAGCAGCAAACATCTCAACATAGAAAACAAGTGGTGAAAAAAAGGGTTAGCAATTAAAAGAAAGATTCAATGGCATCATCATTTGTAGAGCTTTCAAGTTCATTCATCGCATTTGATTCAAAAATTCATTTTTAGTTAGAGTTGTAATATAAGTGGGTTATTATATATAGAGCTTTCAAGTTGAAGGGATCTATTTTTATATGCAGAAAACGTACTTTTTTCAGAGTTTCCATGCAGAAATGGCGCCGCATAATCCTTGTCCCATATTCTTCAAGAACAGAGAAGACATAATTCACATCCACTTCAGCATCTGTTTTTTCTTTCAATTTTCTTTTACTAAAACCATGCACAATATTTATTGCCACGTAATCAGGAATGCCATTTGTTTCCATCCACGAAAATATCGCCTTTAATTTCTCCTGTATCTTCGTTGCAGCAATTTTGACAATGCCATCTGTTTCAAATTAGTGCCAAGTACATTATAAAAATAATAAAATAATAAAAACAAGCGCCAACTATTTCAAGTTTCAAGGATTGTCTAAACTGCACCTGTTGACTTCGGGAAGATTTTGAGCACTAACGTTTTCAAGTCATCAACTGTGAGAGCAAAGGCCTTTACCTTTCCGGAACATCGAATAGTTTTCATCAAAACAGGTTGGTCATCGAAAGTTATGGTTTTCGCTGCCCAATCCAAAAGTTGTTCTCCAACAAACATATATTTATTAAGAGTTACGAATGAGGTTGAGGGATGTGCGTCTCCAGCATCCCTAATTGGCCGGTACGCCTGCATAGAGCCTGCTATAATAATAAGCATTGCGTTAAGTGGCTGTCCCGCTTCAACCACCATCTCATTCTCCTCGAAGATCTTTGGCTTGAGATAGCCGCAAATCTCTTCCAATGTTGTATCATTCATATTTTGAAGTTCTTTTACCTATATACATATATATATAAATTAAATGGCAAAATATTAAATCTTCAAACTATATAATTTTATAAATACGGGGTTTCACAAAATATCATAAATGCAGGGAAAAAAAAGGGACTTAAAAACTGAATTGGATTATAGCAATGTTTAATCTTTTAAGGAATTAATCAGAATTTAAATTTGTATTTAAATTTTCTTGGAAGTGCCTTAGTGAAGATGTCTGCAATCTGCTCCTCTTTCTTGCAGTACTTGAGGTCAATCTTAGAGATGGTGCCACCATTTGTCACATCCCGGGATCGGCTCTGCTGTAGCACGATATTGTCGGCTTTGGGCTCTCCTCTCTACCCTCACAGTTTTGTTTCTGAAAACTCATAGCAACTTTCCAGTGGGTCACCCATCCTGGGATTGCTCTAGTCCCAACTCGCTTCACTTCGGAATTCCTATGACTCCGAAGCCAGTGAGCTCCCAAAAGGCATAATGCTAGATGAAGGTGGGCATGTACATATAAGGCACATAACTCCCTCTCTATTAGTTGATGTGGGATATTATACCATTTCCTTATCTTTCTCACGCTGATTCCCAAATTCAGAGGGAGATACACGTGATAGTCCCCTTCCTTTGCTTTTGTTCAGCTCAAATTTTGTAAAAAATATTTGAATATGAGGTAGGAGATTTTAAATCGACCCACTTGTTTCTCAAGCCCATTCCAAAGTCACCGTCACAAATGGGCCTGTTTATTGGCAGCAGCAAATAGTCCTGGGCTTTCCTAACCTTTTCCCCCATTTCATTATGATGGATCAGGCCCATTGCCGTTCCCAGCTCTTAGACCTTATTGAATATTGCTCTAGGCCCAACTTTAGATCCTTTGAAACCCATTATGGCATCTTTGATCAGCCATGTGTCCCAATCTTCCATGTTCACATTTTCTTTTGGTGCTGCACGTGATTGTTCGTCAAGCGTGAAAGCTTCCTTGATGGTGCCAAAGACCACCGGTGGTTTCCGCATGACTTAAGAATCAGTGGTCAGGCATGTGTTCCTTTTTTCTGTATGTCTACCATCTGTCAAGGCACCCTCGAACAACGGTCCGCCTTCTTTTATCTACTGTTTCTCCATGCAGTTTACTCTAACCTAAGTCAACACCAGATTAAATTTCACTGGGTTATTACGATCTGGCTGGATTGGCAAAATTGTAGGTGAAATTGGTCTGATCTGAACATAATAGACCTCGTTTCCTTTTGCTAATCTGAGTAATTTGGGTAAACATCCAAACATATTTTTCCTGACCTTCAGTTTGGTTTCAAAATGGTATTTAAGCTTCTCTGTCTTCCAACTCACCTCTAGCAGACCCCCACAAGAATCACCAATTCGTTCAAAGTAATTTTGGACCACAAATGTATCGAAAGCCTAGTGACAGCAATCCAACCGTCGTAGCTTACCACTTTTGTTATGTTGTTCTTCAAGCTTTGCTCCCAACACCATAATAACACCTCTGGTTGTTTGTCCACCTTCAATTTACTTGCTCCCCTTACTCTTGTTGCCTCATATTTACTATTACAAACAAAGAATGCCTTGTTATTTTGATATGGAAATAACTCTACTGCGAATTGAAGCCAGCTGCCCAAAGCTTTTTCAATATTCTTCCAAGTCTGATGTACTCCTCTCACAGGCTACCACCCAACTCTAGTTTTGTTCATCACCTCCCATGACCATCTGAGATGATTTGTGTTGTTCTACTAAAGTATATTCTTTTTTCTTCTCCACTTTTGTTCCCACTATACCATTTTGTTCTACCGCCTCCTTATAAGACTTAGCTGAAATTCTAGGTTTATCATGCAACTCATTCTGTTCCTCTCCCCTAGGATCAGATCTTTTCTTTACGAAGCTTTTGCCGAATAACAATACAGCTAAACTTTCCTATAGCTTTATCCACCCCAGCCCTCCTCTACCTTGTGAAATTACAACCGACAACACAGACATTTGGACAGCCTCAGAAAACATCTGTTCTTGTTGCATGACTTCTCCATCCACAGTCGATAGGAGTTTCCTCTAAATTTTTGAAAGAATTTCTATTCGTTCCTGCCCATAGCATCTTGTAGCTGTTTTAAAATCCACAATACACAACCCAGTTCGACGGATATGTGGAAAATGAGACTCTCATTAATCAAGATAAACCCCCAAAAGATAAATCATCAATCTTAATACAAAAGGTTTTGGCTTCAATCCTAAAAAATCTAGGGATTTGTCTCACACTCCTCACTAGCTGGTTTCTGCCCATCCGTTGACACCGACTTACACTCATCCTATGAGGTGAGGGTCACTAGCCGGTTTCTTCAACGTGTAAGGGTTTAACTGCGATGTGCGCCTAGAAGCTAGAGATAAGTTAGCAGGCAATGCAGCTGAATCAGCTCACACAGAATCCCTCCCTGATGTCCCACCTCTGACATTGTTATTAACTGCACTAGTGTAGCTGGTGGCATGATACCTTTGCATTTCCCCTAACTATCATCGACATACTACCCCCAACATCAAACTGCTACAAGAAGCAATTTTCAGACAGAAAAGCTATTATGAAGCTTTGAATTGGGTTTTCAACAACAAGTGAGGCTAAGGTTTTTATTTATGGCAATGGTGTAAAAAAGGCAAAGACTTTCTGATAAAATTGTAAACAATAAATACAACGATTTGAGATTGCACAAGCATGGCTTTGAAAGGTTTGGGATTTCAGAGAGATAGAGATAGGTTTTAGATAAACATATGGGGAGAATTGAGAAGGCGAAGAAGAACTGAAGAAGGCTCTCTCTCGGGCTTTTGGACTTTCACTCTTAATCTTTGCACATCTAAGTTTCAATCTATCATCTCTTTCATTTGCACCATTTTGGAAAACTAAGGTTTCTATTTGGGTTGTCTGAGAGTGTTCATGGCTTCTGGAAATTAGGTTTTCAAATAGCTTTTGAAATCTGCTCTATTTTCGAAATCTACTTCACCCATTGAGAATTTTGTAGAGTAATTTTACTCTGCATTCTCTACTTAGTGAAGTCTAGGTTTTTCATTGTGAGATTTTGAAAATGGTTTTTTGAAATCTATTGTACTTTTAAAATCTGCATCTGGGTTCATTTTGACTAGTCATCTTCTTTAGTCTAGATCAAATTCTTGGTTAATTTCTTGAAGAAATTGACTGTTTCATCTCAGAATCTATATTTCATTGTTCTGTTCTATCTGGAGCTGAGTTGATGTGCCATAGGGTGAAGAAGCTGATGGACTAGTTGCCATTTCCATGAAGGACAAGCTGCTAGCTCAATTAAGTTTGGAGAAGAATGTTGCATAGGGAGGTAGTGCTAATTTCTTACCTAAGATTGTTTGAGCTTGTGATTACTTTTTTTTTAAGAATCTACTTGTGATTGATGGATCCTTCTGAGTACCTAGGTTGTCACGTCGTTATCTTCTAGGCTTGTAGGGGAATTGTAACGACCCGGTCCTAAATAATGTTTAATTATAAATTAAACATGATCAAAGACCCTTTTGTCCCTAAAATATTTTATTAGGTTTAAAGTTGACTTTTTGACCAGGAAGAAATTTGGGCATTTCGATTGTACTGTTGCGTAGAGCACGATGAGATGAGTCCGTAGACACGTAGTGGGCCCGAATCGGAGTTGTAACGAGAGAGATACGATCAAAATACCCTCAATGGCATAACCATATTTTTGGCGAAAAGGATTTGATAAAAATCTCTCCGTCTCTCTCTCTCTCTCTCTCTCTCTCTCTCTCTCTCTCTCTCTCTCTCTCTCTCTCTCTCTCGCGACCCGGAGCCCCTCCCCCGATCTGCAAAAACGCACCACCACCTCCGGCCACCGTAGCCCACGGTGCCGGTACCAAAATGACCGGACCAACCTCGCCGACGCGTTCCAGCCAATTTCCGACGCCGACCGCCACTCCAGCTGCCGGAAAAAGCTTAGAAACGGCCGGGGTTTCGCTCGATTTTCGTCGGCTTCGTTCGTCGGCATCCGGCCACCATTTCCGACGATCCAGGTATGGATTTTGAACCTCTCGAGCTGTTCTTGGTGCCTGTTATGTTAGATTTGAGAGATTTCTGCGTTTTGGAGGTCGATTAAACGATGGAAGTTTGGCCGATTTTCGGCCTCCGATTCCGGCCACTTCCGTCTACTTTTTGGGGTATGTCCAAGAACAAAAGTTGCTCCACTCTATGTGCTGAAGTTTTGCATGGCGGTTTGGAGATTTTCCGACCACCGAAATTGCTTTGGGCACCCACGCTCTGCCGGCGCATGGGCCACTATTTGGCTGATCTTAGGCAACTAAAATACTCATCATGTCGTCCCAAGCACGACGGTATGCTTGGATATGAATTTGGATATCGTTTGATCGTCGATCGGATATCGCATATTGCGCGTTATCCGGGTTCGCTAGGTTTGGACCGTTGGATGGTCCTGAGTTTATTATAGGTTAATTTGGACATCCTTAGGATCGTGTAGGATTTGACGGATCGTAAAACGGAGTCTCGGATACTCCGAAAATGCCAACCCTACCGATCGTGTGATCGTGAGCGATCCGACCGTCCGATCTGGACCAAACTTGCAGGACACATGTCCTAAACCTTCTAGAACTCATAGGAACTGTCGGATCAGAATTTGGAGGTCGTGGGCCCCGCGGGCCCATTTGACCAAGTTTGGGTAGTTTGACCCTTGGTTGACCGTGGGTCTTCCGGGGTAGTCTTATCTTCATAGGAGGATTAAAATGACCATATGGACAGGTCCTGGGCGTTGTTGAGTTATGTTGACTATGTGGGTTTAGGATATTAATTTATTGTTTTTAATTGGGGAATTATCGGATGTTATATTGTGGTTGAGGTTTATGCTATTTTGGGAATTATGGTGTATATATATATATATATATTTATATTATAAATATATAAAGATGTTTGATGACAATATAAGTACCACCCTACGATTGTGAGGTTGCACGTGTCATAGGAGTAGCCAACGTGTTGACAGACCCCATATGTGGCGTTGGTAGTACCGGCATATGGGAAGATATTGTGATGTGCTTGTGAGGTCGCATGTGTTGTAGGAGTAGCCGGCGTGTTGACAGACCCCATATGTGGCGTTGGTAGTACCGGCATATGGGGAGATATTGTGATATGATGATGAGGTCCCACATGTCGTAGGATTTTCCGGCGTGCAGACAGGCCCCATACGTAGCTTTGGATGTTCCGGCGTATGGGGAGATTTTGTGAGTATTTGGGAGATAAATTAAAGATTGTGTTCGGTGAGTTGTGATTTAAAGAAAAAAGGTTTTAGGAAAGAACTACGTGTGTCTTGATCCCTTTCAAGGGGTACGTAGGCAGCCTAGGGTAGTGCCTAGGTGCAGCCGCAGACTAGATTTTATTTATGTGATGTATTGAGTTGGGTTCTGACCTTGTCTTAGGTCCTGAAACTCGGATGAAACCGATGTGTGATTAGATAATTGTTCATACTCCCGCTTGGCTACGGGAGGGTGGTGTTAGTATGTTGTGGATGAACTAGGGGCAAGACCCTTTTGGATTGCTATACCATTTGGGCTGAGGCCTTAAACTACTTATGTTATGTGAAGGCCGGAGGCCGATTATTTGAATTGCATGAAATTATATTGTGTGGGCTACCGGTTGGGTTATTAAATTGTGATTTTGTGCAGGTTGAAATTTTGGGGAAAGTCCAAATTACAGGGGAGACTGCCGATATTTCAGCAGAAAGTCTCGTGCCCTTATTTCTCTGGGGAAAACGAGAATATAGTTTCAGAAGTGGGCCCGACATCGGGGTGATGTCGGGATTTCCACAGGATTCGTTCCGGGTTTTGAGAAATTCGGGGTGGGTCCTGTTAGGAATGAGATTTTTTTGTTGAATGTGTGTTTTGTTTGATGTGTGATCTTAAGTTTGTGACTAGTTGTTGGCTAGTCATACATTTGCTGGGATTATTTTGTTGGTCTAATTTGTGGTCAGCTAGATTATCCTTCAATTTTACCCCTTATACTTAAGTACCAATTTTAATAATCTAATAACCTCAAAATCAAGAATGGAATCAACTAGGGGAGAGTAGTTGATCCAATTCTAATTCCTTGATTACTCTATCTAAGTTCTACAACTTATGACTTTCTCCATTCCTAATAGTAAACAAGACCTATATAGATATTCTTGAAAATACTTATAAAAATAATAAAATGAAATAAGAGCAAAAAGAAAGAAGGAACCTACTTTTTTCAGCATCTCCCAGCAAATACCGTGGTGCATAACTTTTCTCCCGTTGTCAACAACAGAAAAGATACAATTCCCATTCACTTCAACATCTATGATTTTTTCCAATTCCTTTTTTTTAATATTACCCCAAAGATATTCTGGAATTTGTTGCATTGTCATGTACATTTGTATCTCCTTTTCTTTCTCTTGTCCTAACTTCTCCTTATCCAACGATCTTGTGAGTGCTTGTTGCATATATATCTGTTTCATAACAAACAAGAAGCAGTTCGTCATATTAAATATGCATAAACATAGCACCTGTGTAGTGTGTGTGAGTTTAAACTATTATCGTTTCTCTCAATAGGAAAAAATTTCTATTAAAAAAAAAGGATAAGCATAGCATCACAGATAAATGAATAAAATAATATATTATAAAAAAGATAAATAGTCATTCACTGAAAAATAAAAGGATAAAAGAACATGTAATGGTCAAGCTCGGGGCGCTAATGCGAAATGTACTAGAGCTGAATTATTTTGCGTACAAACTCGTCAAAACTTGCATTTTTGTCTACGTATAATAATTAAGGGTTAAATACATTTTTTATCACTGCGTCTATTCCAAAAATCTATTTTAATATATGAGTTTTTAATTTGATTAATTTGGTTACTGAGTTGGCAAACGTTAACATTTTAAGCCACTTTGTCAGTTTTATGTTAAAAAATTATTAAAATATTCATTAAAATAAAAAATGAAGTGAGATATTGGCGCATTCGGAAGATTTTGGTTTATGAGTTCAGTTTTCCTATTAACATTCACCCTGTGCCACCCTGTTTCTTCCTTATTTTTGTGACACCTGTCCTCTCTCACTTACCATGAACATAACTCTGTTAACTTATCATTGAATTAAAAAACATTGAAACTAAAAAAGCAAAAACCCAGCAGCCCAGCAGCCAACGACGAATCACCCACCCAACTCCAACAGCCGACCACCACAACCTTCCCACGTTCTCCACCCAACCCCTCTCTCTCTCTCTCTCTCTCTCTCTCTCTCTCTGTGTCTGTTATGGTGAAGATGATTTGAGGAGAATCAATTGTTTGTTTTTGGGAGGAAGCGGATCTGGCAAACATCCAAGGGCTCCAATGCTGAAAATTTGAAGAACTGAAAGACCTAAAAAAGAGACATTTTGAAGATTTTCCGGCATCGTTGAGGCGGAGAGCATGTGGTCGTTTGGAGAGAAAATTTTGATTTGGTGAGCAAGGGAAAGCAAGGGTCACAGGTGATAATACACTCGAAGTGGAGATTAGGTGGCTTAATTCAACAATCTTGATCGGGTTTGGCAATTTTAAGAGGGATAAAGGGAGGCTTGAGGTGGTGGGTGCAAAGGAGGTTGCCACTGGATTGTAGAGAAGATGAAGACTTAACAGAGTTAGGTTAATGGTAAGTGAGAGAGGACAGGTGTCACAAAAATAAGGAAGAAACATGGCACAGGGAAAATGGTAACAGGAAAACTGAACTCTTGGTGTTTGGGATTTTGGTTTTGGTGTCTATGGATTTCAAGTGGTGACACGGACCCTTGGCCTACCACTAGCAACATCGATATTGTCCTTAATTTAACCACATGTTTAGCAGGTGTGAGGTTTTATACAAAAGGTCTCGATGTTATTAGGAGTGGAACCATTTATTATATGGGACTTTCTATTTTGTTAAGTTTCCGATGTGGGACTCGTGTATTCTTCAACACTTCTCCTCACGTGGGACCACTTTTTTAGTGGGCCACACGTGCAACCAATTCCACATCAGTCACTTTTTTTTAAATAAAAAAAAAATTTAAATTTGGGGTTTGTTTGATTTTGATTCAATTTGGAGTTTTTTGTTTGATTTGGGTTTAATCGGGCCTAGTCAACCGACCCACTCTGATACCATGTTAAGATTTCAGAGGGACGGACCATTGGCCCACCACTAGCAACATCGATATTGTCCCCAACTTAACCACCTGTTTAGCAGGTGTGATGTTTTATACAAAAGGCCTCGATGTTATTAGGAGTGGAACCATTTATTATATGGGACTTTCTATTTTGTTAAGTTTCCGATGTGAGACTCGTGTATTCTTCAACATGAGATTTCTGGTTACTTTATTCGGATAGCTGCGGCTGGAAGCAGATCGGATTGGTGGAGTTGAGTGTGGATTTGTGGTGGTAGGTATGGCTAGTGGCGAAAGGGGCAGGTGGAGTGGGACTGTTTTCAAAGTTGTGGGTGTGCGATCAGATTTGGACATGGAGGAGGACAAATCAGGGTGGCGATATGCGGAGGAAATGGTGGCCACGGGTTGGGAGGTGGTAGTTGGCGATGGGGAAGGGTTGGGTTGTGATGGGAGTGGGGCAGTTAGAGGATCGATGCTAGGGGTTGTCGATCGGGTTCTGGTTCTAGGGGCTATTTATTTTTTTCTCGTAAATAATCTTATTTTATTATTAAAATTTAACATAAGCTTATGTATATTTATTAATTTTAAACTAACTAATTAATATTACAATTTTTTATATAATTAAAATAAGGTCCAATATAGGTCCCTACAATTTATATTTCCTAGACATATACCCATCATTCTATAAATCTATGTGTTAAACCCAATTTCAAACATAAATGACTAGTATGATATAAAAGGTTGTAGTATTCCTATGTTTTTCCATCCATGCCATCATACTTCATATTTTATTTATAATTTATTCCAAGCATTTCATTAACTGTCATAATTGTAATTAAAACTCCCTATTAATAGCATATCAATCACCCTATTTCTTTTGGTTGCCATTCCCTTTAACATATGGCCCCTTCAAATTGCAAATAAAAAAAAATGTGTAAATTACATATCCAATAATGTACATATGAAAAATATAAATATATACGTATAAAAATATAGGTATATTATTTATCCAAAAAAATTAACATAAATAGGTCAATTACTTTATAATTGAAATTTTTGTACATTTTTCATAAATTAAAAATAGGTACACAATAATTTATAGAAAATAGGTACGTTGTATAATTGAAATTTATGCACATTTTTTTATAAATTAAAAATAGGTACATTATTTAGGTACATTATTTGAGAAAAACTAGGTACATTATTTTGAGAGAGAAAATAGGTACATTATTTAGAAAAAAAAATAGGTACATTATTAGAGAAAAAAATAGGTACATTATTTTGAGAGAAAAAATAGGCTCATTAAAAAAAAAATTGTTTTCATAAAACAAACAATAAAAAGTTGATCAAATTTTTTTTCATGAAACAAGTAATAAAGAAAAAAAAAAGGTACAATATTTAGAGAAAAGATAGGTTCATTAAAAAAAAAATATTTTAAAAACAAAACAATAAATAGATTATCAAATTATTTTTCAACACAATTAGAATGTACACTATTATTCATAAAACTATAATAAAAGAGAATACTGGTTGTATAATCCATAAAAGACAACAACATTAATTCTTAAATTTAATATTGAATTTAAATTACTAATACTTTAAATAGATTACTAGTCGTAATTCATAGAAGGAAAACACCATTAATTCAAAAATAGATTACTGATACTTTAATGTGGAATTTAATATTTAATTTCAAATAAGTTTCTAAATTAGTTTCTACATCCATTACAACTATTTGGAGATCTTTCCAAATTCAACGAGTTTCATTAGTTACACCCCCCATAACACATTAACTTATAAATAGGGGTAGTTTTGGAATCCGAAAAATACAATAAATCAGATTTTAAGTTATATTAGGTAACTTGCTTAGTTGGATCCTAGTCATTGGGTATTTTAAATAGAAAACTAAAGGAAAGAGTTGTAGGTGATTTAAAATGAATTTTATGGGTCTAACCTCAATTTACTATTAAAATAATGAAAGAAAATATTAAGATGGTTACCATTTGACAAGTGAGTGACCAAATTGATGAAAATCCTTTCACACGAATAACTGAATAATAATTAAAAAAATTTACTAATATCAAGAGATTCATAAAAAAAAAGAAGATATTCATCAGGAATCTTTTTTATTTATTTATCAAGATTTATCATGATTCAACACCAGCGTACCTGTAGGTTTCCAAGGAGATATAAAAATAATAGCAGGCCAATCAAAGAAACGATAATTGCAAAGCAGTTTTCCCACATATAGCTACTTGTTTGCATATTCGTACCAAAGTTACTGCAAGAACCAATTAAGTATTTAATATATAGGATATGTGATATGAAATATTAGGATATACAGAGAGTTTTAAAAACAGATTCCTCAAATAAGCTTCCACTCTTGTGAGACCCATTTCATATTGTATCTGCATGATTCAAACCTTTCTTTATTATTATTATTATTATTTTTTTTTTTTTTTTTTTTTTTTTTTTTTAGGTATGTTTTTTTTCATCCAGATCATATATAACAAAAAAAAAAATGAATCAAAATCCATTTTACCACTCAATGAAATGGTTGTCATTTTAATGTTTTCTTGAAATACTGTATTTGTCAAGGATGATTTATTAATCAAGACATTAAAAAAAAAGATAATTTGGATTGTTAAAATAAAATTTGTAGGGTAGACCCAACAAGCTGTCCTTAACACAAAGTGTCTCTTGTGCGGTATCCATGTAACCACAAATAGGAAAATAAAGGTGCCAATGAGAAGAAAACTACATAACTATTTTCTCAACTCTCTCTTTTCTTACTAGAGAAATTTTAGGGATTTTGAAAATAAATCATGTTCAATAAATTCCGGATTTTTGAAATGCTAGGAATTAGGGATTATTTGAGAAAAAAAATACTTGTAACCAAAATGACATATAGTTTTGTAAATAAATGATAATACCTAAACCACTTTTATCCTACAGGGCATCCATTTTAAAAGTTTTGTTTTAGTTAGAAGTGGAAAAGTATATGAAATTCATCTAGACTATCAATAGCTTAACATACATATATGCGTACCTCAGATTTCTGACGCCCCACCATACGCAGTAAAAGAACTTGGTTGGAAAATGCATTGATCTTGTGGTTCCATATTGAATGGCATCAAGAAATATTCCAAAATTAAATACGGTAGCATTTGGTGGATTTGAAGTACTGCCACTGCAATAATCAGTAGCTCCACAACTTACAGCATTTTTACAGGATTGGTGCCAGCATGATATCTCTCGTTGAATAGAAAAGAAATACCAAAAACCTCCAAGTACCTAATCACAAAATGTTTATCATGATTAGATCATCTTCAAAAAGGTTAGTCAAATTTTGGTTAATGATTGTGAATAGGCCAATAATCACTTTTATGAAGAATCACTTCTCCCATGTGCTTTTCTGCAAAATCACTGGAAATGATTATATGAAAATGCACGTGGAAGGTGTTTTTCCCTATAAATGATTATGGTCCCAAAAGAGCCTTTGGTCATGTAGCAGTTACAAAGCTAAAGATATAAGACATAAAATTGTGCGTTATGAGTTATGGCGATGAAAAACTTACATGACTAGAAAGAACGTAGAAGAAAAAATATAATGCAGCTTGAACCCCTGTTTTGGTTTTGTTCTTGAGATATTGACTGAATCTGTAGATTAAGAAAACCCTGGCCAGATAATGCATAACAAGGAACACGTTCACGGTGGTCACTCTTTGGCCGAAATGTCCAGAGCCTCCTGACTTGAAAAAGAAAACTAGTATTGCCAACTGGGAAAAAAAAAACAGCTGGTTAGAGACCAGAGTGAATAAGCAAAATCTAGCTATGTACGCATAAGACAAGGTTGACCTTGACTGATTTTCCTATCATCGTAATAGCTATTGTGGGCAAAAAGGATATGATCGAGGATTGAAGTGGGCAAATAAACCTTGACTAAATGCCACACACGTGTATATAAAATACACACAAGTAGGAGGACTCTATCTAATTCGATGGATTTTTCAAGAATATGATAAAAATTTCAAGTACTTATGCAGACGAATGTAAGCCTCAAACTTCACACCAAATTCATGTAGCGACACAATTTAGACTGATTTGATTTAGGTCTCAAACTAGTAGCACAAACGAATCAAACCAATTCATATGGTATGTGATTACTAATCTACATTAACAATCGAATGAATGAGGAGTTCTAATCAACCTTCTATATGGATTCACTTTGAATGTGTTTGTTGCAGTAGTACGTAATAGTTGTATATTGTAAATGTGATATTTGGTGTCTAATTATTTTTGTTATCTTTGAATTCTTTGACTTTGTTGATTATATATGTTTGCATATGAATTTTGTTTATTTTTTTCAATCGCACAAAAATCAATTTATACTCGCTGATGTAATTATACCTCTTGGTAATAATGCCTTCAATCAAGGACTTTAATTGTTTTTCCATTATTACCTTAAAGGGCAAAATAGTCCTAAATTATTAAATGAAAATTGGGTCTCCATTGAAAAAAAAATAAAAACGTTTGCATGTATCAAAATAAAAACTCAAACGTTTGCATTATTTAAGCAACAAAAGTTGAGATTTCAATCTCTTACCTGTGGGATGGGAAGGATAAGGAAACCGCCAACTAATATACTCAGAAAGATGCCGAAAAGTAGTGCACAAGTGTTCCCAAGCAAATAGCTATCAAATTCAAAATGCATCCTTCCTTCATATACGTCTTTACAAATACTAAACACATGATCAATTATAGTACGCAGTGCGAAAGCGGCATCAGGAAGTGCTCGCAAGCAAAGAGCTGCAGTCTTCAACCTTTTGTCTATTCCAAGGCACTTGTTCTTCTCATCGATGACTGGAATGTAAAAGAACAAAGGATCTATTGACACTGCAATACATGATATTATAAATGTATGTTTCCTCGTTAATGGAGAGAAGAAGATGCGCCGAAGAATTCCCTTCTCTTTCCTTTCTTTATTGTGCCAATCCTCGCCGAAATCGAAATACAGCCTGATAAGAAACGATGTCAGAAGGGAAAAGAAAAACGAATCATATGTACAGACGACTTTTAGTAGCATCCATATTCTGAAATTAAAACAATACGATCAATGTTTTTTTTCTTTCTAAAATTCATAATGCGGCTTACCTTTGTTTTGGTTTTTTTTCACACATCATTCAAATTTAAAAAAATATTACAGCTTACCCTTGTTTTGGTTTTTTTCTTCAATTTATAGGTTTTAGGATTTATATATAAAATCAATATAAGAAATGAGTTTTATTATAAATTTCTTTTAATTAATTAACATATATAAGAAAACCATAATGAATAATGAGAACCAATAAACCTAAATCGTAAAAAAAGACTAGCAAGCTAAGTACTAGCTCGAAATAAATCTAACTACACTATAAGCATGGTCACCTGAAAACCCCAAAAGGTACGTATATATACATATACTAACCTCACGATTTTCAACACAAATGCGGGAACCTTCACAATAATAATCTGAATGAGAAGCCTGAAATATATAAACGACTGCAGCTTAGTTTGTCCTTTAGATTTCTTGTACTTACTTA